CATGGGGCCTCCGACCAATCAGAATCCCAGCTGGCGTAATTGGGGGAGGATCTTAAGCCTTAAAAGGTAGCCTTCAATATGGCTGAAATTGACACATTACTACCACATGTGTGATGTGTTTTAATTTGTGATATAATGTCTTGTGTTAGGAGTGAGCTTGTGTTTTAGGTAATTTACCAGTATTTCGTTCAAGTTAGTTGACATCAGCTTTTAATCTCTTGTGTTGGAGGAATAAACTCACCATTAACTCAAGCTTGTTCAGTGTGGGTGTTGGACTCCATCAAGGTTGCACCTTGTCTCCACCCCTGTTGGTAATATTCATGGACAAGGTGTCAAGGCATTAGGAGGTCATTATGTGTGAAGGCCAGACCATGGCGTCTCAGCTTTTTGCAGATGATGTCCTTTTGGCTCCATTGCATGGCGCACTGGAGGAGTTTGAAGACGAGTGTGAAACAGTTGGCATGTGGATCAGCACTTCCAAATCTGAGTCCATGGTCCTCTCCCAGAAAAGGATGGCATGCCCCCCTCCAGGTAAGGGAAGAGAACCTAAGTGGAGGAGTTTAAGTATCTCAGGGTGTTGTTCACAAGTGATGGAAAGAGCAGTAATGTGGTCGCTGTATTGGACTGCAGTGGTGAAGAGGGAGCTGAACCATAAGGACCACAGAGAAGCACACTGCCCACCACACACCCCATCTTAGGCATACAAGAGCTGCTTAATTATTTGCACCATCTGGGGTTTCAAACAGGTAAGAGGGACACATCTATACATTTGCACTATGTCTGAGGCTACTCTGTGTAGTTCCCTAGATCAGAGGGTGGACACTGTCCCAGATACTAGCCAGGGAAGTTTAGTGTAGTTAGCTTTTCTTTCATTTTATAGTTTAACTAAGTACTTTTTCAGAGTAGGTTTTGTGTTTTGTTTTGTTTTGTTTTTTCTTCTTCGTTTGATTCTTCCAGTGTGATATTAGGTACTATAGCAGTGTTTTAATGAGGTCAGTTATAATAAAATGGTGTCAAACATTTTAATTTATCTATTGATGAGATAAAAATGAGAGATTCTCTTCCCAGACTTGTTTCCAAACCAAACACCGGACACGTTTTAACCAGTAAACTGGCTCAATATGTTTATTGTTATGACAAGAGATGAAGTTGAATGTGGGATGAAATCAGGGATGAGAATGTGCTAACAATAACAAACACAACTAAAGATGACAAAACTAACCTGAAAAAACACGAAACAAAAAACAAAAAACAAACTACCCTAACTTTTCTACATAAAACAACCCTTGTGGCCAATCACAGACCTGCACCATACAAGAGGGAACACAAACAAAATGGTGGCCAACAGACTTACAGAAAAGCTATTATGACCAGGTGTTGTAACATTTGCTATAAAAAGTATATAAAAAATAAAAGACAAAAACAGTCTTTATTTTTAATGTAGGTTAAGGTGAAGAACTTGTACTCCAAGCAATTTCAGACTATTTCTATGGGTTCATTTATCATTACATTTTCACACAATATGAAAGGACCGCTGGGTCATTCTACAGAAACGTCCACTTTTCTATCTATCCATAGGTGTCACTGGTGTTACCGATCCTCATTGGTGTTACACATAAGAAAGGTAACACCAGAGACATTTTTGTATAAAGAGGCCTACTAGAAACAAGACACCAGTGGGAAGAGTTACAAGAGAGAGGAGTAACAATCCGAAACCAGTTAAGAGGTGTTAGAAGGGGACGGATCTTGTGTTGGCAAAACAAGATAAATGCAAAACACAAAACGAGGCTGCACGCAAGAAACGTGGGTCCTCAGTAGCTCAGTACCAAGCTGAAAGGTGTTCATCTCATTGAAAGTAGGTGCCTTTGATTATACTGCGTTTTTTAAACAGTATTTAATAGGTGTTTTCATCTGCCAGCATTAGTTTTGAACATTCTTTGCTTCAGAAAAGCTCAGTAGACACTGTATTTCTTATGGTCTTCTGTTCGTTTTGATGTCAGACTATAATAAAATGTCACCAGTAAATGGCTCCAACAGTCAATTTCTAAATTTGTCAGATGTGGAGTTGTCTGTTTTAGAAAACAGTACATGCATTAACACCCTGAGTTTCTTGGTATTCAGTGCCCACTCTGAATTATTCCAATCAATGCTAATTAGATAAGTAAAACACAAACAAATGCACTAATTTGCATTTGTGAATGAGTGAGTATTCTTTGGTGACAGTTAATTCAGAGAAGATACAAATGTAATGTTTTTTTAAACAGTAGTTGGTTTCGGCTGAGGCCAGAGCCTAAATTTGGCGAGAACAAGATATTATAACAACATTTATAGCAGTTTTGGATATAATGAGTTCTTGAAAAGAAAAACAGCTGATGTTTAATGAAAAACACATTCTTACACCGATCAGGCATAACATTATGACCTTGTTTCTACGCTTATTGTCCATTTTATCAGCTGCGCTTACTATATAGGTGCACTTTTACCCTGTTCTTCAGTGGTCAGGACCCCCATGGACCCTCACAGAGCAGGTACTATTTTGGCACTGCTGCGTCTGATCCACTCAGACCAGCGCAACACACACTAACACACCACCACCACCACGTCAGTGTTACTGCAGTGCTGAGAATGATCCACCACCCAAATAGTACCTGCTCTGTGAGGGTCCATGGGGGTCCTGACCACTGAAGAACAGGGTAAACAAGTTTTAAAGGCAGAGTTTTACTGTGTGTGTGTTACATATGTGTTTCTTGCACATGATGCATGTATGCTGTGTCCTTCTGTCCATCTTGGGTCCAAACACCTCACAACGCTTCTGTTTGTTGCTACTGGCCACAACCTAGAATAATGAAAATACTTTGATCGGGCATTTTTCTCACATCTTTCTCTCTCATTCTCTCTCTCTCTCTCTCTCTCTCTCTCTCTGTCTGTCTCTTTCTCTTTCTCTCTTTCTCTCTCTCTCTCTCTCTCACACACACACACACACACACACACACACACACACACACACACACACATTATAGTTGGTCAAGGTAAGAAAGTCAGACATAACTTTTCCAACAGCATCTCAGATGTACTTCTGCTTCTGCAGATGGTTGCTCTGTGGTTCTGTGGGCTGAAGGGACTCCGGCCTCCTCCTCCTGAATCCAGCTCTGGCTGCAGAAGCTGGGCTTCTTGGGAAACATTGTCTTCTCTGGATTTGAGGTCTCACCAGCAGCCCAAATAGGAGGAGGACAGAGTGAAGGGACACAGCACCTTTGCACTTTTATTCCCTGTGGGTCCAGAGGACCCGAACACCACATGAGTAATATAAATGTGTGGGGGGGGTACAGTGTGAAGTCACTTAAGATGTATTTGTTTGTATGTTCTTCACAGAAAAAGAAGCCAAGGCCAAGAAGCTTGAGGTTAAAATAATAAAAGATTGCATCTTTTTTTCTTTTGGTAAACATTGAAAACACAAAGGTCCCACAGACCCCAACACCCCACAAGGGTTAACTGTCTTTTATTTAAAGATTTCCACTTTCCACTGTTCTGCCTAGTATTATCATCCACACTTTGTTAACTGCACAGGCTGTGTTGCATGCGCTCTGTGGGGTTATTAAGAGCTGATGCAGTTGGTTTAAATGATAAAGTGCAGATTCTGAATAATATGTAGAAAAATATTGCTCTCTCTTTACAGTTGGCCCCAAAAACACACACACAAGAGCATTGCAGACACATTTTCCCAGGCAATAACGCTAAATATTCTGTAATATCTTTACTAATGTCTAAAACTCTGATTTAAATCACCTTTATGCAGTTTAAGTTTACTTAACTAATGATACCAATGACTAATAGTAGACTTGAACAACTAACTCATGATTTAAGTCTTTTGAATACAGTTATTTATTCAAAATTAAACCCATGGTGGCAAACAATGCAGTTTCTGCTAAAGACTGAGTGGACTGATAAATCAATGTGATGAGTGAATTATTTTGCTCTTTTGAGCGATGATTGAACTGAAGAGTCTGTTCAGTAGTGGACATGTTTATGAGTGATAAGTATCAGTGGTGTAGTGGACTGATAATGTTACATATATGCCATTAACTAAAGTTTTTTTATGAAACATGTTAGAAATACATAAAAATTACACACTGCCTATGAGGAAAGAAATGTGAATAAAGGCAAAATGACAACAGCTGAGTTTTTTCCCGTGTGTCTTATCAAGTTCATATATTATTAGGTATTACTACCCATATTTGATCACCCTTAAATGAAAAGTGAAAGGCGAAATATCAATATCTTCTCAGAGGGAGTTTAATTCCAGTGCATTAAGTATAGAGCATCAGTCATTTAAAAAGTTAGACATAAAGAAAGATATTTTGGTAACACTTTCTATGAATGTCACATTTGTAAGCATCTATAAACACATTTATAACATGTTATAATGCATTCATATGGCATTATAAACATGATTATAAACATTTATAAAAATGAATTACACTTTATAGCCATGTTTATTATACATTATAAATTGTTGATATAATGCATTATAAGTAGTGCCGATAACGTTATACTGTCAGTGCCAAAGAAGTCAGTCCCAGCTTGGAGAGCGTAAAGTAAAGACAAATACCAAGCTAACGGTGGTGTACATTGACTTTCCCACATTGGGTAAAACACTGATGGCAGCACTAGTTTAAACTCTGACATTTGAAGCCTGTAATGTGCTTTATTGTGAATGTTTTAGTGTTTCAGTAAATCCTTCAGTAAATACTTCAACTTGTAGCCTCACTCTTAACACTGGAGGAGGCTTTAGTACAGTACGCTTCACTTTACTTAGAGCGGACAAATATGACTTATGAGCTCTTATAATTTGTTATGATCAGTACTTATAATGTATTATGTTAACAATTCATAATGCATAATAAGCATGGCTATAACGTGTAATGCATTTTTATAAATATTTATAGCCATGTTTATAATGCATTATGAATGCATTATAACATGTTATGAATGTGTTTATAGATGCTTACAAAGGTGACATTCATAGAAAGTGTTACCGATATTTTCTAGTTACAAATGTCACAAATATTAAACACCATTTCTACAGACAGTTCCAGTCATTTCTCTTTTTCCAGTTTATTCCATCATCACTTATTCTGGTGCTTTTTAAGCAAAATAAAAATTCAAACTCCCAAGAAAATCAGCATTATAAGAGTTAAAAGCGTATGAACAGTCCTATTTGGAGCAGTATTCTTCTCTTTTTCTCTTAGCGCCCTCTGCTGGCTGGCGATCAGATGGCAGCGCCTCATATTGCTGCTCTGTCCCACACTAGCAGCTCTGCCTGAGGGGCACAGCAGCCTGACGTGTACTGCACCGTGATGGGCTTCCGCCTCGCCCACTCGCTGATGTTGAGTGGAGGCTCGCCTTGCACTAACCTGGCTTTCTCCAGCCTGTTAGCTCTATGGCCCAGTCTTGTTCTGTGTCTGTAGTGCTGGTGCTCTGTGGTCTCCTCTTGGAGCTGCATGAGAGGGCTTGCATGTCCTTCTGTGGCATCCTCATGGAGCTGCGTGACAGGGTTCTCTTTTCTCCCTGTGGTCTCATCATGGAGCAGTGTGAGGATGCCCTGTCCTTCAGCAAGTTGCAGAGAGGCCAGGCCAGAGTGACCACGGTCTTTGACTGCCAGAGAGACACTCCAGTTGCCCAGAGAGCACTGAGGAGGGCAGGTGGACTCCACACGCATCGCAGAGCATGAGGGAGGGGACATGTCAGGCTCCTGGGGAGAAAAAAAAGAAATATCCAAGACTTGAAAGTGAAATGATTATTTACATATATACACACCGATCGGACATAAGATTATGACCACCTCCTTGTTTCTACGCTCACTGTCCATTTGATCAGCTCCACTTACTATATAGGTGCACTTTGTAGTTCTACAGTTACAGACTGTAGTCCATCTGTTTGCATACTTTGTTAGCCCCCTTTTACCCTGTTCTTCAGTGGTCAGGACCCCCACGGACCCTCACAGAGCAGGAACTATTTGGGTGGTGGATCATTCTCAGCACTGCAGTAACACTGACGTGGTGGTGGTGTGTTAGTGTGTGTTGTGCTTGTACGAGTGGATCTAATAGAGTGGACAGTGTCCACTCACTGTCCACTCTATTAGACACTCCTACCTTCTCAGCCCACCTTGTAGACGTAAAGTCAGAGACGATAGCTCATCTGCTGCTGCACAGTTTGTGTTGGTCATCCTCTAGTCCTTCATCAGTGGTCACAGGAGGCTGCCCACAGGACGCTGTTGGCTGGATGTTTTTGGTTGGTGGACTATTCTCAGCCCAGCAGTGACACTAAGGTGCTTAAAAACTCCTGCAGCACTGCTGCGTCTGATCCACTCAGACCAGCACAACACACACTAACACACCACCACCACGTCAGTGTTACTGCAGTGCTGAGAATGATCCACCACCCAAATAGTACCTGCTCTGTGAGGGTCCATGGGGGTCCTGACCACTGAAGAACAGGGTATAAGGGAGCTAACAAAGTATGCAGAGAAACAGATGGACTACAGTCTGTAACTGTAGAACTACAAAGTGCACCTATATAGTAAGTGGAGCTGATAAAATGGACAATAAGTGCAGAAACGAAGAAGATAGATTCATTGTTATAGCTGATCAGTGTATGTCTGAAAGACGTGTACATCTATAATGTCAAATCTTTAATGTGTATTAGTGCTTAGAATAGTTTTATTTTAAAAAGTCAAAGTCTTTCATTTGTGTGTTTAGATCTTCTCACCTCTGGCAAAACTGTCAGATGGACCACAGCATAGTTTGAGTCAGGTGAGTCCTGTGCCTGGACAGTGAGTGTCAGTGTGACTGTTTGGCCTGCCTGGGTAGAGTGAGGAGTCCTCAGCTCCACCTCCCTCCTCACTGAACCTCTCTCTCCTATAGAGAACCTGTGGTAGAAGAATGTACTGTTGGGTTATGGATGGTTGGAGAACATCTTGATGTGAAATACTTTGATGCTTTTAATGAAAGCCTATCACCTGAATTAATGTACCTGAAGATCTAACTATGAAAAATTCTCTCTTCATTTTTTATATTGTTGTCGTTGTGAGAAAAACTCATATCCTTTCATGACCATTATGGTTAATTTCCTACAGTGGCCAAATAGGCTGATTAGCTGTCTTGCTTCCTAGCTGTTCATACATATTAGCTCTCAAGAGCTCAAGATATTCAGCTCAAGCTCAAATAAACAAACATTACTCCCTGCTGCCCTCTAAAGGTGGTACAATACCAAGTCAGAGGTTTTGTTATCGCCAGTGTTGTCACAAGGCTTTTGTTATAAGTGACTGATTTAAGTATTAAACTAGTTATTAAGAGGGCTGTGATCCTTCATATTGCTGTTGTTGGAAGAAAACCTCATAGCTCAAAAATGCTAACTTTACAGGAGAAGGAATGTTTTTCCACATCATTTTGGGCCATTTGTTTTGGTCCATTCTTCATGAAATTTACGTATAATGTAAAGAGCAACAGGCATTTTTAAATTGTCAAAAACTGAAAAATATAAGTAGTATTCATAAGTAGTGTTCATAACAAATTATAATAAGTTGTATGTGTCTGCTCTAAGTAAAGTGAAGCTTACTGTACTAAAGCCTCCTCCAGTGTTAAGAGTGAGGCTTCAAGTTGAAGTATTTACTGAAGGATTTACTGAAACACTAAAACATACATAATAAAGCACATTACAGGCTTCAAATGTCAGAGTTTAAACTAGAGCTGCCATCAGTGTTTTACCCAATGTGGGAAAGTCAATGTACACCACCGTTAGCTTGGTGCTAACTTAACACTGCATATCCAATAGAATGCTAGCAGAAATTAGCATTACTGTACTGTAGTGGTGTTAGTGAAGGGTTCTAGTGCTTGACGTTAGAACCAGTGAGGGAACCAATTACAATGATAGCACTTCACTATCTCGCCTCTCCCTCTCCAGGCCTTTACTCCACAGTAACCTTACGCTCAGTGTGATGTCAGAGGGGGTTCAGGGGAGGGGCTAATGGGTACTTGGTTTGCTGTGATGTAATGTAACATTTAAAGTGAGAGGTAAGAAAAGCACATTGTAGCAGTAATTCAAGGCTGGACAGCCTGTGGAGCATCTGAATATTCAGGACTGAAGATTCAGCTTTAACAGCACCAATAACGAGAAATAAAATATCGGAAATCTCAGGGTGTAAATAAACTTTGTATTTGTCTTTACTTTATGCTCTCCAAGTTGGGACTGACTTCTTTGGCACTGACAGTATAACATGTTATTAACACTATTTATAATGCATTAACAATATATAATGTATGATAAACATGGCTATAAAGTGTAATTTAGTGTAATTTATTTTTAGAAATATTTATAATCATGTTTATAATGCCTTATGAATGCATTATAACATGTTATGAATGTGTTTATAGATGCTTACAAATTTCACATTCATAGAAAGTGTTATGCTATGCATTATAAGGTATTATGCATGCCATATATAATGTTGTATAAATATATTGGTAACACTTTCTATGAATGTCACGTTTGTAAGCAATACGGCATTATAAACATGATTATAAACACTTATAAAAATGAATTACACTGAATTATGCTTTATAGCCATGTATATTATACATTAGGAATTGTTAATATAATGCATTATAAGCAGTGTATAAGTATTATAATCCTTCAGTAATATTTCAACTTGAAGCCTCACTCTTAACACTGGAGGAGGCTTTAGTACAGTACGCTTCACTTTACTTAGAGCGGACAAATACGTGTTATGAGCTCTTATAATGTGTTATGATCAGTACTTATAATGTATTATGTTAACAATTCATAATGCATTTTTATAAATATTTATAGCTATGTTTATAATGTCTTATGAATGCACTATGAATGTGTTTATAGATGCTTACAAAGGTGACATTCATAGAAAGTGTTACCAATATATTTATAAATACAGGATTCATATGCAGTGTTCCCCAAGTTACCTTTCAATGCCAGGTGGTGAAGTGGAGGTGAAACATGAGGTTTTTTTTTATATTATTTTTTCCCTCCCTCTGGTTCACAGTGGTGTAAAAATGTCAGGAGACGTTTTTGTGTGGTGAGCAAAAGTCATTACGTCTTCATGGAAGACTATAGAAAATCAAGGGTTTTCTATTAAATGATCAATTTTGATTTTATGTTGGCTTTTAAAAAAATGGAAAGATTTAATTTTCAAGATTTGTACTGGTTCATTTTCCATGGAAGGCATAAACTATGTAAAGCACAGCTAGAATTTTCAAACAGTGTAAAGAAAAAAGAAAGAGAAAAATGGAGTGATGAGGTTTTCTTATGGTTGTGAACCTTGTATTGCATATATCTCCATTCTTATTGTTTTCATGGAGTTTTTTTTTACATCATTTAAAAACAAAGGCCTTTACAATGTGTGAAAAAAATAGTCCAAAATCATTTCTTTACATTAACTTCCAAGTTTTTCTCCTGTAAACTGGAGATACATGTATTTGTTCCATCGGTGACAACATGCAAGATGAAAAAGTCAGTGCTGATCTTAAGATTAATCTTAACAGTGTTCAGTTAACCACCACCACCGTTTGGCCTTACCTGTGGTGTTTGACATCAGAGAGGTAGCCACGGTCATCTTCAGCAGTCAGTGTGAACGAACGGACAGGGCCATGGTTAAACACCTCAATCAAAACCATGGAGTGATGACCTGAGAGGAGGTGAGGAGCTGAGAGCACCTGGCGGACAGAGATTTAATCAATATACAGTCATATCAGTAAAGGTTACTAAATGGTTCTTGTCTTGGAAGTATGGTTCTAGGAAACACTGCTAATTGGAATAGAACCTTCACATCATGTGGAGGTTCTTTAAACTTTGAAAAATGTTCGGTAACACTTTCTATGAATGTCATGTTTATAAGCATCTGTAACAACATTCATGTTATAATGCTTTTATAAGGCATTTTAAACACAGTTATAAATATTTATAAAAATGAATTACACTGAATTACACTTTATAGCCATGTTCATTATACATTATGAATTGTTAATATAATGAACTATAAGTAGTGTTAATAACATGTTATACTGTCAGCGCCAAAGAAGTCAGTCCCAGCTTGGAGAGACTAAAGTAAAGACAAATACAAAGTTTATTTTTACAGGATTTCCAACATTTTATTTCTCAGTGCTGGTGCTGTTAGGGCTGCATCTTCGGGGCTTCAGTCCTGAATATTCAGATGCTCTAAACAGGCTGTGGCAGTAATTCTAGGCTGGACACTGTGCTTTTCTTACCCAGCGCTCTCACTTTAAATGTTACATTACATCACAGCAAACCAAGCACCCATCAGCCCCTCACCTTGACCAACGTCAAGCACTAGAAACCTTCACTCTGTAACATCAGTAATGCTAATTTCTGCTAGCATTCTATTGGATATCAGTAAAACACTGATGGCAGCACTAGTTTAAACTCTGACATTTGAAGCCTGTAATGAGCTTATTATGTATGTTTTAGTGTTTCAGTAAATTCCTCAGTAAATACTTCAACCTGAAGCCTCACTTTTAACACTGGAGGAGGCTTTAGTTTAGTACAGTAAGCTTCACTTTACTTAGAGCAGACACATACAACTTATGAGCTCTTATAATTTGTTATGAACACTACTTATAATGCATTATTATTTACAGCCATGTTTATGACGCCTTATGAATGCATTGTAAAATGTTATGAATGTGTTATAGATGCTTACAAATGTGACATTCACAGAAATTGTTACCAAATGTTCTTTAAAAACTTATAAAAATTGGTTCTTTATGATCAGTCAAATAGTTCTTTAGGCATGAAAAGTGGTTCCTCTATGTATGTTAATGTGAGATTGATGTTGGTGTGATTTGAGTCTCCTGAACTCGTACCAGTATCTGTACATGTGTGGGCTGGACTGTCTCAGCAGAAACTCTCTCGAGCTTGTTCCCATTCCTGTCTTTGCCAGAGAGACGCATGCTGTAAGGCATTCTGGGAACTGAGTCCATGCGGCCCACCAGCTCCTCACCGGACCAGCTGGAGGAATTCAGCAAAACCTTCTGCAAGCTTTCCCCATTGGTCCCTAGCAAGGTCACATGACTGAAGGTAGCTTCATCACTGCTGGACAGGCCTGTTATAGACACCACCAGAAATGTTGGTACACCTGTTGGGGGGCAAACAGGTAACAATGTTTAAGGAAATGAAACTCTGAATCATACTTCATGGAAGTCATTCTAAATAGACTTAATTTTCCAAAACAGATAACATAGGTCAAACAATTAGCATCTCTGTAAAAAATATCGACTCAAAATAGCTACGTGTGTACATGTTTATAACATAAACAGAACTGTCTGAGTGTGATAATGCATAGGCTCACTGAACATTGTTTAAAAAAAAACAGTGCACGAATGCTTTTTTACACTTTTACACTTTAGATTGAATGTAAAACACAAGTTTTCTGAAAAATTGATAATGATCCCACATTATTTGGATATCCCCCCGTAGATTATCTGCAGATATAGATAATCTATCTGGTGACACTCAGTTGATTCTCAACAATGTTACAGTTAATGTTTTGACCAGGTGAGGGCTTATGACATACTTATTATTAGCTTATTATTATTTAGTAACCACAAGGACTTCAATGCAAACTCATGGAGCTTTTCTTAACCTGGGGCCTGTTGTTTGTTGAGTACAAGTTATATGTAAAGTAAGCATCTACAAAATGTCTGCAATGGACTATCCAAGTGTTCCTTGAATAACTTGTACTTAATTGCCATTTTGATTGACATTTGCACAGTACTATATATGACTAATACAGTATGTATATGGAACAATGTATGTTAACCTGACCAATAATGAATGGAGGACAGAGTGGTTGACAAATGTATAGCATAACAGAGGAGCTATATTCTGTAACTGTGCTTCTATATCCTCGTGAATCCTTTGAAGTAGGTGTTTCTAATAAAGTTTCCAGCGAAGGGCTGTACAAGGTAGGTGTTTCTAATAAAGTAGCCAGTGAAGGGCTGTACAAGGTAGGTGTTTCTAATAAAGTAGCCAGTGTGAGAAAGTACAAGGCAGGTGTGTCTAAGAAAGTGGCCAGTGAGGGGCAGTAAAAGGTAGATGTTTCTAATAAAGTGGCCAATGAGAGGTAGCACAAAGTATGTGTTTCTAATTAATTTGGCCAACGATGGGTAGCACAAGATAGGTGTTTCTAATAAAATGGCCAGTGGGTGGAAGCACAATGTAGGTGTTTCTAATAAAGTGGCCAGGAAGAGTTAATACAAGGTACGTGTTTCTAATAAGTGCCCGGTGAGTGGAAGTACAAGGTACATGTTTCTAATAAAGTGACCAGTGAGTGGAAGTACAAGGTAGGTGTTTCTAATAAAGTGGCCAGTGAGTGGAAGTACAAGGTACATGTTTCTAATAAAGTGACCAGTGAGTGGAAGTACAAGGTAGGTGTTTCTAATAAAGTGGCCAGTGAGTGGAAGTACAAGGTACATGTTTCTAATAAAGTGGCCAGTAAGTGGAAGTACAAGGTACATGTTTCTAATAAAGTGGCCAGTGAGTGGAAGTACAAGGTACGTGTTTCTAGTAGTGAATGTGAGTGTATACAAAAACAACTAAAACCAAAGGAAAACAAAAACCCAGGCTTAAACACACCTGCGACAGGACTGCCCTCCACTCTCCTCAGCCCTGGGTGAGTCTCATTCACCTCCACTGCAAAGTGATAGAGAAAGTCCAATGTGCTTTCACCTAGGAGACAGAATCCAGATGGTGTCTGATTTATCGCTGTAGCACAGACCCGGGAATTATCTGTTTTAAGTGCGTCATAGCCAGCATGAGAAAACTGACTGTTTAATGTGGTCGTTAAAACGTTAGCACACAGTCATAAATACTGTATAAACATGTGTATAGTAAACACTGATGACATTGACCTAATTGCATTTATAACTATGCCTTACACCAGTCTTAACGGTCACTGACATATCTTTCACAACATGACCAAGTTCAAACAGAACATGAATGGAAACAGACCATCTGAACAAGCAGAAGCCTCTTACAGATGCTTACAGACCTAAAGACTAGTGACCTACTAATATAGAGTTTATGGCCGTATTCATGCAGTATTGAAGTCTGGCCTAATATGGTGAGATATGAATGCTCTGGTCTTTGTTTAAAGACAAGTGGGCAGGCCTGCTTACCTAAGACATTGAAAGTGATTGGCCCACGGGCTGTAACATTGAGCTGCCATTGGCCAGGCTCTATGGGCGGCAGGAGAGCGACTCTGTAGAGACCTTCAGACTGATCCATTTCAGCCAGAGGACCAGCTGCACTGAAAAGTGACTGATGAGCACCTGTTGGATAGAGAGAGAGAGGGGGGGGGACTGTGTTTACATGCATTAATATGTACCTTGTACCTCCACTCATTGGTCACTGGTGTAACACGTGTAGCCCCCCTCATTCATCATTGGTCAGTTTAATCAGTGTTAACCAGATTTGGGTGGAGGACCCTTCTCAGTGCTGTAGTGACACTGCAGTGGTAGTGATATTGTAGTGTTTGTGGCACTGGTACAGCAGTGCTGCTGGGGTTTGTACACACGTCAGTGTCATTACCAGATTGAAGGTGGTCCACCAGCCAATCATATCCAGCTAAGAGTGGATCTGTAATCAGAAACTGACCACAGATGAAGAGACACAGGATAACACAAACTGTGCATCTACAGATGGGCTACACTCTCTGAGAATACACCAGCAAGGTGGAGCTACAAGGGGTTTCTAATAAAATGGCTGGTGGGTGTGTATGGGTATATCAGTGCGTAAGTCTATGCATGAGACAGTGTAAAAGATAATAAATATTCAGAATTCACAATTTTGGGCACTTGCATGCACAGAATACTTATACAAGTAAGCTGTGCACTAAATCAAGCTTTGATTTTGATTTTTAATCCCAAACAGGAAATAGCAACCAACCAAGGGGGCTTCACGTCCGCGCAACTTTCTTGGATTTCTGCTCAAAAGTAAATAAAAAATGTCTGTTTCTGTCTAAAATAACTACAGTGAAATGGGTACACTGTAAAAAAAATAGATAAAAAGAAGTCCAGGAGTGCCAGACAAAACATGTTAATTAACAGTAAAAGAATGTTTTCTCAATGATGGTAAAAATCTGTAAAATTACGTTCATTTATTCATTTTTTTAATTCTGCATTTTTTTAAAATTCTGCCTGTGTGTGTGTGTGTGTGTGTGTGTGTACCTGTAGGGTTGCTGAGAACACACTGCGTGAGTTTTCCTGCAACATGCAGCGTAACAGCGCTCACTCCACGGTCAACTGTGAAAGAGTGGGATGAATCGGCTTTACTTTCTGCATGAAACAGAGTGACCTGAAAAAATAGAAATATAAACATTAATAACATTAATCATCATAACACATTTGTTGTACTGTGCTGAAATCCATAACAGCACTTAAGCACGTGTGCTTGTGTTCATAAAAACAACACATAATATTAGAACAAAAGCAAATAAAACACAAATACAAGCTTGTACCAATACAAGAACCCTTTTTGGTACCATATAGAGCCCTTTTCAAAAAGGTTCTAAATAGAACCACATACAGAACATTCTCCATCAATCTAAAGAAGACTTTCATGAGGCAAAGAAACCCTTTAATAATACAGAGGGTTCTTTAAATGTTCATGGTTCAACCATTTTCTTTGCTGAAGAACTATCATTTTTAAGTGTGCATGATAAAAGCTCCTCATGGTTTCTCAGTTAGATCGATTTGAGCAACTGTAAACAACACATATCATTGGCATTTCTGAGAGCTTGTGACAGAACTTCAATTCAATTCAATTCATCAATCAATTCCTGCCCTACATTTGCAGTTGGCACCGCAGCAATGCTGTGATGTGACGTGATATGCAAACAGGCTGTTGAAACCAGTTCACCTACTCAAAGAAGTTTTATTTTTATTTTGTACTGTTTTCAACAATTTACAACAATAGCTGGGACACTGAAACTACACTGTAAGCCTGGATAAGTTGAATTAACTTAAAGTAATGTGTAATGAAAACTTGAGTTAGAATAACTATAATTTTCTGTGTTAGGCTAACATAAACACATGTTTATGCAACTCATAAATTCTAATTATTTTAATTTAATGACGTGAAATTGCAATTTAACTGTGTGTTTCATTAGGAAATTGAGAATTTTTTGCAATTAAGTGATATTGACCAGTTTGCTAAGCACTGATGGGTCAGCCTTTACTGTGAACATGGTCACTGACCAACACAAATGCCCACTCATCAAGAAAGAAACGATAACCTTCACTCTTAGCCAACAATACAATATCAGAAAGCTGAGTAAAGCATATATAAAACACATACGCCTGAGGAAAGGCAGCCTGGGTGGAATGAAAGCACACTGACGGTGAGTAAAACAAATAGAAAGAAACACTCAATATGCAAATAGATGGAGCCAGGAGCCAATGGGAAAGAAATATATGTTTAATCTAACAAGATCGTGTTAACAAAACAAAATGTAACTGTATTTCACAGTTTACTTAGTTTCACACATTTGTTCAGCAACTTTAATGAGAAAAACAATTAAAACCAACAGAAATGACATTTTTTGAATGTGGGGTTTCAAAGTTGCCATAGCAACAGACTATAGCAATAAGTTAATTCAACTCAAAAATGCCATTTGAGAGCGCAAAATCATCAAAAACGTTCCCTTAACTTAAAATTGTTGAGCAATGTGTGGGACATACTGAGTTTTATGTATAACAGGCTTAATTTATTTGAGTTAAAACAAAATGCGGGATTACAGTATATGACAAAAAACGCAATCAAAATGAATCATGATTCTATAGAATGCATTATATATGGAGTGCATGTCTGTCTGTGCTGTTCTTTCAGCCGGGTTGCTAAAGCAAAGCCCTTATTGTTGGTAGTTTTTGTGAAAAATACACATTTAATACTTGTGAGATAACATATAGGTTTCGTCCTCCATCTTAAAACTTCACTGTCAACAGTTGGAACTGTGGAATGATTTTGACAGTGAGACACTCCAGAAAATAACTGATTTCCTGAGGAGAACCCCAGCTACTGAGCTAGAGAGCTCTTTGAGGCCCTGAATTTGCATCACATTTATGAGTTTGCAAAGTGTGTTTCATTGTAATGAGTGCTGGGTCTTGTTGGCCACAGTACTTTTGTCAAATTTGCTAAAATCTGGCCCATTTGTTAGGATTAAGAAAGGTATTCATCCATTCAATTGTGTCCAAACTTGTAACTGGAACTGAATGACCTGTGCTCTGTTCATACCTTGCTGGAAGCAGTGCTGTCTTCTACAATGGCTGAAGCTTTGTGGATGTCTCTGTTGGTGGTGAAAATGGTCATCCCTCCAGACAGAGAGGACAGAGAAGAGTAGACAGAGAACCTGTCAGGAGACAACGTCTCTCTCCTCTTCCTCCTTATCTTGTCGCTCTCTTTCACTCCGTGACTCGGATCTTCAGTCAACAGGAAGGTCACCTGAGGCAGGTAAGGGAGATGCAATTGATGGTCACTGATCAGAAGCGAAGAGCTGAGGAGAGAAGTATTAGTCTCCTTGTCCACCTAATTCCATCCCAAAATGACTAATGGTGTTGGTGATGGTGTACAAAAGTACAAAGAATAGTCAAAGCAGTACATTTACAACAAACCAGCATTTTAGAGCAAAGTGTTCCTGCCTTTTCTCCTGTTCCTCATACACTCTGAAAAATAGATGATGCCATATAAAACCTTTAAAGGGTTTTTTGGAATAACCGTTTGTGTAAATGAGATGTGGGAGTGTGAGGTTTAAGGAACATCCACATAACTGAAAGGTTCTGGGAAGAACTTAAATTAGAAAACAACCCTTTTGATTATGTGAAGGTTTTTGAACCTTTGAAAGGTTCTTCATGTTCACAAATGTCTTTATCAAGCATGATTCTTTTATAGACACAAACATTGTTTTTCTATGGCATCGCTGAAAGAACTCTTTGTAGCACCTTTTGTAAGAAAAGAGTGTAGGTCCAGCTTCATGTTATCCTGTTCACCTGTGTCTTGTTTATAACCACAACCAGTTATTGTTCCCAGGTGTGGTGGCTGATTTCAGTTAATATCTAATTAATCAGTAGATTAGGTATTGAATAAAGAGGGAAATATTTTGTCTTTGTACTGCTTTCATTTGAAAGTCGATTCACTGATCACTGCTTTCAGTTTTTATTTGCATTTCACAAACTGACCCAACTCTTTTAGAATTGGGTTTGTATATGAGTGTGTGTGTATACATGTGTGTGTACATTACCTTGCTCTTCTTTTCTAAGATGAGGGCCTTTACAGTGTTGTAGAGGTAGCGGTCTTTAGGAGAGGCATCAGTGAAAACAAAAATCTCCGACAGCGGTGGGCTATGGATGAGCGCCAGCTGAAATAAATAAGCACGGACAAAAAGAGTGATGAGACTGCAAGTCTGAACCATTAGTACAGTTAAACATATCCTAAAAGGTTAGCAAATCCCAAGGAATGGCAAACGTAATAATCATTTGGGGACTGAAGAGACTGAAGAGACATTTGGGGACTGAAGAGACAAACAGTTTTTCTACTGTTATACAGAACTTCAACTGTGCAATTGTACAGAGAATTCGCTGTCATACTTTAAGCTTAACCCCTTAAATGGCCAGTACCCACTAGCAGGCCCAAAGTTTTATTTTTAGAACTTAAGAATAGCCCAGCTACTTTGCATTAAAATCTGTAGTTACAGAATAATAAGTTTTAGTATGTAAAAAGCCTGAGATTTTAAGGGGTTAATAAGACAGGTTTTCAATGGGAGACAGACAGGCTAGTCTAGCACCCACATTCTATGATTATTCAGCCATGCTGCTGTAACACGCAGAATGTGGCTTGGTGATGTCATGTTGAAATAAGCACAGACATCTCTGAAAAAGACGTTGTCTAAAAGGCAGCATATGTTGTTCCAAAGTGTGTTCAGCATTAATGGTGCTTTCACAGATGTGCAGGTTACCCACTAATACCCCTCCATCCCATGACAGACCCTGGCTTTGGAACTTTACACTGGTAACAATCAATGAGGACATGACATCCATTATTTCCATAAACCATTTAACATATTGGGGCAAACAAATAAAACATCAAACATGGCTTATATATTTTAAGTTTTAGTTTTTCCAAATTTGTTAAAAATAAATACAAATTGCACACTAGGATTTAACATACACATCATTTTATTTTTCACTTAGAAAATCAACTAAACATGTCATTTGACCAGGGGTATTTAGACTTTTGCATACGACTGTACATCTTGCTCAATTTCTCTGTTTCCATGGTTACCTGAATGGCAGTGAGGCACATCTCTGGTTCATCTCCTCCACCGAGAGCCATTAAATCCTCCATGAAGCGCTGGAACTCATCAGGGTCATCAGTCTCCAACACTGGACCTACATCTAAAAAAAGCACACTCATTATATGTGCTACATGATAAGGCAAATTAATCTTGATTAATTGTTGCTGTTTGAACACAACTGCGCTGACCTTCACTTGGACAGCTATTACTACTAAGCGTGTAACATATCAAGAACCAATAACCAACTATGGCTGTTTGCCATAAGTTGAAATTTTCTGCAGAATTCAACTGGTGACGTTAACAAAGTCACTCAGAGTGGTTTGATGTGAAATGGTGCATTGTAGAGAAAATGCTGAGCCAGAAATGTTCACAGTGGTAGTGATAGGAACCAGACATCTGAACAACACCCTGCATGCACGCCTACACCAATAATGGGGTTAAAAAACATGTCTTTGGCTAAAGGCTTCTCTTAAAACTAGCGTAAAACAGTGTCTCAGGCTTAAGACATTGTATTTGTAACCATTTTGTGGAATAACTTTCTGTAAGGGAGCTTTCTGTGGCCTTAAACTCTTCAGACGTCTGGTTCCTGTCACCACCACTGTGATCAACTCTGGCTCTCTGAATGACTTTGTTTACATCTTAACTATTTAGTTATTTAGTGATATTGAAAAATTGGTGAAACCCCTGTTAAACTGCCTACATAGAACGAGTTAACCTCAGTTGCATTTGCTAGGTTTTTGAAGCTAAAACTCTTCCTAGTTTAACATGCTTTGTGAGACAGGTGGCTATTCACAAAGCTAATGTGCACAAACCATATAAAAAAGGCTGTTTATGTAAAAGTGTCAACCCAGTATTGGTACTGAAAGTCGACACTCAAGTCAGCCGTGCATTCCAGAAAACATTTTGTGTCGAGGGGGGCTCTTACTTGGGTCGTGGAAAGGGACCAAAAGGAATGTGCCGGGCAGGCCAGGAGCTTGAATACTGGCCCGGGCCTGAACGATGGACAGGACACGCATGCGTGCAGCTGTGATTTCCTCAAACATGCTGCCCGTGGTGTCTATGACGAACACCAACGCTGGCGGCTGCTGGACACTGAAGAGCCTGGAAGAAGCACACATGATGCAGTGCTACAGCAACAGCAACAGCTCAAAACATTTCAGCTGAATTTGATTTGATTATGTTAAATCTAGTTATGGCCGGTCAAATCCAATTAAATCCAGGACACTGTCAGGTCAATGCAATTATGCATTATTTTAGACCAAAGCTTTTCCGTTTGGAATTCAATGCACAGTCTTAAGTTAAAATGGAACCAGGAAGCTTACGACTCAAGGCTTATGGAGAACACACACATGTGCTAGGGTACAAAAGGAACCATGATCCATAATATTGGTTACTCATAGAATTTATTTGGGTTAAAATTTGTTTTTTCAAAGTGGCTGATGTTTGATTGCTCTGTCCTATTATTTGTATGTATTGGTCATTTGTACCAGCTGATATTGATAAAAAAAATAACTTATTATTATTATTATTATTATTATTATTATTATAGTGCTTACCTTTTTGCATATTTTTCACTTTTTTAAATATCTTTTTGATTTCTTTTAAAGTAAAGTCTTTTTATGCTGTCCGACATTTTCATGTCACTACGAAAATACTAATGGACAACTGCACTGTCATTGGCTTAACTGTGGTTTAGAGTTCAATCTGAGTTTAAACCTGGATGAGTCATGTGGGTTCTCAAGCTCATTGCTGTCATTTAAATGTCACATATCTGCCACTAGATGACACTGTGTCTAGTTTTAAATAAGGTTTATCTTAAACCTGCCGAAGATTTGGTTTTACTGAGGTAAGATTACTGTAAGCTAAGATATTTTAACATTCCATAACTAGGCCCATGTTCATTCTGTCATAGTGTGTTGTGGACTTTATGGCATGCTTTCATTTAATGCTACATCAATCAGGCATAACATTATGACCACCTCCTTGTTTCTACGCTCATTGTCCATTTTATCAGCTCCACTTACTATATAGGTGCACTTTGTAGTTCTACAGTTACAGACTGTAGTCCATCTGTTTCTCTGCATACTTTGTTAGCCCCCTTTTACCCTGTTCTTCAGTGGTCAGGACCCCCATGGACCCCCACAGAGCAGGTACTATTTGGGTGGTGGGTCATTCTCAGCACTGCAGTAACACTGATGTGGTGGTGGTGTGTTAGTGTGTGTTGCGCTGGTCTGAGTGGGACAGACACAGCAGACTATAATAAGTTCAATTCAAAAATATGCAATAATTGCATTAAATAAAATGTATTGCTTTTTTATCTTATACAATAGATTGGTGTTTTTTTGATGGATCCTTAGACAAGTAGTTCCCAAGCTGCTCCTCGGGGATCCCCAGACTGTCCCTATGTGTGGGGAGCCAAAATGTGGACCTCTGCCTTAGATCATAAATTTTGGTCCTGCCCAAAGTTGGCCTTTTTCTAGGTATTTGGTATTCAGTGGTGTGATCTTTCTTGACCCTGTATTGACTTAGAATAGCTGCTGTTTGTTTTGGTGTTGCGCTACAAAGCACTTTATTTTATCTTTCATTCACCTTTATAGTTTTTATTATACTTATTATAGTATTTTTTCTAGATTTAATCCTGTGTACTGCATGTTGTCTTGTTCGTATCTATTACAAATTAAAAGAAAAGTTTTCAACCTTGGAATACTCAGAAGTCTTTAGAAAGTAGATGTGTTTGTGACCTCTGACCTGAGGAAACTCTTGGGCCCCACCTCGTCTCGGAGGTCTCGGAGGACGCTGAGGGTTGCCGTGGTTGCGAGCTGGGCGGCCTCTTTATGGAGGTAGTGGTGGGGGGAGAAGAGTGGGGAGGTGCTGTCCTTATTAATGCCACCCTCAGCTCCTTGGTGACGACTGCTGTCCAGAACACCACCATGACTGCACTTTCCTGTGAGACACCAACATCCTGAAAGCTCATATGTCTCAAACTACACCATAAAAAATGAGAAGGCAGTTCAACAACTATTATATTATTATACAGCTTTTGCGAATTAACTCAACTTGGGAGAAAAAGTCTGATAAAACTAAAAAATCGGAGAGTAAAATCAGATTCTATATGGTTTAACTAACTGAGAAGCATAAGTAACAAAAGTTTGCAGTTTGCAGAACTTTTGACTAAGAATTGGGTGAGTTGGGTGAACTCTGGTATCCTCAAGTTGAGTTAACTCAAGAACAGCTGTGCAATCAATTAACTAATAATTTGAAGTTGAGGTGACTTTCATTTTTAGCAGTGTAGCCACCTTGTTAATTGGTAGCAAATACAGGCCTAAAGCATCATAAAATTGCATCCAATAGTGTTGTTAAGTAATGTTAAATTGATGTGTTACGGGACGGCAGGGAGGCAGACCCAAGTGCAGAGAGGAAAACCCGTGAGAAAGGGTCTTAAATGAATTTAACGAGGTGAAGGAGTGTGAATTGAGTGCTTGAGCACGTTGGGGTGGTTCAGAACCAGGCTTGAACGGCCGATGCACTGATTGGCGGTCCGAGAAGTTACCGCTGCACCACCGGGAAGACCGGCGGGAAAAGGTAAACAAAGGGGACGCTGAAAGCAGCGTGCTCAAACAAAGGTTGAGATAGAAAAAGTGAAATAAAAGACAATCAGAAAACCAAAAAAACTACAATTCCTCTGTGATTCTGAGAGGAAGGTCAGCTCTATGTTTCACCTGTTTGCTCTTTGTGGAACAAACACTTTTTGTATGACTTGGAGCCGTTTCTTGTTTAAGCCTTCTTTTTGTGCTTTTAAGTAGTTTTGGGGCAATTTCTCTCTTTTGTTTTTTCCTGCCCTCTTTTCTTTTTTTTGTTTTCTTTTCGTTTTGTTTAAATACCCACCTGGGCTAAGTACCGTACTGGTCACCCCTCTACAAAGGTGTGACATAAGTCCACAGGTGTGCCAGGTTGGGCCTCATCAGCCCAAGGGCTTCTGGGAATTGGAGTTCCCTCTGTTGGCGGCCAGCAGCACAGGCTGGACCTCTACAGATATGCTTTCATAGTTTCTTACATATATGGTTTCATTGTATATAATGGCTTTATGGTATACGACATCCTGATATCTAAAAAAAATGGACTGCTATTACTGTTATTATTTATTATATTATTAGTCTTTTTTTTAGATAACAGTATGTTTTTTTGGCCAAAGCATTACTTTAAAATAAGTTTGTAAGGAGTGCCAGGTTGAAGGTTATTAAAGACAATATGGTGTTGCCATTGTTTGATAAGTTAACATGTAGGTTTGTAGCTCTTTTAAGCTATGTATGTGCCTACAGCTTTGGGCTTGGCCATCAGTGAGTAAATGTACCTTTGGGTTTGGCTGGGTAATCGCTGAAGTAGCCAGTGGTCAGTAGAGGCTGTGATGGACCCCTGACTAGCTCTTCCAGAAGATTGTTATAACAGCTGAAACGGTGGCATCCAGCACAGGTAGGCGTGTCCTCTGAAACCAACAAGTTCAGCATCGGTTAAGGCCATGCTACATACGTTTTGGTTGCTAAAAATAAAAAAGCAGCATTATCGAGTCAGTCGGTGATAAAAAAAAGCTAAAACATGGCATCTTTGTCCTGTTGAGAGTCAAAATAAATGGACATTGCTGGGTTGGATTTGTTTGCCTTATATATAGAGGTCTGTCTGGACACCAGAGCACTGTAGAATACCTTATAGTGCAGGTAGTGGTAGCAAAGTGGATAACACCATAACATCTCACACAGAAGACGGAAGATTCGATTCCCTGTCCTGGCAGCCGTGATACCTCTATACCATTCTGACTCCTTGTGCTATACACCTAAAGCTACATTACCCTATTGTTGTAAGTCACTCACTAAACATAGAGGACACTGACAAATGGGAATCCCACCTTGCAATGATTAATCTGCTTGTGTGGAGCACAGTTGATGTTACAAAAATGCCCCAATGCAAGGTGCTTGCAATTACATATTTCCACCAGAGAGGTCTTCAAACTCACATGCTGTTTCAACTACTGTATACATATACAACTGCTCATCTAAACTGTTCATCTAAAGCCATTACTGTTATGCATGCATGTCTTTGAACTGTCGTACAAATCAAGTCATTTCACATGTAGCATAGCTCACCTGGTGCCACAGGCACTGCAGGCTCCTTGGGGTGCAGCAGGTGAAGGTACTCAGAATATTGTCCCATTTCCACCCAGTTACTGTGGCTATAAAAGTCCTACATACACATAAAATAAATAGACATTTCCAACCACTGGTTTTATGATTAGTTTAAGAAGTGTATAAACTTGCCATTTAGAAAAAACAAGGCATTGTGTGTAACATTAGTGTAAAGCACTGTTTAATTTATAATTCTTGTTCTTTCTTTTGATTGAGAAAGATTATTATATTTATTTAGCGCAATAAACCACCTCAATAAGTTGTCTTTCGTGTTTTGCAACATCGTCCTGGTTGAAATGTTACTTTACATGAATGACATCTAGTTGCAGCCATGCCGAACAAGACCCAGGCTGGGCAGAAGCTAGGCAATTAGCTAACAAGCTACCTAAGCTATCTACCTAGCTAAGGCACTGGTGAGGTAGCTCACCATACCACTAGGTAAATGTTTGTTAGCACAAACTGTGTCAAAGAAGGCACACTCTAGTTGCATGATTAAGTAAGGATGGATAATATGACTCTTTTTGTTTTCTTAGCTACCTAAGTAGCTAACGTGGTAAGGATTGTAGCTAATCTTATCTCAACAACAACCCTAAACCTAACTCTTTTATTTTGAAAGGACAATAGTAATTTACAGTAGCTATGAGGTTGGGGATGCACCTAACTATAACCATAACCTTAATGTATCCTACCTCACTAACACTAGCTAGGGCAGCAAACCTAGTTTCCCAAGGCCTTGTTGTTCTTGGGGTCCTATGTTCCCAGGGTACTATATTCCCAGGGTCCTATTTTCCTTCAGCTCTTTATACAATATGTCAAAGCCTTGTTACAATAGAAGTACCTTTTTGATGCTATATAGAACCCTTTTCAAAGAGTCTCTATATAGAACCATCTACAGCACATTCTACATCAATCTGAAGAACCATTTCATGGTGCAAAAAACATAGTGTAAAATACCATAATTTTTAAGTGTGTAGGCAAGTTCTGCACCTGAACAACATGGGGCTGACACACGGCACCATGGGAACAGAGTTGTTTCCTAGGAAATGTCAATGAGTGCGACCCTGGAAGTTCAGGATCCTGGAAATAAGGGATCTTTCCAAACTACAAAGAGGGAACACAGTGCCTGTTAAACGTAGGGCCCTGGAAACAAAAGGCTGTTTTCTAGACATTTCAATGGGAAAATAATGGGCCCGGAGAACATAGGACCCTGTAAACATTGGACCCTGGGAACATAGGGATGACCCTTTAGATAGATAAATGGTTTGGAACCATTCACCCAGTCTGGAGCCTCTTCTGCACAAGCCGAAGCTTTGCCCAGCTTGGGGCTTGGTTTGTGGGGCTGCAGCTGGATATTACTGCACCTGTAAGGAGTGAAAAAGCTGTCCCAGGCTGTGTCTTGCTGCCTCGTACTCCTTCTTCTGGATCAACAAAACGGTCTGCTTCCAGAAGTCCCGCAGCATCTGCGTGGCTTCTTCTACTCTCTCTGAGTCAAAGTGGTACACCGGATCAGATCGAGTGGAGCTCAGGAAGTCCATGGCAGCGTTGGCACTGACCACCTCACCCACAGCCTGCCAGAAGGCCCTGCCCAAGCCTGCCTGTGGGCCACAGGTACAGGTGAGTGAGTCAGCATATCAAGCCTACTTGATACATTGAATCACAGTTTAGCTAATTCATCAGTGGAAGCTTTACATCTGTCATTTTGTTCAATAAAGAATTTTGAGGAGGATGATGGGCGGTTTTGGTACAGTAAGCAGCTAAATAAAGTAGAATTTGAGTTGTTGTGATTGTGGCAGTGTTTTTAAAACTATTATATGTAATGACTTCCTGTGAGTTGGTTTTTAGAAGTGTTACACTCTTTAGACATCTGGCGCCGTATTACAGAAAATTCTTAAGTCTGAGATCTGCTTTGTTGTCAAGGCAACTTCAGTTAAGACTGAATTTAGGACAGAAGCCATTACAGAACAACAGTTCTTGAGTCTATAATCTTATTTCCAGATAAGAAAACGGTGTTACAGAAACATCCTAAGTTGCCAAAATATCCTAAATATTTTTTTAACTTTAAGATAAACCCCAGAGCGTCTTAACTTCTGTTTTAACTGTCTGTTTCTATTGTTTTATGCAGTGATGGGCAGCACAGTTCACTATAACTAGAATAATGACGCTACATTTATCTACCCTGAAAACGGTGCTTTGACTTGTGAGTTTTTTCTAACAGCATTTTAATAACCCCAGACGCTGCAGACTCGATCTCCACCGTCCCTCTTATTACCTTCGTGTGTTAATGTAGATGATGAAATATTACAGTGATGGTGGTGAATAATGAGGAGACGGAGCTGAACGTGTGTCTGTTTATTAGGAGGAGTAACGTTAGCGTGCTCGGCTAAAGCGTTTGGGAAATGGAGACTGAAACTGAAGATCGGCAACGCTCTGATAAACAGCTTTTCTTATTCTTAACTTTCAGTTTATCGCGCTTTAGTTTTATTTGACCTTTTTTTACCTCAGTAACTGTAGCTAACGTTAGCTGTCTGGCTAACTAACTTGATTACGTGTTTACGTTTCTGCTGTGTGTGTATGGTCGGTTGCTAGGTAACAGCCGTGACAGTTGATTGTCAACTTCAATCAAGTAAGTTAAGATTTCCTAATTTGAGATAAGAAAAGATGCTGTAAGGTAAGTTTTTTAAATTAAGATCAGATTTGCTTCTGTAATATGAATTTGCGAAAAATCTTATCTTGACCGGTCAGATCTTAAGTTAAGACAAAAAGATAAGAATGTTTTGTAATACAGCCCCAAGTTCCTTTCACCACCACTATGAAAAACTCTGATTTGGTACATTTCTAGAATGGATCATTCCACATCTAATCACTCTGAATGACTACTCATATTCTAGTGATTAAATTATGTGGACATTTTGGAAAATCTGTGAAATTCCTCTTCAAGGCCAATGAAACAAAGTATAAGTTCCATTGTGCTGCTTCACCTACCTGACTGGTGGTGTCCTGCTGGAATCCATCCATCCTACTCAGTGTCTCCATAGTAACATTGACCAGGGCCTGCTCGGTCATGTACTGGTGTGTGTATGAGTCCCAAGATAGGGTCAGCACTCGAGACCAGAAGTTAGGCAGGAAGGCCCAGCAAATTGACGCACAGTGAATCAGAAGAATGAAGAGGATGACCTCTGCACGACCTTTACCCATCGCTCCACACTCACTGTGACTCAGCCAGTTTATCACGTGTCACATCTGTAACTAAAGGAGAGGTACCATCATCAGGAAGGCACCAAAAACAGGGAACACTGTAATTCAAAGTCCCTATGCATAAGAACCCTACTTATCAAAACAGTGCCTGCATTTACCCATAAGCATTCATAAATGTCTATACATGCAATGTACACTAAAATAAAGGTGCCAAACATGTTTCTTGAGCCATAAATGAACCATTTATTGTTCCCTTTGTTCCTTAAAGAACCATTTGCTTGTAAAGGAGATGTTTAAGTGTAACGAACTTTTGTTAATCTTTTTAATGAAACTCCACATAATGTAAAGGATCTATACACTCTAAAAAATAAAGGTTCTTAACTTGGACGTTTGGTTCTGGGAAACTTTTCACTGGTATTGAGCCAACCATCAAAATGTTCTTTAGAGAACCAAACTTGAAAAACCCCAAACAATCCTCGTAACAGTGTAGGTAAGTTATGTGTAGAGGTGAGTAGTAAATAGGTACATTTACCCAGTGCCATGTAATTGAGTACAGACTATTTTAAGATTCTGATACTCATATTTGAGCACACTTAAGAGTCTACTTTTCCCCTTAGCTTTATTCCTGGCTTTAATGTCATACTGTTTAGCTGGCTCATCACTTGGACTGCTTTGCTTTTGCTCACACCTTTTACTTTCAAGTTTTATCTTTTTATTTTAGACTAAAATGATCAAAAAAGAGGAAAAATGCTCCTTATAAACTTTAGTTTCTATGCTGATAGATGCTGGAAGTTTCACTGCAGTCCAACAGGCAACTCGGAACTGGAGTATATAATAAAGTATAATAATAACATATTTGACCTGAGATTGATTTTGGGCTACTCTACCTACAGCTTTACAAAAATGTAGTAACACTTTCTATGAAGCCTGTATTCATAGAAATACAGGTAGTATTCATAGTTCATAGTTATAAAAGTGCTTATAACTTTTTGTAGCTTGGTAACAATGCTTTCTAAGCACACTTTATGAATGACTCTATGAATACTAATGCCTTATAAAGATGTAATAATGTACTATAATTAATTCTTTGATGACTTAGAAACATGTCGTAACACAAGCATCACTATCCATTGTAATGTCTTTTGAAAAGATAATGAGCAGCACATAATTATAAAGCACTGATAATATTTATTAACCCTTATAAATTATAAACATTTTGCTGCTGTTGGAACAAAACGCTGTATCTCTTTTTTTGTCATTTTTCAGTTTTTGACATAATTTGAACGTGGCCATGGTTCTTTACATTGTTTGTAAATTTCATATGGAATGGACCAACAGAAATGATCCAAAATGATGTGGAAAAAAGTCTGGTTCCATAGACTTACATTGAAAATAGAGTATGTTTTTTCCTTCTCCTGTAAAGTTATCTTTTTGGAGATACACATTTTTTGTTCTGAAAGCAGTGGTTTACTTGATTCATGTTAATTGATAAAAGTTTTAGGTTATTCAAATTCAAATGTTAAATGTGACGTGTACTGTGTGTGTGTTTGTCAGTGGGACCTCTATAATGTACTGTACATCATTTATTATTGCAGAAACAGCTGCAAGGTTCTAAGGTTTATTAGGTGCCACTTATGTATTCTGGCCATGTTTGAACATTGTAGGATAAACAAATATTCAAAATAGTTACTATACTATACTATACTACTTACTGTATAAAACAAAAACAATATAGCACCTTATAATTTATTCATAACAAAGATACAGTAGATAAAACATCAATCACTTGAAGCAGTGATGGCATTTAAAATGTTTATAATGTATTACTATGTATTATATAATTATGCACAGATCATTTTCAGTTTAAAAGGTATTATATTGCATAGTGACCCTTGTTTGTAACTCACCAAATGGGTCATTCTACAGAAACATCCATTTTTGTGTCCCTAGCATTTACAGATATATTACACTTGAAAACATGTTAGGGTTACAATTTATTTATATTTTAAAATAAAACAATACATTATTTTAACAATTAGACCTTCTTCAGTCATCAATTTAGCAATATTGGTTTTTAAACCAATCATATAGAATTCCAAGCACCACAGAAGAGCTCGTCCTCACAGCCATGTGTAAAGGCTGAGGCCATATTTTGAGGTAAAAATCATATTTTTCTGCATTTTTAACTGCAATAATCCATACATGACTATGAAATATAAATTAAATAGCATAAAGAAAACAAATACCAAATAAATATTATAAAATATGTAATGAAAGTTGTCCCCAGGAGTCGTGTCACTGGTGTTACTGCGTAACAAAAAATCTCTTATTTTGAAATAAAAGTCACACTGATGACATCACTTGACTTCCTTATACCTGTTTTCTGAGGATCTATGAAGAAAAGCACATGGTGAGTCCACTGTGTCTTTCAGTTATCAGAGATTTTCTCATTTAGCTCATGATTTCATATGAAGCTTTTAGCTGAAGTCACTGGTGTCACCGACTTTATTCTGAGGTAATTGTGAAAAAATAGAATACAAATGGATTAAATTACATATTTTAGTGGATATTCCATGACTGACCACATGTGGTTTGAAACTCTGTATCAAACCAACAAATTTTGTAAAATGCATTGTTCATTAAAAATGTCTCTGGTGTTACCTTTCTTATGTGTAACACCAATGAGGATCAGTAACACCAGTGACTCCTATAGATAGATACAAAAGTGGACGTTTCTGTAGAATGAGCCATATAATGAATTAATGTTCGCTGTTTGTGCATATGAAGCATTGTTCAAGTTTACAAAGCATTGTTACCAATAAACACAAATTTAATGGCATATGAATACAGACTTAATAGAACTTGTTACCAAAAATTCTACACAAAAGGTATTTTTTGTTTGTTTATTTTTTGTCTTGTATATTTAGGTTAGCCATACATCCGTTCACTTTAAACTGTTCTAAAAGGATTACAAATAAATGAAACTGTGCTAGTCAGGTTGAGGCAATCGTTCCCCACAAGAAGGTGCCAGTCTAGCTGAGTGCTAACCTGCGGTTTAGCCAGCCGAGCTCTCTTTCAGTTCATGTCTGCACAGGCTGCGGTCAGACTGTGAGCGTCTGCAAGGGAGAACAGAGGAGAAACTGAAGGGAACTGGCTGTAGCTCTTCACCATGGTCTTATCTAGAGCCACTGCTGGGCTTATCAGTCATGCCAGAGCTCGCTGTGTGTGTGCGTGCGTGCGCGTGTGTGTGTGTGTGTTTGTGTGAGTGTGTATGTGTGTGTGTTTGCATGTTTCTGTTGTGTGAATGTATTCGTGTCATGTATGTGTGCATATTTTTGTGTGCTTGTGTATGTGTGTGTGCATGCATGTGTCTGTATGTTTGTGTGTGTGTTGTGTGTGTATATTTATGTGTGTGTGTGTGTGTGCATGTGTATATGTGCGTGATTGCATGTGTCTCTCTATGTGTGTGTGTGTGTGTGTGTGTTTGTGCATTTGTGTCATGTGTGTTTGTATCGTGTGTGTGTGTTGTGTGTGTATATTTGTGTGTGTGCGTATATGTGTGTGTGTGCACACAGGGGTTTTTTACATTAAATCAAGTGAATAAGTAAAAAAAATACATAAATAAATGATAAAGGGTCTAAAAATGACTCAGTGGATTTAGCTGAAGGTGTCAATTAAACTGTATTGATTTATATATTATAAATGAATACAAAGTATGTTTTAATTTTTTGGCTTAAATCCCAACATAATCCATTTGTTGTAAAGTCAGAGACTTACTAGCTTTAGCTTTATTCATTTAATTGGTGCATATAACACCATGTCTACTTTCTTTGAAATTTGAGACAAATTAATTTCACGTCTGTACTGTACATGATGTCTTTGTTCAAACAACATTACTGACACAGTCTAAAGTATCTACAAGCAGCCAGAAGGTCTTAGAGATAGTTTTAGAAATGCACACGAGTGAACCAGCCCTTTAATAATTTGAAGAAATTGGTTTAAGTGAAATTAGATGCTAATGAACGCTATAACGGGGTAAGCAAAACATGTTTATTTCTCATACTAGCAGTGACTAAGTGGCCTCTAATGCATTTATTTCTTCATAGCAGTAATGAAAATCAGCAGGGACAGACAACAGTTCTGTATATTCTTTAATATGCACACAAGCCTAGGGCTCCTTTTTTTTTCCTTTTTATTCCACAACTTCAAAGAAAACAGTGACAATTATAACAATGTCAATTCCACATTACCTTGTAACCATCTAGCCCTGTTCCCCCCAACCCCATGACCCACCCTCCCCACCCCATTGATATCTACTTTCTGATTTTTATTGTACCACACTGGGTTGGATGTGGTCTTCCATAGTGTTGTTTTACAGCTATTTGATTGAATGGGATGAAATGAGTTCATATGCAATTTCCTGTAGCAGATTCATAAGAAACAGTTCTTCAAACACAAGCCGAAATACACATATAGTGCATGTACAAACAAACCTGTTACTTGCAGTCACACCTGCACTTCATAAAACATGCTGTAATTGATAGATTCGCCTTACCTTTCATTCTGCGTTCACTTCTTTATTCTATCTGTTCCAGTCAGTGATCGGCTGGGGCTTTTGTCACAAGACTGCTCAGGAAACCAAAAGCATGCATGTGAAGTCTTCTTGGTTTTTTTCATAGCCACAGATTGTGTTTTGATTGTCTCATCACTTTTGACACTGTTCCGTAGTGTCTGCAGCTCAGTTGAGCTCTCTAGAGCTCTGAAACATCAGGAGAAGCGCCACAGTCGTGAAGGCAAGGCGCTGGGATGGGTGTAGGTTGCGTCTGGCTGGAAGATGGAAGACCACATGGAAGTCCCCAAAGCCTCTCTCCCTTCTCTTTCTCCCCCTCTGTTCTTCTTGCCCCATTATAGCATGGTACACTTGTTCCCTACAATAGGCCTGAATTCATTAAGGGTCAGTGTGTATAGGCCGAGGCCTCCCTGCCTTTCAATCTTATCCTTTTCTTCTCTAAGAAAAAAGAAGCACACAAGCAGTTCTCTGGTGGCTTCTTTTTCAAAGAATCATGGGAGGTTGCTATCCAACCCGACTCATCAGCATTAGAGTGCATATATAGTTGTGGAGGAGTTAAATGGTGTTTCATTACAGACCTTTATCTGTATATTCTTTAAAGTAAAGGTACCAATGGGTGTCTATGCTTATGGGAAAATACTTTCATTTATTTAGAAGCATCGCATTATGTAGAGGATCTTAAAACTTTAAAAACAAACATTACTGTGCAAAGGTCTCTGGCAGCCAACCCATTTTTATAGGGCTCAAATTCTTTTTAGATGTGTGATGTGGAATGTAAACAAAATGTACTACAGAAGTCTGGAGAGGCTATGAGCTGTTGCTATAGTTTTCTGGATTGTTATCTTTATATAACAAAATAACTAACTTGTTATTTCAAGATAATAAATTTGTTATCTTGAGATAACAAGACAAGTAACATGTTATTTCAAGATAACAAATTTGTTATCTTGAGAAAACAAGATAAGTAACTCATTACAACTTTGTGATCTTGAAACCACAAGATAATTAACTCGTTATCTTAAGATAACAACTTGTTATCTCAAGATAACAAGATAAGTAACTTGTTATTTCAAGATAACAATTTTGTTACCTTGATATAACAAAATCGTTACCTTGAAATAACACGTTACTTATTATATCAAGGTAACAAAAAAATGGTTATCTTGAGATAACGAGATAAGTAACATGTTATTTCAAGATAACAATTTTGTTACCTTGATATAACAAAATAAGTAACTTGTTATTTCAAGATAACAACTTTGCTTATCTCAAAGTAACAATATAATTAACTTGTTACTTCAAGATAACTTCAAGATATCTTGAGATAACAAGATAATAAACTCGTTATCTTAAAATAACAACTTTGATTATCTTGAGATAACAAGATAAGTAACGTTATTTCACAATAACAATTTTGTTACCTGGATATAACAAAATAAGTAACTCGTTATTTCAAAGATAACAATTTTGTTGTCTTGTGATCACAAAATAAATGTTATTAGACCACAAGATAATTAACCCGTTATCTCGAAATAACAATCCAGAAAATTCTAACTACCTCATGACCTCTCTGGACTTCCCTATATATCAGTCTCCAAGATAATTAACAAAATCAGCCCATTTTGGGATATAGAAGAGGTTGGAAAATGGTCATAGAAAAATGAATTATGATGTTTTGGTATACAAACCCACACACATAATATAAGGAGTAAGAAAATACATAAATGTGGCACATTATGATGTTCAGTGTACAAGAACAGAGACCCCAGACCGTGGAGCAGCTGAAATGTTACAGCAAGCAAGACTGGAAACAATTCCACTTTCCAACTATAACAATTAGCATCCTCCATTCTTTAATGATAACTGAATGTTTTTATAAAGAAAACAGTGGTTAAAATGCCCCTGAACTGTCAGAAATAAAGGTTCTGTGCAGGTACATTTTTCATTCATCAAGGTACAAATAGTGTAAATGTTCTCTCAAAGGTTCAACAGTGGTGTTAAGGTCTGATTGTGAACCTTAAATAAGTTTTTCCAGGTGAAAAGTTCATATTTGTACCTTTTTCATAACCGAATGTTTTAAAACAGAACAGTGAAATAAAAGCCTGGAGACGAGACGGGGTGTGTGGAGTCAGTACAGCTTAGAACATATCATTCAGTGGATTATGGTTCAGTTATGTTCCCTGACTAAAGGTACTGAGATGGACCCTTGAGGGTTCCACCCCAGTGACAAGAGGTGCACTGACCCAGTGACAGTTTAGTGCCTTTATTTCTGAGAGTGTGTCCCAACTTTTTTGAAACATGTTGCAGGCATCAAATGTAGAATAAACATATAAACAATGTTAATTAGTTCAAACATTAAATGTCTTTGGGTGCTTGTGTGTGTGTGTGTGGTGTGTGTTTAGGGGGAAGGGGTGACGGTGTGAGTAAAGAGTGAGTAGAGGGTTGAGAATGAAAGCTAATGTGGGGGATTTCAATAGAAAAACGTGAATGGACCAGGATAGAACAGAGCGACAATAGGACTGGAGAATAAAGCAGTGGCTGGACTGAGACTATGACTCAGTATCTGAGCATATAAGACCTACTAGTTACTGGACCGGCTAGATGGCTCATACATACAGTAATATGCATGAGTTTGGGCAGCCTTTTTTAAATTAGGTTTTGTTGATTTTCTATGTGGAAATTAGTTATATCTTATATATAATTATATATATTTAGTTATATCTTCTATAGGGAACATACGTCTGCACATCTTGTGTTTATTTGCTTAATTTGACAGACCAGCTGTTGTTTCTACAGGTTTCTACAATCAATCCCATTTGGGCCCTAAATGACATCCTACTTTGGGTGACCCCTACATCCCCAATCTTATTATTTTGGATTAAAGAAGTTAAAACTATTTAGCAAAACTATATATGGAGTAAACAACTATGTCTATAAAATAAACTAAATGAACACACGTTCAGTTGTAGCATGCTTCACACCACTCCAGCCGACACTTGGCATTGCACATAGTGATCTTAAGCTTGTGTGCAGCTGCTCGGCCATGAAAACTGAAACACCTGAACACAATTATTGGAATAATTAACATACTGTTGGCCATATAGCGTGTCCATTCAGTGAGTTGTGTGATTATGTGAAACTTAACTTTGGCTTATCTCAGGGGAGTAATTTGCATTTACAGTGAAACTCTATCACTAAGGCACTCAGTCAGCATAAACTCAGTGGCCAAAACACTGGTCACAACCTTAACGCTGGTCTTGTTCATATCACTTAAAGAGGTGGCAAATATTGTTTTTCTACATTAGAAAAATACAGGTAAAAGCATTTAAATAAAGGTTTATATTGATATACATACTTTTGTTTTGCTCTCATGTGTTGTGTGGATCACATGACAGAGGATTTGACCCAGTATCACAGGTCCTGTTCAGCCAACCCAATGAAATCACTGGGTCCAACCTGTCCACCCTATTGTAAAGTTCTGCCTATGTCCCTGATGTATCCTGACCATTTTCCAACATCTGTTCACCCCATAGAATTAAACAGGCTATTTTTGTTGCTGTGTCCTGTATGTTAATAAGCTTTGTCCTGATTGGCTGCCCTGTATTGTGACTAATTCAGAAAGCAGCCCAGCTAAACTCTCCTTATAACATCAGTGTTAATGGGCAGGGTTAAACTGCTGTATGCAGTACTGTAGCTGGATACATGTAAATGTATTGTGTATATTTAGTACATGTAGTGAATGGTATGTTTTAAAATGTGAACAAAGTTTACATACTACATCAAACTACATTTAAAAAAAAGGTTTCCGTAAAATTGACCCTTTAATCAAATTCCGGACTGCCTCTTTTTTTAATATAGCCTGTCTAGAGGATCCACAAAGCGAAAAATCCACTGTTCCTTTTATTTCTACCTGACTCATTATTTAATTGTACTAAGACTGAGATGTTTTTGTTACTTGCTCTTCCCATCTCTCCATACTTTTGGCTGAATTCCCAGTTAAGGTCTGGCAGGACCGCCCTCTTACATGACAACAAGGAAAAAAGCTCCGGTTAGAACCGACAGACCCAGCTGCTGAAGAGATGGGGTCTGACTGTTCTCAACCACAAGAATCCAGAAGCCAGGCACGTCGCCGTAGCCCAGGATATGTAAGAAATCCCAGTATTTACTTTATCATCAAATATATCTAACTTGGTGACAGCGAAAAAAAAGCTCATTATGTTGTTTCCTTTTGTTTTGTGAACTTGTGAGGTGAGTTGTGGAGTAGCTTAATAAATAGCCTTTATATTTGAGGATGAATTATTCATTCATTAAAGCGTGGTTAATCCAGTTTTTTAAGTGCGCAGCTATTATACATTTTCGGTCTTCCTCTACGTCAACACGAAAAACTTAAACCTGCTATATAAAACCGGCCTCTCTCTCTGAAAACAGGAGCATTTTACCGTGGTACTACGGCGTGCTTGAACCCAGTTTAAACCGCGATAACTTTCTTTTACATGAATAAAGGACCTGTTTTTCTCTTGAGTGCGTTCTTATTCTTACCGCTAAGTACCTAATAGCCGACAATCGCACGGCCTGCACGGCCGGCACGCCCCTCTGCTCCGACGCATATGAACACATTTTGAACGACGTTCGGACTGTTTACCGGCTTCAAGAGCAAGATTTTTAACTGCTTATGTAACCAAAAACACCGCCCTTAAACCAGGCTTTAACGAACTTACTGTTACGGTTAATATGGCTTACTTTCTGTTTCTGTGGTAGAATGTCTACTGTAATTTACCACCACGCTGTTTTTGTTAGCTGGTTAGCTTTAGTAATGCAGCGATATTCAAATGTTGAGAGTCAGTCCGCTAGCATTAACTTAAAGGGGAACTCCACCGATTTTTCAAAATTCCTGTATGATTCAGAGGCTGAGATATAAACAAAGTCATTCAGAGTGGTTTGATGTAAAGAGGTTCATTTGCAGAGAAACTTGCAGACTCTGATTTATTTACAGTGGTGGTGATGGGAACCAGGGGTCCCCATGTCTACAGTGCAAATATTGCCATTTTATTTACTATCCAAAACCACCAGTGAACCACACTTCTGAGCTTTTATGCAATGTTGATGATGGTAAAATAATAATAAAAAAAAAAGTCCTCTTTGGGGACCATGTTGCCTCAGAACGCCCCTCATGTATCCCTCTTCGATGAATAGATTAAAGTAAATTAATTATATAATACATTTTAGACCAAACCTTTATCACAAAACTACTTTAACACAGGCAGTATATTCATGAGCATTTCCTGTAGTAACTTTCTGTGAGGGAGCTTTTAGAGATGGACGTCTAGATCCTATCACCACCACTGTGAACAACACTGCAAGTTGCTCTAGGACAAAGCTTTTCACATCGAACCAATCTGAATGGTCTTGTTCACACGTTAACCGTTCAATTAGGTGTAAATTTAGGAAAATTGGTGGAGTTTCCTTTTAAAGGGGTATTGCATTATTATTATTTTTTTTATTTCTCCATAATCCAGTGGTTAAGATGGGTCAACCTCATTCACAGTGACAGGGTTGGAAACTCTCCATTCTAGATAAACGTATACGTTCTGTAACAGAGTCAGAATTGTTTACAACAGTGATGATGGGAACCAGATGTCCGAAGCCCTCTAATAGTATTTCTACGGTGCACCATTTCCCATCAGACCACTCAGAATGACTCTGTTTATATGTGAATCATTAAGCAAAAATTTAGAAAAAAAATGTGCAATTCTTTACATTGTTTAAGTAGATTAATGCCTGTTGCACTCTTAAAGGGTAATACTTTCAAACTGGTTGAGATGTATACAGTCATTCAGAGTGGTATGATGTGAAATTGGATTTCTTTACAGTAGTGATAAAAGGAACCAGGGTCACAATGTCTACACCATAAATGTAACCATTTTATTTATTATACAAAACCACCAGTAAACCAGTGCCTTTTGGGTTTTTGTATGTAATGTTGATGATGGTAAAATAGTGGTAAATCTGAAAAATCAGTTTTCTTTGGGGTCTATTTTGCCTCACAACACCCTGCATGTACCTCCGTACCTCTCTACATGGATCTAAAACAGACATTTTAGGCCAAAATTAATGCATAACCATTTCCTGTATATCCTTTCTGTGAGGCAACCTTAAGAGGCCTTAAACCCTTCAGACATCTGGTTCCTATCCACCGTGTACACACTTCAAAAAGGTTCTTCAAGGGTTCTTTAGTAAAGAAAATGGTCTTAGATAGAACCATGAACACTCAAAGAACCCTTTGATTAAAGGGTTCTTTGCATCGTGAACAGGTTCTTCAGCTTGATGGAAAAAGACAAAAAGATAAGAATTTTCTCTAATACAGCCCCAGATTTGAAACATTTTGTGTACCACAGAGCACAATAGCAGTGATTTCACAAAAGACAGATTTTCACATTTTTTTCCCATATAGAGAACCTGCTTAAGCCCTGTTCAGACGGGATTTGTTTTTCCATGAGGAGGTGGGGTAATACCAGTTTACCAGAGGACGTCTATAATGTTTATGACAGATTCGCATGGGATTAGAACCCTCAAGGTGATAACAGAGACGGGAGTGGCTACGTATGCACCGCCTTCACTCCAAAGAAGAGTAGAAAATGTCAAAACATGTAATTTAACCATTATTTCGTTCACTCTAACCTAGAGCTGGGCGATATGGCCAAAAAATATTATCACGATAAACAAAATTCATATCGTTCGATATCGATACATATCGCGATAAATGTCAAATCATTATTTCTGTCAAGTTTGAAGGCTGATTTTTGGTCCTGAGTGGTTAATCGTCAATTTTAAACTATCTTTTATGGTCGGAACACGACAAACACTCACCAACCAGTGGAACATTTCACAAATCTGTCATGGGAGAGTGGGAGAAAGTGTCTGATTAGCTGTTTTTATCAGATGGAAAAGTACGGCCGCAATTTTTGTAATAGTCATAATTTAATTTGACGAGCGCTCGGATATCCCGTTACAAATGCTAAACAAGTAGCCAACAACAGTGCTAGAACTGCCATCACTCCTACCACATCCATGTCAGAACATTTCACAGTATTCAAACACCAGCTAGCGACGACTGGGTTTCTCTGTTCTATCGTAGTAGTTTGAGGGGTGAACCGCAATAAATCAACACCAGACAAACAGAGTCCTCTTTTTAGGTACGTTTAAACTGAAAGCGGTGCTTTTGTGTCATGTTTGATCTACAGTATCATCAGTTCTCCGTGTTGTGTGAGTGACAGAGCGCTGCTTCAAGTTAGCCAGCTGCTAAAAACAGCTAGCCTGGAAAGATAGCGCTCTCCCACTCTCCAATGCCTCACAGCTTCCTCAGTTTACGATCGTCACCATAAAAGTACTGAATACCCAGCCTTAGCTATGGTGCTGTGGTCTCAGTATGTTTCTAGTGACGTGCAGTTAATCAGCTGTTTTTACTCAACAGGTTATCGTAGACAGGAACAGCTGCGGCCTAATAATGGAGAAAGCCCAGCGAGGTATTTCCTATTCAGCAAATATTACTGTTAGATGCTCTTTGTTTACTCTTCTCATTAGTAGTTGACGTCTACTGGAATTTGAACATGTGCAGTTTCTAATGTGAGACTAATTTCTGAACTTGATCTGCTTTATTTGTACGTTTATTTGGGATTGATGTTCTTCATTTAACTCTTTGGTGCACAGACAGTTTAGTAGGTTTATTACATACCATGTACACTCATTGGCAATGTAATCAGATGTTTGTAGCACTTTAGACACCTCTTATAACTTCAGCTTAAATGGATCAGCATAAATCAACAAATATTTTGTAATGTATGAAAATGTTCAAAAATGTATTTGTTAACTAGATTTTTAAAATCCAATTTAAAAGTATTTTCCAACATATTTACCAAATATATTTATGCAATGTCTGAAAATGGCCAAAATATATATATATATATTTTTTGTTAAATATATTTTAAAAATGCATTTATTTGTATTTGTTTTTTTAACAAAGGTCACAGAAAAAACTAAACATACATGAACTGAATGAACGATACTGACTTCTGTGTTTTGCATTGTACTTTGCCTTAATTGTGTACGTATGCAGTAAGACACTCACACACAATGTATTTCTAATAAAAAAGATATCAAATCATAACTGCATTTTCATAGAGTATCAATACCTACAACACTCACTTTCGTCATGTTAAAGGTTTATTTGCTAATAATTAAAATTAAGTTTTGAATTAGTGTAATACAAATTCATTTCAAAAGGTATCCAAACAGAAAAATGCATTAGACGAGTATTTGGCGATTTTCATACAAAAAATGAATAAATAAATAAATAAATAAATAAGTAAATAAATAAATGCATTTTAAAATGTATTTGGTTAATATGGCAGTGTGTACTGAAATACATTTTAGTGTTTTGAGTATATTTTGACATTTCAAATATATAAAATACATGTCCATATTTTTTTCCATATGGGTAAAGTTATTAGTTCTTCAGTCCTTCAGTGCAACCTGATGGCACTAAATAATAGTATTAACCTGGAAAAAAGAGCCAATGACTGTACAGTGGTATGCAAAAGTTTGGACACCCCTTCTCAATTACATTTTTTGTTGATTTTCTATGTGAAAATAAGTATATTTGCTGAATTTAATACAACATATATATACATATATGGGTACAATACATATATATCAGGTGTTTTAGCCACATTCATTTCTAACAGGTGGATAAAATTAAGCACATAGTCTTGCAGTCTCGACAGACAAACACTGGCTGTAGAAAGTCGTACTGATGAGCTCAGTGACTTTAAACATGAAACTGCCACAAGTCAGTTTGTAAAATTTCTGTCCTGCTAGATCTGCCTGTCAGCTATAAGAAATGGAAATGAAATGGAAGCACCTAGAAGCAACAACAGCTTAGCTACTCACAGAGTGGGGCCGCCGAGTGCTGAAGCACACAGTGTCTATCCTCTGTTGAATCTCTGACTAATGAGTACCAAACTGCCTCTGGAAGCAACATCAGCAAAAGAACTGCATGTTAGGAGCTTCACGAAATGGGTTTCCATGGCAGAGCAGCTGCACACAAGCCTACAATTAAAATGCACAATACCGAGTGTTGGATGGAGTCATGTAAAGTGCCGCCACTGGACTCTGGAGCAGTGGAAACGTATTCTGTGTAGTGATGAATGAAGCTTCTCTATCTGTCAGTCTGATGAATGAGTCTGGGTTTGGTGAATGCCAGGAGAACGTTACCTGCCTGACTGCACTGTGCCAGCTGTAAAGTTTGGTGGAGGAGGGATGATGAAATGGGGTTGTTTTTCAGAGGGTTGGTCTAGAACCCTTAGCTCCAGTGAAGGGGATATCTTAATGCTTCAGCACCAAGACATTTTGGACAATTGTACACTTCCAACTTTGTGGGAACAGTTTGGAAAAGAACCTTTACTGACTGAGCCCCAGTGCATATAGCAGCTCCATAAAGGCCTGACTGGGTGAGTTTGGTGTGGAGGAACTTGACTGGCCCTCACAGAGTCCTGACCTGAACCCCATCCAACACCTTTGGGATGAACTAGAACGTTCAACATCAGTGTCTGACCTCACAAATGCTCTTCTGGATAAATAGACAAAAATTCACAGACACTCTCCAACATCTTGTAGAAAGCTTCCCAGAAGATTGGAAGCTGTGAGAGCTTCAAAGGGGGACCGACTCCATATTAATGCTTACGGATTTAGAATGGGATTCATAAAAGCTCCTGTAGGTGTGATGTATAGGTGTCTCAGTGCTTTGTCTTTATAGTGTATCTATACTGTGGCACAAACATAGTTATTGTGAAACGTGCTGTGGTTGTGGTTTGGAAGCTTTAATGCATGATAAAGCTGTTTTGTCCTTCATAATCATTTTAAGCCTTATTTCTGCTTCCTCTTTTCCCCCAAGTTCACCTGAAGAGTGTGGAGGTGGAGGTGCAAGTGAAGGGGTATGTTGCCACGGTAACGTCCACCCTGCAGTATGTGAATGAGGAGGAACTTCCAGTGGAGGCCCTGTTTGTGTTCCCGTTACCTGCAGAAGCAGCTCTCTGTCACTTCAGCACCAAGATTGCTGACCAGGAGCTGGTGGCCGAGGTGCATGAGAAACAGAAGGTGAGTGTGAAAGTTCAGAGACTAAGATCTCTTTGATTAGCTCAGTAAAGACAGTTACGTACAGTACATGGATAAATGTGTATGAACACCTCCTCTAATTAGTAGAATTGGCTATTTCAGCCACACCTGTTGCAAACAGGTGCATAAAACTAGGCATAACATAGACAAACATTGACAGTAGACTGTGTTGTACCGAAGAGCTCAGTGACGTCCAGTGCGGCTATGTGATTAATGTTATTGTGTTTTTTTTTTAAGAATACTTTTTGCTTTAATATGGTCTAGATTAATATTTTCTCAATTCTCACACATGTATCGTGCCCTCAACAAATATTAGCACCCCTGGTAAATATGAGCAAAAGTGGGCTGTAAAAATCATTCTTTATTGATCATCCTTTTTTCACAATATGATCAAAAATTGACCCTTTATTTGATTTCCTGACTGAAAGAAAAAAAAAACCAATTCTTATCATGTAAGAAATATTTGTCTCAAATCTATTTGTGCCACAGTTGTTGACACCCCTTGAAATTTCGCCTGAAAGTTCACCTGAGCAATTAGGAACACTTAAATGGTCAGCCATGGCTTCTTGTTTCACTGGGGTATAAAGATTCTCCAAATTCTCTTAGTCATGATGTATGACAAGGTTGTTGAGCGGCACAAATCAGGAAATGGCTAGAAGAAAATAGAAGTGTTGAAAATGGCCATTTCCAGCAATAATTAACCTCTTATGCTCCAGCGTATATTTTGGTTTGTCCATCTGAATTTACATGACCAAATCGTAAGGCAAATTATTCAGTAACTGCATGAAATAAACATACATTTTTATTATATTTATTTATTTTTTTATAAAAGCTCCCCTCAAATTAACAGAACATGTGTTTTATGATCATACACATATTGCCATATGCTTACAATTTACTGCTGAAAGCCATAAATCTTGGACGCTCTTTGTATTTTTTTATAAAAATAATTTTTACAGAGCAGATCACTGAGGAGACGCCATCTGCTTATAGTTCATAGCCCAGATTTGTGGAAAAATGGGTCGACTTTCAGTAGACAAAAAAATTGAGGGTTCAGCTTCTTTTATTATAAGGGTTTAAAATTACATCACCCATCTATTTGACTGGAAAGAAGACAGTTACAGCTCTCATACGACCCCCACCTTTAGAATGTAGCTTATGAAATATGAAAGTTATGAAGAATATGGCGAAGTGCGTTTTGGAACCACTGGTGGTCCCAAGGAGTTTAAGAGGTTAAAAAGGTTAAGAATCTGCCGGGAAGCGGACGTATCTATATTGACCCCACGCACAGTGATGGTTCATGTGGCCAAAGAAGGATCATAGCTGGGGAATTGCAGACATTAGTTAGGTCTTAGGATCAGAACGTCTCAATGTCATTCCCATTTAAATGTGAAGCATTTTCTCCGTCAGGCCCAGGAGATGTACGATGACGCCTTAAGTTCGGGACAGCAGACATTTTTTTGGGGGGAGACGGAAGAGAGCCCAGGTGTCTTCCGGCTGGCTGTGGGGAACCTGCCTCCTAAAGAAAGTGCTGCTGTGACTCTCATCTACGTGACTGAGCTGGCTGTGCAGGTGGATGATGGTCTGCGCTTCTGTCTGCCAGCAGTGCTCAACCCACGATATGCGCCCAGCAACATCGGCAAGCTATAATACTTTATCATTTATAGCACCTATGACCAGTTTTCTGTGATCATTGTTCTTTCCCTTTTTCTAGTCCTGTTTGTTTGTTTATTGTGGTTTGTTTTGATCCGTCTCTCTCACTCCTGTGCCCTGGATGGCAGTTGCTTGTGCAAGTAAGGTGCCTTATACTTTGTCCCTTGGCGTCCACATCACCTCATCCATCCCCGTTTCTAGAGTAGAGTCCAGCTGCTCTCTGGAGCCACTGATCTACCTCAACACAGCTCAGACTCAGGCAAAGGTGAGTGTGCACTAAAAAAGGGGAAATCCAAGGCGTCTATTTAGGTGAGCAGATGTTTCATAGTGTCTTTCATTGTCTAATTGTCTCAGGTGAGTCTCTCTCCAGGACACAAGTTCGACAGGGATGTGGAGATATTGCTTTATTACCAGGATGCCCATCAGCCCACTGCCATAGTAGAGGCAGGACTTTCTAACGCCAAACCAGGTAGGAGTTTTTAGATCATCTTTTTAATGTTTTTATGTGACAGTGGTCCACTTTAATCCAAGACGTACCTAGTTTGATCCCAGCCCTGTAATTAGTTAATCTTTCCACTTTCATGTAATGATGGTAAGATAATGTTGTTAACTGGAAGCTATCAACTTCTCTTAAAGAGAAATCAAAAAGATATTTAAAATACAATGATTAAGTATCCTACAATTGACGATTTTGTATATCGCTGTTGTCGGAACAAAACCTTGTATCTCCAATTTTGTCATTTTTCAGTTTCTGTCATAATTTGAAAATGCCTATTGTCTTTTAGATTGTGTGTAAAGTTCGTGATGAATGGACCAACAGAAATGATCCAAAATTACTTGCAAAAAAAATCTGGTTCCATTGACTTACATTGAAAGTAAAGAAAGTTTTGGTAACACTTTCTATGAAAGTCACCTTTGTAAGCATCTATAAACACATTCATTACATGTTATAATGCATTCATAAGACATTATAAACATAGCTATAAATATTTATAAAAATGCATTATACGTTATAGCCATGTTTATTATACATTATGAATTGCTAATATAATACATTATAAGTACTGATCATAACAAATTATAAGAGCTCATAAGTTGTATTTGTCCGCTCTAAGTAAAGTGAAGTGTACTGTACTAAAGCCTCCTCCAGTGTTAAGAGTGAGGCTTCAAGTTGAAGTATTTACTGAAGGATTTACTGAAACACTAAAACATACACAGTAAAGCACATTATAGGCTTCAAATGTCAGAGTTTAAACTAGTGCTGCCATCAGTGTTGTACACAATGTGGGAAAGTCAATGTACACCACCGTTAGTTTGGTATTTGTCTTTACTTTACGCTCTCCAAGCTGGGACTGACTTCTTTGGCACTGACATTATAACATGTTATTAACACTATTTATAATGCATTATATTAACAATTCATAATGTATAATAAACATGGCTATAAAGTGTAATTCAGTGTAATTCTTTTTTATAAATATTTATAACCATGTTTATAATGCCTTATGAATACATTATAACATGTTATAAATGTGTTTATAGATGCTTACAAATGCGACATTCATAGAAAGTGTTACCAAAGTTTTTTCCTTCTCCTGCAAAGTTACCATTTTGGAGATACGAGGTTTTGTTCCAACAACAGTGGTATACTTAGCTTACTGCTATCTCAGTTAATGCTTTGGGTTTAAATATCCTTCATCCTAATCATAATCCTTGCAAATATCTAATGTCCGAATACTTTAAATATGTTTTTTAGTGAGTTGAATAGTCCATATATGAAGTTGAAGATCAGTAGGAGAGAGATCAGCCATCCTCATAGCCCATTTGTGCACCATAGAGAGGTCATCTAGGCACACGACCATATATCCTCTCTGCAGAGATCTCACAGTGGACTAAGTCAGTGAATGCTGTTACTTTCTGCCCAGATAGAACCTTGATCATTACAGAAAACTCTTTGTTTTGCAGGTTCTCTGATGGGCGACTCTTTGGTCATGCTTAGTCTATTCCCAGAATTCCCTGCAGAGGTGGTATCTTCTTTTGGAAAACGTGGAGAGTTTATTTTAGTGATGGATCAGTCTGGCAGCATGGCGGGGTCTTTAATGAGAAGTGCCAAGGTAATAGCGTTCGTTGAAAACAATGTATTTATATGGTTTTATATATGATGGTAAATGTGTTGCATTACAGATTAAAGTTATCAATATGTTGAGTTATTGAATAAAATGAATATGTGCCAAACTCATCAATTAAAGGGGCATTCTGCCCAGAACTACACTCTTGAAAAAGATGGTTCTTCAAGGGTTTTTTAGTAAAGAAAACGGTTCTACAAAGAACGCTTTGCGTGATTAAAGGGTTCTTTGCATTGTTAAATGGTTCTTCAGATTAATGGAGAGTGTGCTGTAAATGTTCTATATAGAACCTTGCGATATGCAACTACGCCCCCCCCTCCACAAACGATAAACACAACCACTGATGTGCCACTGATATAGAGGCTAATAAATACAGATGTGATATTTGGTTACTCAGTTACTCTTACCAGACGTACAGTATGTAGATACATGTGGATGGAATCAATGATGAGCTGAAATAACTCTGCTGTACATACCGTAATTACAATCTTAGAAGAGCAACAAAAAAAGGTTCTTCTATTGTCAAGCTTACAACAGAACAATAGAACACTTTTTGGTTCTATATAGAGCCATAAGAAACACATTTTTTTATTTAATATTTTGTTATTTAATTAATTAATTTCTCGTGCCATTCTGCAGGAAACTCTTCTCCTGCTGCTGAAGAGTCTTCCCCTGGGCTGCTACTTCAACATCTATGGCTTTGGCTCTGACTTCAAGTCCTTTTTCCCGTGAGTGCTCGGTGGTCACTTAGGTCATCATGGACCTCAGTTCAACTGGTCATCTATGAGATCATCTCTGAGCTGCTCTCATTATTATTTATTCACAGCACTGCTGTAGCTGGGTAGAGCAGATTTAGCATGAAAACTGTTGTTTTTAACTTATGGTAGTTTCAGCTTTGCTGATTCATGTGTCCATTTAATGTTTCCAGTAAGAGTGTGGAATATACTCAGAAGACAGTGGAACTGGCTGTAAAGAAAGTGGAGGCTATGAAGGCAGACAGGGTTGGTACAGATATTCTGAGACCATTGGAGCACATCTATAAGCGAGATCATCTTCCAGATCAACCCAAACAGGTACAGTGCTCCTCAATTCAAGAACACAGAAACGTTTGATCCGAGTTAAAGGGCTTATATCATGGAAAATGAGAAGAGTCTGATGTAGTATGTAAACACTGCTAAAATTTAGAAACATACCATTTGCTCCCCAGTATATATAGTCCATGTATGGGCTGCAAAAACAGCCTGTTTTAAATGAACTGTTTCTGTAAAGTAACAAAAAACAACACATTTACATTTATCCACCTATTCAGCCTACAGCAGTTTAGCCCCACCCATTAATATACACAGTCCAGTCACATAATTATGACCAGCTAATATCCAGAGTAACCACCATCTGCAGCACGGACAGCAGCTAGACGGGCTGGGAGTGACTCAATAAGGTCCTGGTAGGTTGTCACAGGTATCTGGAGCCAGGTTGACAGCAGTGCATCCCACAGCTGCTGGAGGGGGCGTAGGGGAGGATCCATAGAGTGAACACGGCAATCGAGGTGGTCCCACAGACGCTCGATTGGGTTCAAGTCTGGGGAATTAGGGGGCCAGGCTAGTACTTGGAAGTCTTGGTCATGCTCTTCCAACCAATGTCGGACATTTCTAGCCATGTGACATGTTGCATTGTCTTGCTGGAAGATCCCATCTGCCCCAGGGAAGACAATCAGCATGTATGGGTGTTCGTGATCTGCAAGGATGGATTCATACCAGTTGAGAGTGCCTTCCACCAGCTTGTGGCCATGAAGTGGTCATAATAATGTGACTTGACTGTGTATTTACACAAGCTTTGTTCTGATTGGCTGCCCTGTATTATTCAAAAAAGCGGTCTGAACGGAAACACTCCATTCAGCGTGAATGGGTGGGACTAACCAATGGTAGGCTGAATGGGCAGATACATGCAGTTGCACTGGTGTTTGTGCCATCAGCAGGTCAACAGGTACAACAGGTATCATCTGTCAAAAAGGCTACTTTAGCTGACGTTAATCAAAATTGGCGCATTTAACATTTATAGCAAATGACGCATGTTGGAATAAGCATTAACAGTTATGTATGGTTATGTCAGGTATCATGACAAGCTTATGCAGGTGTCATGTAGCCTTATGAACAGTACCCTACAGTAAAGTGTTACCTGTTTATTTCAAAAAAGGGGAGAAAATTTAGACATCTGTGATATGGGCCCTTTAATAAATCATGGCTTGTTTATATTTGGAGGCTTGTTTTGTGCTCAACAATGGAAATTTTCTCTTTTTACAAGGTGTTTCTTTTCACTGATGGAGATGTACCGAATACCAAAGAGATCCTGGACCTGGTCAGAACTCACTCTAGATCCCACAGGTCAGTTTATTCTCTTATGCACACATGAGACCACAGTCTGTTGTTTTAGATAAATGGTTGGTTGAACTGATACATTAGACTTGTTCACTTCCAGGTGCTTCACCTTCGGCATCGGGCAGTTTGCCGGCACTGCGCTGATCACTGGAATGGCCAGAGAAGGACGTGGCTTTGCCCAGTTCATCACAAGCAATGACCGACTGCAGCTCAAAGTAAGACTGGGCGTGGCTCTGTGTGCTTACACTGTTAGTAGAATATAAACAAAGACAAGCGCAGAGTGAAGATCATCTGTCCTTCTTTCTCTGTAATTCTGATCCGTCTCCTCTTTTCTGCAGGTGATGCAGTCCCTCAGCTTCGCCCTGCAGCCCTCTGTTGTTGACATCTCTGTGAAATGGACCCTTCCAGAGGGCGTGTCCATCACTGCTTTGTCTCCTCCCCTCAATGTTCTCTTTCAGGGTCAGAGGGCACTGCTGTACGCCCAGCTCACAGGAGAGGTGAGAAAGCTAAGATTTAGAACTCAAAAACTGTTTATATTTCTCAGTTTCTTTAAGTGTAGATTGAAAATATCCATTCTTTATATAACTGAAAACATATTGGTCCAAGAGATTTTACTATTTTTGTTTCTTAAAAGGGGAATTCCATAAAATTCTTTAAACTTTCTGCATAATTAAACAGTAAAGATGCAAACAAAGTCAGTGGTTTGTGGTTTGGTGTGAAATGTTCCATGGTAAAGAAACTTAACAAATCAGAATTGTTCACAGTGGTGGTGATAGGAACCAGGTGTCTGAAGCATTTAATGCAGAACGTTAGTACATGAAAGGATTTATCACTGTTTTACCATTATGAGCATTGCCTAAAAACTAACATCTAGGTTCAGTGGCCACTGTGGATAGCAGTTAAAATGTTTATATTTGCATTGTAGACATCATGACCCCTGGCCTCCCATCATCACTACTGTAAAGAAATCTGAGTTGATGGGTTTCTATAGCATGGAGAGTTTCACACTCTGCACTCTCTGCCTTCGCAGATACATTCTTAATCATGCATCCTTGGCAACATGCTTACATTAAGGCACTCATGCTTTGTACTAGCAAAGTGTAATATAGTACACATGAACAAAACTGTTACAATTTACATCTCTGTTAATATTTACACCAATCAGTAGATTGAGTGGATCAGACACAGCAGTGCTGCTGGTTTGTACATAGCTCTAGAAGAAGACATTCACTGAATTGGACCACAAAAACAAATGTACTGCACCTTTAACTAAAAAGCTTTTCTTTCATATTTACTAACCTAATCAGGTTTTGTCTGTGTAACTGTCTTAGAGCTCTGAGAACGATGAAGGAACTGTGACTGTGCACTACAGTCTGGAAGGACAACCAGTGACAAACCAGTTTACTTTCTGCCTTAAAGCTGCTGAGGACTCAGGGTAACACACATATGCGCACACACACAGATACACACACACACTGGATAATCAGTGGAACATTACGAAAACTGTTTAAAACTGCAATAGACCTTTCTTACAGTCACTGCATCGTCACATCTGGCCATAAATAGTAGCGATGACCTAGTATTTACTTCTGCCTGCTCTTCTGCCTGCAATGGAGGGTCACCGGTTTCCAGCCTCCCTCACAAAATTTGCACAAGTGCCGTCAGGCTAACTGGAGATGCTAAATTGCCCCTAGGTGTGATTGTGTGAATATACACTGATCAGGCATAACATTATGACCATCTCTTGTTTCTACGCTCATTGTCCATTTTATCAGCTCCACTTACTATATAGGTGCACTTTGTAGTTCTACACTTACAGACTGTAGTCCATCTGTTTCTCTGCATACTTTGTTAGCCCCCTTTTACCCTGTTCTTCAGTGGCCAGGACCCCCATGGACCCTCACAGAGCAGATACTATTTGGGTGGTGGGTCATTCTCAGCACTGCAGTAACACTGACGTGGTGGTGGTGTGTTAGTGTGTGTTGCGCTGGTATGAGTGGATCAGACACAGCAGTGCTGCTGGAGTTTTTAAACACCTCAGTGTCACTGCTGGACTGAGAATAGTCCACCAACCAAAAACATCCAGCCAACAGCGTCCTGTGGGCAGCGTCCTGCGAGCACTGATGAAGGACTAGAGGATAACCAACACAAACTGCAGCAGCAGATGAGCTATCGTCTCTGACTTTACATCTACAAGGTGGACTGACGAGGTAGGAGTGTCTAATTGAGTCGACAGTGAGTGGACACAGTGTTTAAAAACTCCAGCAGCACTTCTATGTCTGATCCACTCAGACCAGCACAACAAACACTAACGCACCATCACTGCGTCAGTGTTACTGCAGTGCTGAGAATGATCCACCACCCAAATAGTATCTGCTCTGTAAGAGTGAGGGTACATGGGGGTCCTGACCACTGAAGAACAGGGTAAAACAACAAATAATTAAATTGTTTAAGAGTAACAATAAAACATATATTCCTATTGAAGTTTTTACTTGTTAAAAATATAATTTGTGAGACAAACTAAGCAAAAATCTATACGTTTTTGGTTTTGTTAGATGTTCTTTACATATCAAACAACTGCAGCAACAACATTCAGAAATCAACTAAACAAGAAGAGCAGATTAAACAGCATTAATAGCCAGGTTTTTGTTTAGCTTTAAAGGGTTGATGTTTACTGAGCTGCTGAATTTACTCTGATAAGAAGTTTGTGCTGTAAGACTCGGTTAGCTTGTAGTTGCTTTAGCTTCTCTTTATTGTAATGTCCTTGCTTTGTTTCATGTCGGTTGATATTAAATTTATTATAGTCTTTTGACATATGAGGCACGTGCATTTGCTTTGGCTCTCAATGAAAAAAATATTCAATTCAAAATCACCAGTTCTCAATGTTAAGTTTGTGCTTTATGGCTTTAGTCTTGACTAAATGCCATTCAGTAAATCAAGCTGCAGGTCTAGTCAGAGAAGAAAGGCTCTTAAACTCTAACTTTATTACCACAACCTGGCACTTTGCACTATAATTTTATGGTACTACTGCCACCATCAGGTGAAAGGAAAAACTGCTACATATCAGCTGACGAGCCACTTATAACACACACTTAAAAAGACGTCAAAGGCCAGTTAAAATCTGCCTGCGGCCACATTTGGCCCTGGAGTTAGACTTTGTACATTATGTTTAGCGAAATTTACAACAGACATTTTTGGTATATATTTGGATGGTGTTTGTTCTTTGTCTTTGAACAGTGACAAAAAGTAGGTTTGGTCATTTTTGGACATTTATTTAATGAGAAATGGAGGAGAAAAAATCAAATGTCCACTGAATGCCCACTATAAAAACAGCAAATTTAATATAATATTCTGGGCTTCTTTGCTTTACATTTTATTTGTTTTGCCAAACTGTTGTATTAAAGCAATAGTACACTTGAGGTTGTGTGTTATCACAGGTAACCTCACAAGTGACGACACAACATCACTATTCGTCTTTCGGGTCCGTGCAACCGATTCACAGCTGTGATGTTATTTGTGATTACATACAAGCTTTATGGTTCTGTAGCTTAAATGTAATATAATATAATGCCATTGTCACTGTTGATATTCTGTGAAGGCTGGGATTTCATAGGCTGGCTGCTCGTTCCTTGATCCGATCTCTGGAAATGGAGGTGAAGGAAATGAAGGACGAGAGCTTAAGAGAAAAGGTGGTGGAGCTCAGTGTGCAGACGGGAGTGAGCAGCTCTTTCACTGCTTTCCTCACCGTCCACAAGGGCAGCGGACAGCCAGTGAAAGGACCACTGGTGAGGGATGCAATACCAGCATCATATCTAGAATATGGTACGTATGGTTCTGTGGTAGTATTAGTCTTATTCTTTAATATGGCTGTCTTAAATCATCACTGGTGCAGCCGGTTGGTGTCACTTAATTAGTTAAATGGAGAACACCTGTATGCAGTCAAGGGGTTGCCAGTGGTTGTAGTATAAATACACACGTATCTGAAAAGTCCAGGTTCTTGTGAGTCAGTGTTGTGGCATAACCTTCACCAGTAGTATTCAACTCTGGTCCTGGAAGCCTGGTGTCTGCATTGTCCTACTTAAAAACACCTAATAAACGTGGCAATTGTCAGCAGGGAAATCACCAACTGTGCTGGATACTGGTCCTCTAGGGCCAGAGTTGAAGACCCCTGCCCTACACTAGAAAGAGAACAGAACACTCTATGACAAGGTGCCTGAAAAGCACAAGTCAGGGGATATGATAGCTTTTCCAAGTCACTCAGTATTCCACAGAGTACAGATAAATATTCATTCATTGAATCTGCCAAGAACAAGCTGTGCACAAAAACTAAGTGACTGTTAAATTAAACTCACATGACCCCTATATATATATATACACACTCATTTTCTGTAGTTAAGTAATTTTTTGTGCTTAAATGAAAAATATTCTGATTTATTGTGTGTTCAGTTGTTCAACGCTGTGTTTGCTAGTCAGGTACTGGCTAGTGTTTTTTATTTCTACTGAAAATAAGCTTAAATTGTCACTACCGAAACATTTGGTAAAATTTTGGCAGTGTTGTAATTGTTGTTATTGATTTTTGTTGTTGTTATGATTATCAGCTAACACATTGGCATCTGTCTCCACACCATTATGAGTATTAATTCCTGTGCTATGCATTTCTTTTAGATGAAGAGTATGATTCACATCCCAGACACCAAGGTAGATTCCCTCAGCTGTTGAACTCACGTACGAAATGATACCAGCGCTTACACTGGCACATTTATACTGCTTCATTATTTTATATAGTACTATTTTTTCTGTCTCTTCAGGAAAGCCCCATGAACTCTTCATGTAAGTTTAAAAGCCACACGGTTTACACATCATTCAATAATGCAGTTAAATTCAGCACTAAGAATATTCTACCAAATGGAAATAAGGGTGTGTTAGTACTTGTACAGTTCCCGCTGGTCTGGACCAAAGCAGAAAATGATTCACTGTATCATTTTAGTTCTGATTCATTTAGCATTCACACTGACTTATTTAACTACAAACCAAAATATTTAAACAAAAGTCATGGAAGTAAAAAGTTGTAAATGATTGGGTGGATTTTATGATGTACATTAACTGTGATAATGTCCACTGGACTTTATAAATCATGCTGTTCTGTGTTCTATCTGGGCCTGTAAGTTTTATTTATGTCTTGTTTTGTCTGTCTTGTGATATTAGAGCAATGAGCCCTGAGACTCCCAGTGTTACTGCTGTTTTGCATGATGCCAGGCAGGGTGACATCCCTGTAACAGCCTCGAGTGTCTTACTGCTTTTACAAAACTGAGAAACGTTGGTGCCTTAATACGTAATACATAATACAAGTTGTTACCGAGTCAGAGTTTATGAAGAGATGATAAACACAAGTAAGTGTCAAAACAAGATTAGACTCGTCTTTTACACATACGATGGTTCTTTGGTCCGTATTGTGCTCACACTTCAAATGAATCGCTCCAGAGTTCGTGTCGAAGTGAACCAACACTGACCTGGACTGCGTTTCCCAAAAGCGTCGATGAGAGACCACTGTGGTAACCGTGGAGAGACAGTGTTCAGAATGATAGTGCCTCTATCGTTTATTCTTTGTAGTTGTTTTGGCAAAGGCACCCCTTCTCAGGGGGTCTTGGCATGCTTGTTTGGTGAGCACCAGCGTTTGGATGGCAGTTTTCTCACTTGCTGTAATGAACCGCAGTAACAGAGCAATCGCACCAGGCTTCGTTTTAATTGTACCAAATCTGCCAGTTCTGAACGCACCCTAAGAAACAAATCTGTCAAAAGTGGCTACAGGGGTGTTTTTCAGTGGTTGGTTTAAGCCCCTTAGTTCCAGTGAAGGGAAATCTTAATGCTTCAGCAGACCAAGGTAATTGGTCTGCTGAAACAATTCTGTGCTTCCAACTTTGTAATAAAGGTGGCTACACAATTGCCTTAACGAGCAGGCCTTAGTTTGAAAGGGAGGTCATGTTCTAAATGAGGACTCATCTGAATAAACCTCAATGGGCCCTTTTCACAGATAGTCGTGATTACTTCTTTAAGCGTTAGCAGGGTAAAACTCACGTCCGCTCAATATATCTACTGCAGAAGTGATGACAAAATGTTATAGTAGTGTACTATAATGCATATATTCCTGCACTGCCATGACAAACAGCGAGAATAAGAAGTGGATGGAAGCACTGATTTAACTGTAAACAGAGCTATAATGTGTGGGACAGCCTTGTCTTGACTGCAGTCTGCTGCAGCTTCTTACATCAAGCAGTCTCTGTGTCTTTGTACAACATGCCAGCGATTTCTGTAATAATTCTGTTTTTAAAAGAAAGAAGAACTTTTATATGTAGCATGAATTTGATGGACTCCGTTTAAATTAAGCTAGCTAAGCTGGCTAGAAGCTACTGCTAACAGTAGCTATTATCCCAAACTAGATTACCCGGCTCACATAAAGCAGCTTTCTTTTGTACCCATCTTTAAAAAGGTAATGAGGCAATAAACCGTCAACGAAATAATTCCTACATGATCAGCTCGGTACAAACAGCTAACGTTAGCTGGCCCATTATGTCAGAAATCTTACATGGCTCTTCTCAGATCACAAACAACTAGCTAATCTAGCAGTGCCAGAAAATGGAAATCAAGACGCCGCAGCATAACCGCGATGCTAAGATACGAGTTAGCTAGGAGTGGTGTTTTTGATTGAGCAGTGAAAGGTGGATGTTTTCTGTAGTGCTGCTTCAAAAATCGCCATGAAACTAAAATAAAGATGCTGTTTGGCAGATCGCTAACATAGCTAGCCAGCTAGATTTAAAGTTTGCTACTCATATGAAGCTGGAGTTCCTTAAACTGCTAATGGTAGACTAGCTAATTAGCACCTGTAGCCTGCTAGCCTACCATAAGCTAAAGGAGAGTTTAAACGAGGTCTGTAAAATAGAAATTCACATTTTAAAGTTTTAGTTTGTGTTTATAATAGAGAAATCGCTGCTATGCTGTAAATGTGTCACAGAACCTGCTCCACGTTAGCCAGCTGCAGCCAGCAGCTAATGAAAACTAGCTTCCTTGTTTGGGAATACAGATACAGTTAGCAATGGCCTCCAGCGTAGCTAGCTAGCTACAGCTAAATAAAGTCTTTCAAATTCATACTACATATAAAACTTCATTCAAAAACAGAAATATTACAGAAATCGCTGGCATGTTGTACAAAGACAGAGAGACTGCTTGATGTAAGCAGCTGCAGCAGCAGTAAACAGGGCTACGCCAAATACAGATGCACACATTTTAGCTCTGTTTATAGTTAAATCAGTGCTTCCATTCACTTTCTATTTTCACAATTTGTCATGACAGTGCACAAAAACTAACATATGTCTCTGACATAATGGGCCAGCTAACGTTAGCTGTTTGTACCGAGCTGATCATGTAGGAATTATTTTGTTGACGGTTTATTGCCTCATTAGCTTTTTAAAGATGGGTACAAAAGAAAGCTGCTTTATGTGAGCCGGGTAATCTAGTTTGGGATAATAGCTACTGTTAGCAGTAGCTTCTAGCCAGCTTAGCTAGCTTAATTTAAACAGAGTCCATCAAAGTCATGCTACATATAAAAGTTCTTCTTTTTTTGAAAACAGAAATATTACAGAAATCGCTGGCATTTTGTACAAAGATACAGAGACTGCTTGATGTAAGAAGCTGCAGCAGACTGCAGTCAAGACAAGGCTGTCCCACACCTTTTAGCTCTGTTTACAGTTAAATCAGTGCTTCCATCCACTTCTTATTCTCGCTGTTTGTCACGACAGTGCAGGAAAACTAAAATATGTCTGTTGTAGCTCAGTGTTTGAGCATTATTGTACACTACTATAACATTTTGTCATCACTTCTGCCGTAGTTGTATGGAGCAGAAGTTAGTTTTACGCTGCTAATGCTTAAACCAGAAGTAATCGTGACTCCCTATGAAAAGGGCCCATAAAGACTTAAACAGGACTTAATAGGACTTAATCACATTCAAAGAGAGTGAAGCACTTTCCTCTCTGAAGAAATGCACAGGGGGGCTGTAGGCTTACTTGGGCGACACCTCCTGAAAATCTCTGTAAAATATCTTTTTATTGTGATCATAGTTTTTTTCAGACAGGGGTCATGAGCCTCCTTCTCCTCCTCTTCCCACAGACCATCAAGATACCATTCCCCTGAATGTGAATATTCAATCAGGGCATCAGCTTCACCACGTAAGTCACAGCATCCTCTTTTAAACAAGTCAGAGCTCAGAGCAACTGTCCTCTAATTATAACCCCATTTCCAAAAAAGTTGGGACGCTGTGCAAAACATAACCAAAAACAAAATGCAGTGATGTACGAATCATTTAAACCCTATATTTATATTTGGAAATATAACAAAGACAACACAAATATTAAAACTGCAACTGAAATTTTCTTATTTTTTGAAAAATATATGCTTATTTTGAATTAGACGCCTATAACACATTCCAAAAAAGTTGGGACGGGGGCTACAAAAGGCTGATAAAGTTGTGTAATGCTATAAAAAACACCTGGTGGTTAATTGACAACACGTCAGTAACATGATTGGGTATAAAAGAGCATCCCAGAGAGGCTGAGTCTTTCAGAAGTAAAGATGAGGAGGGGTTCACCACTCTGTGAAAGACTGCATGAGTAAATAGTGCAACAATTTGAGAATAATGTAAAATAACAAAGAACCTTTGCTTTTCATCATCTACGGTACATAATGTCATTAAAAGATTCAGAGAATCTGGAGAAATCTCTGTACTTAAGGCACAAGGCCAAAAACATTTCGCTGAATGCAAGTTTAAACTCTAAAATGCAAAGAGGAAATCATATATAAACAGGATCCAGAAATGCTACCACCTTCTCTGGGCCCAAACTCATTTAAAATGGACTGAGGGGAAGTGGAAAAGTGGTCTGACAAATCAGCATTAGAAATTATTTTTTTAAATCATGGACACTGTGTCCTCCAAGCTATAGACCACTCAGCTTGTTATCCGTGCACAGTTCAAAAGCCAGTATTCATGATGGTATAGGGGGGCATTAATGCGCATGGTATGGGTGATGGGAACATCTGTAAAGGCACCATTAATGCTGAACGATATATACATGTTTTGTCAACATATGCTGCCATCCAGACAACGTCTTTTTCAGGGACGGCCTTGATTATTTCTGCAAGACAATGTCAAACCACATTCTGCATGTATTACAACAGCATTAAAAGAGTCTGGGTGCTAAACTGGCCTGTCTGCAGTCCAGACCTGTCACCACTGATAATATTTGGTGCATTATTAAATGAAATATATGATAAATGAGATAATAATAATAATAATAATAATAATAATAATAAATTGATTAGAAAGTCATTGTCATTGTTGCCTTTTTGGAAATAGTCATGGAGAAAGAAGCTACTACTGGTGATAGTCTCCTCGTCTGGAATCTCTGGAGTGAATCTGGAGTCTATTAAGTTTCAGAATGGATTAACCCTTAAAATCCAAGGCTTATTATATACAGATATTATAATTCAGTAAAGACAGGGACTTCAATGCAAACTAGTTGAGATGGTTTAAGGTTATAGAAGTGTGTAATAAGACTTTGGGCCTGCAGCTGTAATAACCCCTGGCAGATGTTTGCAGTCCACTTACTTGTTACAGTTGTACAGCTGTTGGTCTTCTGTTTAAGTTTTCTAGGAAATGACCACAAATGTTAATGTCTAAAACAAATGAGTGACGCTGTTTCTATCCAGCCCAGTTTTGGACGGAAGTAAATTTAAGTAGGTACTGGGGTGAATTTTAGTGTTTATAGGTGCTGCTCCATGCTTTTATTTCTGTCTGGATCTGCTATTTTGGTAGCTCCCATCTAGAAATAGATACAAATTTTCTAAGCGTGTACTGTCTGACGTTAGGAACAAAGGTTTTTGACCACTGCTATTTGCCATGTTTTGTCTCCTAGATTCATAGTTTTCTCTCCATGTATTCATATCAGAGATACTTCCTGTGTCCATATTGAACATCAAACTAAGGCATGATTTGATAACTGGAGTACCTCAAACATTTTTGTCATATACTAGAGTTTGAATACTTTGCAGATTGAAGTCTGAATACTTTTGTGTACGACTGCCAACAAATGACGTTTTCTAAATGAAAATAACAGCAAATCTTAGTGCACAATTTCTATTTATTTGCATCTGAGCTTAACATTCTGGAAAAAACATAAACCATAAGCCATAAAATTTGCCATAAGTTTTGCACAGGCCATATTTTATGTTTTATGTTCTCCCAATATGTTAAATTCAGTGAATGAAGGTAATTGTGCATTAAAATGTCCAAAAGTCTGTTCTCTGTAGAGGATGTGTTGAATTATGTTCAATTAGAAAATCAAGATGAATGGGTTTTGATGAATCTATGCATTCAAACTCCCAGAAAATAGCATGTTTCAAATTTATAGTAGAATGTATGGACTTATCTTACTGTGTCCTTCAGCCTGGCTCGCTCTTATTTATGTGCTTCACGTGAGTGCTGTATTTCAGGCACCAAGAGGGTGATTAAAATAAGATTAGTGTGAATTCTTTGACATAATCTTCATCTTGAAAATATATCTGTCTGACTGCTGTGAACATTCGCTGATGACATTGCTATGGGAAAACGATGTTCTTAAATATAAAATGTGTTTGTGTATTTGTATTTACATCAGACCGTTCCGCCCAGAAGGACCCCTACTTGGATCTGGTTTCTCTTCAGAAAGCTGCAGGGAACTGGGATTTGGAGGCCAAACTCTTCGATGTGGTTGGCAAGACAGAAGAGGAACTGGCCAAGCAGAAGCCTCCACAGGTTTGTCACAGACAGTGTTACTGTGTTATAACAGCTTTTACAGAGGTGTGGACTCGAGTCACATGATTTGGACTCGAGTCAGACTTAAGTCACGAATTATTGATTTCAGTCTCGGAGCTCAAAGTGAATAAAACGTGGAAGTATGTCTGGCTGCAGATGGGACTCTCTACTGTCAGCAACTTTTCATATAAATGCATTTGTTTATTAGCATAAATACGACAGAACTGCATTGATAGTATAAACAAATCAGCCATAACGACAAAACCACCTCTTTTATCTGCTCCACTGACCACATAGGAACACTTTGTAGTTCTACAGTTACAGACTGTAGTCCATCTGTTTCTTTGCGTACTTTGTTAGCCCCCTTTTACCCTGTTCTTCAGTGGTCAGGACCCCCATGGACCCTCACAAAGCAGGTGCTATTTGGGTGGTGGATCATTCTCAGCACTGCAGTAACACTGACGTGGTGGTGGTGTGCTAGTGTGTGTTGTGTTGGTACGAATGGATCAGACACAGCAGTGCTGCTGGAGTTTTTAAACATTGTGTCCACTCACTGTCCACTCTAATAGACACACCTACCTTGTCAGTCCACCTGTTTGAAAACTCACTGCTGTGTCTTATCCACTCGTACCAGCGCAACACACCGATTAAATGGACGATTAGTATAAAAACAAGGATTAAATGTTATGGCTGATTGGTGTATATATTCAGTTTGAAAAAAGTCATGAACAGTTCATTTTAAAAATAAATAAATTATATTCATTTTTATAGTTCACATTAAGTCATACTGTGTCCTAAACCACATCCACAAGTCTGCACCACTTTAATGAAGACCTGGCTGCAGCGTTGAGAGAAGTTTTGAGGATGTATTTACTGAAAAGGTTTTGATGTGTTTGTTAGAAATGTGAGCCTCGTAGCTCCAGCACTAAAATACAGAAGTGAAAATTGAACTATTTGATCAGCTTCTGCAGTTAAGCCTTCAGACCCAATAATTCTAGAACACTCTTGTGGATTTCATAGAATTTTCAGGGCCAAATCTTCTTCGTGCTTGAATCATGGTAAATCACAGCCTCTCCTGGCTTGATTTTATCACTGTTACTCGCAGTTAAGTGTGAAAAATACCTGTGAGGAAAAACTGTTAACTCAAAACAGCTATTTATGAACATTTGGGTATATTTTGCAACATTCAGCTTCATGTTCATCAAAGTAACTTCCTTATTATGAAGAGCAGGTGTTGCCTGAATAAAGATTTAACAGTTTTCTTCTCCAAACTTGTTAAAAGCACATGTTGAAAATCATTGAGGCCAAAGGGAGGTTAAAGTCCTAAATAGTACTGACTTTACACCAAAGGGAATAGAATTCATGAGCTTTACATTCTCAGGCTAGTGCTGCCACACATATTGTCACAAACTTGATTTTCTAATAATAAACCTGTGTCGTTATTGGAAACTGCTAAAGAAAATATACTCATTTGTACATTCTGAAAACATTTGCTAGTTGTAGCTGTGCACATGAAAACAGTACTAAAACACACACTAGAACAGACTAACCAGAAAAGACTTTTATTTAAAGTTAATAAAACATATAATACAAAATCTACAATACAGTGTCTGCTAAAATGAAGCATCATGGTGATCCTGCAGCTGTGTGTCTAGTCACTCTCCTCATCACTGTCTGAGCTTCTCCTCTTGCTGGGGCTGTCGTCCATCTTAGGGCTGTTAAAGGAGCAGCTTGGAAACACAGAGGTGTGAAAATGGTCTATTACAGTGTAATTAAAAATCCAGTCTGCTACTTATTACTATACTGTTTGTACAGTTTTTATCCACTGGTTGTTGTTGTTCCTGTTGTTAACAGGATGAGTCATCTACAGTTTTTACTTGATCAGTATTCTTAAAGTACCTACAACACTCAGAAATGTGTATTGTGATGTTATGATATCAATAGCATACCGTCATATTGCTCATCCCTGCCATCCAAGTCTGCTGGAATCCCCTGCAGCATTAATGGCCCCACTTCCATTGGCTTTCCAGGCCAGCATATCAGACAGAGGTTGATCCCTGCCAAACTCCGTGTTAAGGTAAGCAAAGGCCTGGGGTGATCTCTGCCTGATGGTGAGATCACTGGGGTCATCAGCCATTTGTCTCCTTAGTTCGTCATCTGCTTCAGCAAAATCTGGGACTTGCAGACTCTGCATCAGTTGGATTCTCCCAAGTCCTTCGCATGGCCTCTTGGGAGGGGTCTGTGAGGTTTCCCAGGCTTTCCTGATGATGGCTCATGACAAAGCTGTTCCCAGCTTCAGAAGAAGAGTGTGGTAACTCCACGGAAACCCTCCTGTGCTCGTTTCTGTAGTCCGGATTCCCGTTGCCACCATCATCCTCAGCATCTTCCAGCACATTTCTTTCTTCGCGCACCTGTTCCTCCTCACCGAAATACTCAATCAGAACTCCAAAATGTTCCTCCTCAAGCCCCTGTTCATCCCTCAGATCAAAGCCAAACACAGCTTCACGGACATGTTCCTCTTCATGCACCTGTTCCTCCTCACCGAAATACTCAATCAGAACTCCAAATTGTTCCTCCACATGCTCATGTTCTTCCCTCAGATCAAAGCCAATCATAGCTTCACCGACATGTTCCTCTTCATGCACCTGTTCCTCCTCACCGAAATACTCAATCAGAACTCCAAAATGTTCCTCCTCAAGCCTCTGATCTTCCCTCACATCAGTGCCAATCATAGCTTCATCCGGATGTTCTGGGATCAAAAGAGGTGGATGGTCATCCTCTCTCTCAGGGTTGATGAAGACAGGAGGCGGAAGAGGTCTACAGTTTTCGTCCTCCTCCTCCAGTTGCACTTCAGGCACTGGGGCCAGGGGGCCTCACTGGAGGCTCTCATGCAGACCAGGTCTACAGACTGGAGAGAGATGAAACATCATCACATATCATTCAGTCTTTACTGTTATTTCTCCAAGCAGAACATACTGTTAATTTGGAAGTTGTCTGTTGAGCAAATCGCATCTTCCTGATTTAGGTTTATGTTTTTAACATACTTGGGCAGTGAACCCAGTGCAGGCAAATGACTGTAAGCATTGTTAGTACAGAATGTAGGAAATTATGTTTTTTAACACACTAAGAAAGCCGTTGCTGATCAGGCACCTTCGGTTTAGGTCAGCTTTTATTATTGGCTATTTAGGTCGTTACACAGGATACATGAGTTACTGTAACTTTTCAAATAGGCTTCTTTCACCCCTTAAATAGCCAGGGCTCACCAGCAGGCCCACATACTTATTACACCCTTCTATAACCTAAGAAGAGCTCAACCAGTTTGCATTAAAGTCTCTGTAGTACTAGATAATAATATGCCTTAAAATGTAACACGACTGGGATTTTAAGGTGTTAATCAAAACTTCAGACTGACCAGCAACACCACAGGTTGGATTGTTTTAAACTAAAGTATTCCTGGATCGCACTGACTGTCGAACAATGCAGTCAGCTGGCCTGTGCACAGATTTTTGGGAGTAAGGGGCTCGAGAGAAAACAGAGGACAGGAATGGAACTGAATTTAATTTACAGCACATTGTAAACACCTTTATCAGAAGAGTTTCTGAGGAAAGCAAACATAGGACACTTTCCCAAAGCATAGCATGCAGGCATATTTATCCAAAGTGGAATTGAACCCCAGTCTTCAGTATGTGGGTTTTTGGTATTAACCAGTACCCCAACTAACTGCTATGTGCTTAAATAACTTGTACAGCACAAGTAACAGCTCCCTCTCAAAGAGCTCAACAGAATCTCAAAAAACATCACTTTAAGGTCTCCTTCTTAACAGTTTAAGAACTTTTAGCAAGAAATCTATCAATGCCATAGTAAATAAAAACATATCATTTGTTTGTAAGCTTTGAAATGTGGTATAAATGGATTTATGTGATGCTTTAATAAGAGCTTCTCTAACTTAGTTACAAACTATTAGTAGACCCAAATAGTAGATTAGTAGACCTGAAACTATATTAGTGAAAGGTGAACAAGTAATAATTATCTGAATTTACAGAGACTAAACATGGTAGTAAATGCAAGTAGTCACATTTATGCTTGAACACTAATTTTACAGTAACTTAAAAAGCAGTTTTCTTAAATTACGGTATTTCGCTGTATTTAGCTGTAAAGTCAATTCTTTCTAACATGGAAATATTATTTTTTAGCACTTACTGGGTGGATACTAAGAATGAATGTTTCACTCATTTATGGTCTTGCAAATTCATTAATAAAGATCTTTGGGAAGTTATTTCCAGGTGGTTTGTAAGCATTTGCTTACTAGAATTTTCTACCATGTTTAACCATTATGAATTCACATTTATTGAATTAACAGTTCACATTCCTTGACTAACATATCACAAAAGTATGTCAAGTATGTTTGCAACTGAAAGATAATGAATTAACATTTAACATTCATATTAATAAACAAACAGTTATGAACTAGTTTACCACATTAACACATCTAACAGTGTTTGTATAATTGGCCCAATTCCTGCTTACATAAGTCACCAACGCTCAACCCCATGGTCAGTCACTCCCAGTTCAAACATTTTAGTGCGTACATACATACCTGGACAGTCGACCTGATGCAGGTGAACGACTGGAATCATTTTTCAGTGCAGAACGTACTAAACGTTATTAATTTAGTTTGTTTTAACGCACTACAAAACTGTCCTCACTTCGACTCTGCAGCTTAGATTTTGGTCATTTGGTGCTGCTGGGATTCTATTCTATTTATTACCATGGCAACATAGTGACGTCATAAAGGGTTCTATGACCAGTGGTGGAAATAGGCCAGAACACCAGGCCTATATCTGTTATATAGATATACCTGATCATGTGCACCTCAGATTTTGTCAGTTGTGACCTGATGCATGTGAACAGTTTATTTCTTGGAGCCATGGATGCTGCTGAAGTCCAGGCACACAACAGATTTATTGATGTATTTAATAAAACTGTAAAGAATAAAGAGCTTAGTTTTACACCTTAAATGAAACATCAAAGCTTTCCTTTGATAATTATTTTATTTCTTGGCACTTTCCCCCAGTTTAGTCATGTCCAACCCCACCTGCTTGCTAAGTCTCCCCCAGGTTCATGATACTACCACAGCTAGGAGGGTGAAGGCTAGCACCTGTTTCCTCATTTGAATTGGCAGTAATGCATCATTAAACAGCTCAAACACTTGGAGGAGAACATTAACAGCCAATTGTATTACATTAACTAACAGACGTTCATATTAGCTACCATCATGCTAAACGATTGGGGAGATGATAACCATCCTGCCCATCCAGAGGGAGCGAGGACTCCCACCCTGGAGGGCTGTGGTATCACTGTGGATCAAACTTGTGATGTCCTGATGATCAACACATTTAGATGGTTGTGCCAATGTGGAACCAATCATCCATTTTCACCGGTGACTCAGGGCTTGACTTAAGACTTGTGTTAACCTGAGACTTACTTATTTTTTGTAACTCAATGAGTTGTTTCTGCCTTTGATTTGTAATAATTGATTTGTAATAATGTAAAAGTTATTCATACTGTGTATATCGCTGCTGTCGGAAGAAAACCTTGTATCTCTTTTTTTTTGTTGTTTTTTTCAGTTTTTGACATAATTTGAAAAACCTGTTTCCTTTTACATTGTATGTAAATTTCGTGGTGAATGGACCAAAAGAAACAGTTCAAAATGAAGTCTGGTTCCATTGACTCACATTAAAAGTAAAGGAGGTTTTTTCCTTCTCCTATAAAGTCATCAATTTGGAGATACAAGGTTTTCTTCCAACAAAAGCGATATATATGCTCTGTGCTCACAAGAACAAGATGAACCTACTTGGATAGAAAACAAAGATTTCTGAGGTTTCAGTGCATCGTTTTTGAGAGTATGGGAGGGGTTACGAACTTAATGCAGGTGAGGGATAACAAGGGGGGTGGAGCTAAGGTGAAAAAATGGGGGAAAAGGACTGACTTTTTTTATTTCATTGTCATTGTGTTATATGTTGAGCCAATAAAATGAGGTTACTGTAGTGTGACTGCAAACAACTGTAACGAAAGTCCTTCACTTCACTGAATGCAATAAAATGTCAAATGACAAAAAAAAAAAGTTTCACCAAAACAACAGAAGAGTTTCATCAGCATTTGTAAAAGCCTTGACTATTGATCATGACTGTTGAATTGAAATGATAGATATGTGTTTTTGATGGTGATGTGCAGGTGGACAGTGCAATGTGGGCCACAGTTCTGGCTCTGATCTGGCTTTACGGCTTCAGGACGGCTGAACAGGAAGAGTGGAAGTTTATTGCCATGAAGGCCACATCCTGGATCCGTTCTCAGAAAGGTCAGAAAACATCATCAATAAACACAGCATAGAATACACCGATCAGGCATAACATTATGACCACCTCCTTGTTTCTACACTCATTGTCCATTTTATCAGCTCCACTTACTATATAGGTGCACTTTGTAGTTCTACAGTTACAGACTGTAGTCCATCTGTTTCTCTGCATACTTTGTTAGCCCCCTTTTACCCTGTTCTTCAGTGGTGGTGGTGTGTTAGTGTGTGTTGCGCTGGTCTGAGTGGATCAGACACAGCAGTGCTGCTGGAGTTTTTAAACACCTCAGTGTCACTGCTGGACTGAGAATAGTCCACCAACCAAAAATATCCAGCCAACAGCATCCTGTGGGCAGCGTCCTGTGACCACTGATGAAGGACTAGAGGATGACCAACACAAACTGTGCAGCAGCAGATGAGCTATCGTCTCTGACTTTACATCTACAAGGTGGACTGACGAGGTAGGAGTGTCTAATAGAGTAGTCAGTAAGTGGACACAGTGTTTATGTCTGATCCACTCACACCAGCACAACACACACTAACACACCACCACCACGTCAGTGTTACTGCAGTGCTTAGAATGATCCACCACCCAAATAGTACCTGCTCTGTGAGGGTCCATGGGGGTCCTGACCACTGAAGAACAGGGTAAAAGGGGGCTAACAAAGTATGCAGAGAAACAGATGGACTACAGTCTGTAACTGTAGAACTACAAAGTGCACCTATATAGTAAGTGGAGCTGATAAAATGGACAATGAGTGTAGAAACAAGGAGGTGGTCATAATGTTATGCCTGATCGGTGTATTTTAGTCATTATCCCTGTTATATTAAGTGTCGACAGTTCTAAGCAAACTGTTGTGCAGAGACTCATCTACCAGCATCATGTCATATAATGGTTGTGGTTTATGTCTTATGATGATGTGTTTCAGTGGGGAACCTGTCTGAGTGTGTCCAGGCTGGAAATGCTGTGCTGGGGTGTCAGGTGGAAGAAGAGTGTATGACCTACATCTGTCCACGACACTGCCATTACTACCATTAAGCTCACACTCCCAGACCCATTCTTGTTGGTGTCATGCCTGCTAGAGACTCGTCTAGGGTGACAGACTACATTTCCCAGCATAACCTGGGAGATCACGTGACGGCAGACTTCCCTATGGAGTCGGAATCCCTCGTGGACTCCATTACCCTGATGTGACCAGTGACGATCTGCCTCGCACCTATCAGCGTTAACAATCACCTGAATTCTGAATATTTTCACCTGTTTTTGAGTCATATGACTAGTGTAGTTTAATATATTAGCCCGGGCTTTAGCTTAGGATCTTTGCGAGGTATTGTTTCTCTCTTGAACTTACTGAGCGTTTTCTCTGGTTTGCTATACTCTGTTTTGACCCTGATCTCGTTTTGTTTGACTATGTTTTTGCCTGCTCCTTTTGTACCGTTGCTTGTTTATTGGATTCATGATTTTGACCTTTTTGCCTGCCTTTTTGACTCTGCCTTTTGTCTCGCCCTCTGAACTTGTTTGCCTGTGGTGATGATCACCTTCGTGATCATCTATCGCCTTTTGGTTTTGACCCACGCCTGTACTTCAACTACGACTTTGCCTAGTGTTAATAAAGCCTGTACTTTCACTTTTATCTGCCCGCATCTGAACCTTGCTGACAGGTTACAGTTGGAAGTAGTTTCATCAGTATTTAAAGGGAATTTACTGTTTACAGACCATTCGGCCAAAGTAGTTCAGAGTCAGAGTTTCAGACTTTTAAATGACTCCTTTGGCTTTGAGTGACTCTGTACCTTAATAATGTTATTTATCAAAACAAATGATTGAACATTCCATTTTGTCACTAACAAAACAATCATGACACAACAGAAACTTTACCAAATGTTCCAGTAGTGACTGTTTCAGTAGTGACTGTTTCGGTAGTGACTATTTTGTTGTACTCATATTTTGAAGTTATTTTGAAGTAAAAACATTTTTCTGCAGTTTTAACTACAATAATCTATACATGACTATGGATTATGTGAATTAAATGCATAAAGAAAACAAATGCCAAATAAATATTATAAAATATATAATAAAGTTGTTGTTCCCAGGAGTCGTGTTACTGGTGTTACCGCGTAACAAAAAATCTCTTATTTTGAAATAAAAGTCACACTGATGACATCACTTGACTTTTACCTGTTTTCTGAGGATCTATGAAGAAAAGCACATGGTGAATCCACCGTGTCTTTCAGTTATCAGAGATTTTCTCATTTAGCTCATGATTTCATATGAAGCTTTTAGCTGAAGTCACTGGTGTGACCGACTTTATTCTGAGGTAATTGTGAAAAAAAACAGAATACAAATAGATTAAATTCCATATTTTAGTGGATATTCCATGATTGACAACATGTGGTTTGATGCTCTGTAGCAGCATTCTGTAAAATGCATTTTTCATTAAAAATGTCTTTGGTGTTTCCTTTATTATGTGTAACACCAATGAGGATCAGTAACACCAGTGACTCCTATGGAGAGATAGAAAAGTACTCCACCTATGAACTAAAACTCTGTTCAGTAGTGATATGAAAACAGCAGCATTTAAAACTCATAATAAATGTAAATCTTTCAACCGAAACATCTTTACATAAAACACTTTAACTATTAGACAGCCACCCTATAGATGATGAATTGTGTATAAATAGCTTATTAATATCTCAGTGAATGCCTTGGGTTTAACTAGATCATATAATTCTTGTAAATATCTAAGGTCTAAATATTTATTTATTTGTTGCATACTGGCCTTACAAATGACACACATTAAATTTTAAACACATAAAATCTTTACTATGTCAGAAAGATACATGCAATATAAAAAGGAACAAGACGTATGTTGATTCAAAGTGTTTGCGAGATTGGAACTGGTGTAAAATATTGCTTTTGTTCATCTGAACTATTCGCTTGCTTTGTTTCAATTGAGGTTTTTGAAGTTTTTATATGACTTGAGTTACATGACTATTATAACCATTATATATATATATATATATATATATATATATATATATATATATAATGGTTATAATTTGAAAATGTTTGATTCTTCGATTTTTAATTATTAGGCCTAAGTTAATCTTTTTTCCACTTATGTTTTAATGACTTAAAGTGTCGTTACTGGCCCACTACGAATTACTGCTTCCCCCTGAGTACAGGCCCGAGGACCACTAGAGGGTGCTTTGTGGCCCACCGGTGATCCATGTCCCACAGGTTGAGAAACCCTGGTCTAATCTGTTTGATTAAACAGACACAACACAACGTCACAAAACATCTGTTTACACAGAACCAGTGGTGTGTTGAACACTCTTGATCTGTGCCTGCAGTACGTGGATGGATACAGTATTAAAGTCATATTAGACACATAGACATATTAGATATATAGACAGATCTCCTGTGTGCTAATTTGACCAAACAGCCATTTTTAATCCATTTGCTGGCTGTTGTTCCTCTAACATAAACATGCTGAACAGACATTTTGGGGCCATTAAAAGAATTCTCTTGGATGATGCACCCAGACCCCTCCCCAGGTCAGGCCTAGCCTCCCAGCCAGGAACCTCTAGTCACACCCCTGGTGAATTAGTACATACCGAAAGTGGCTTGATTAGATCATAAAAAAGTCTAGACGTCTAGACACACTCCACCCTTATGGAAAACGTTTAGTATCAAATATAAAAAAACAGCACACTTGGCGTCAGTATTACAATAGCAAGTCTGCAGGCAGAATATTGTGCAAGGAATTCAAGTTGAAGTATTTACTGAAGGATTTACTGAAACACTAAAACATACACAATAAAGCACATTACAGGCTTCAAATGTCAGAGTTTAAACTAGTGCTGCCATCAGTGTTTTACCCAATGTGGGAAAGGTAATGTTCACCAACGTTAGCTTGGTGTTTGTCTTTACGCTCTCCAAGCTGGGACTGACTTCCTTGGCACTGACAGTAAAACATGTTATTAACAATATTTATAATGCATTATATTAACAATTCATAATGTATAATAAACATGGCTATAAAGTGTAATCCAGGGTAATACATTTTTATAAATGTTTATAATCATGTTTATAATGCCGTATGAAGGCATTATAACATGTTATAAATGTGCTTATAGATGCTTACAAACGTGACATTCATAGAAAGTGTTACCGTAAGTTCTTTGCTGTTGTGAGGTAAAACTGATTCGTCCTGATTGAATAACTTTGTCTATAATGCTATATTCAAATATTTACACTGAAAATATCCTGATATGAACTCTTCCAGAAGTGCCTCCGCAATACGCCCCTTTGATTCACCTCAGCAGCTGCCCTCGCCAAAGTCTGTGCTACCGTAATGCCCTGTTGCCTGAGGGGGTGTGTTGATAAGAATGAAGCTCATCCTTAAACAAGCCTTTCTTTGTTTTTACTGAAGTGAAAGAGCTTCTTTAATAGCTCTTTAAGGACAGGTGACAGCATGATCAAGATACACTCCTACACATGAACGGCCGTATCTTTACTGTCATCTTGCAGGTGCAAGTCTGGGCTATTGTGTAATTGATGTGTTTGCTTAGGCTACAGTCATACGCATCAAACTGATGAGTAGCTAGTGTGCGTTTGGCAGGATTGACAGGATGCAGGACATTTAAAAGCACTAAATGGTCTGTTTATACAGTCACTTCATCAGAATACGTACAGTTACCAGTTTATAGACGCCCGAATTTGCGTTGTGATTTTGTAATCACTGTCATACCTGTATTAGGACCATTACATTACATACTGACGAAGATTTGATGACAATAGTAGATAATTCACTTACTTCCTTGGAAGAAACATCCTTCACCAAGTTTTGACAGAGTTCTCTTCAAATACTATTTCAACATATTCGCAAAAGTTAGATTCATCCACTTCTGGGGGTCCGAAGCTCAACCCACGTTACAAAATGTTTTTGCGCTTGATGTGTGCAATTGCATATTTTCACCAGAGAGGTCTCCAAATCCTACATAGTGTTGCTTTAACAATTTAAGACATAAACTCGGTAGGCCCTGTGATGCACTGGCAAACTGTCCAGGGTGTTTCCTGCCTTCGCCCAATGAGTGCTGGTATAGGCTCCAGCACCCCCCACGACCGAGGAGGATAAACGGTTTGGATGATGAGTGAGTGAGTAAACTTGGTAGGTAACAGGCTAGCAATGCTGTGTTGAAAATTGCCTTTTAACCTAAAACTTTTCTGTCAACAGTGTATATATGGTCAGAGCTGACCACTCAAGAATGGCTTGAAAATAGCTGACACAAACTGAGTAGACCAGCAAAGTAGGTGTTTCTAATAAAGTGGCCAGTACTCTGTACACCCAACGTAGATAAAACATAAGTGATAGTATTTGGCTCCAACAAGGAAAACCTTAAGGTTAACAGTCTAAGGCCCAATCCCATTTCACCCCTCGCCCCTACCACTGAGCCCTTAGCCCTCTATTTTGTGTGTTCACATCTAGGGTTAGGGTGTCCCGATTTTTGTTGAGATAGAGGGGTAGGGTGAAGTGTTAGAGCTACATGACCCTTCAAACTGAGGATTTTCAGAGACTCCAAACAGAGTGATATGAGAAAATAAGTAAAACCAGCCAGATGGCTGAACAAGAGACCAAAGAAAAATTTTTCAAATGTGAAAATTTTCTCCATTAAAAAATTACAATAACAATTGTATTATCTTAGTTTAATGTCGTTTCCGTGTATTGTGGTCATTTTCTTCATAACGAGCATAAAAAATCACTAATAGCATGCTAATGTCTCGGTAGCTAGCTAGCTAATTTTCCCGTTCCACCTTAAATCCAGCAATTCTGACACCTGAAGTGCCAGAATGTAGCTGCTGCACCATTTAAGGTGGAACGGGAAAATTCGAACATGAAGCAGTGTTTTTTTTTCTTTGAATGTGAGGGTTGTCCCATTTCGTAGGGCACTACCCCTTGTAACTCAGTTCGGGTGACACTCAAAAACAAGCGGTAGAGGTAAAAAGAAGGAATGGGATTGGACCTAAATCCGGAGGACCTTCCAGGCCAAAGTGCTGCGATGATTAGTGTTTACCCCCACCTACACTCAGTTCATGAAGGCCTTGCTAATTAACTGAATCAAGTGTGTTTAATGAGGCAATATGCTGAAGTCTGCAGTGTTTTGGCCTGCGAGGACTGGAGCCTGACACATGTGGTCTAAGTTAACTAAGTCTAAGTTAATGCTAAGTTTCTAAATGCTACAACAAAAGTGGAAAACCTCAAAGTTTTAAATAATTATTGACTCAGGTGTAAAAGCTAATTAGGTTTATGACTGCACAATGAGTGTAGTCCTAAACCATGAGTGAAAATATAACACTTGTACTATTAAAGAGGAATTCAGAGTGAATTGATATGATTTGTTCCATCCTAGAGAAATTTACAAGTCAGAGTCATTCACTGTGGGCGTGATGGGAATCAGATGTCTGAAGAGTTTAAAGCTACCTTACAGACCCTTATTGCATGAAATGATTATGAATCTGCTGCCAAATGCCTGAGACATTGCTTTCTAAAAGTTTTGAGATAAGCTTTTGGCCTTCAACTACACATAGGGCACTGCAAGGCAAAGAGTACTTTAAATAACTGTTTTAATATATTTTATATCAAATATAAAATGTCTATATATGTGTTGTAGATGTAAAGTCAGAGATGATAGCTCATCTGCTGCTGCACAGTTTGTGTTGGTCATCCTCTAGTCCTTCATCAGTGCTCACAGGACGCTGCCCACAGGACGCTGTTGGCTGGATATTTTTGGTTGGTGGACTATTCTTAGTCCAGCAGTGACACTGAGGTGTTTAAAAACTCCAGCAGCACTGCTGTGTCTGATCCACTCAGACCAGCGCAACACACACTAACACACCACCACCACCACGTCAGTGTTACTGCAGTGCTGAGAATGATCCACAACCCAAATAGTACCTGCTCTGTGAGGGTCAATAGGGGTCCTGACCACTGAAGAACAGGGTAAAAGGGGGCTAACAAAGTATGCAGAGAAACAGATGGACTACAGTCTGTAACTGTAGAACTACAAAGTGCACCTATATAGTAAGTGGAGCTGATAAAATGGACAATGAGTGTAGAAACAAGGAGGTGGTCATAACGTTATGCCTGATCATTTCTACTGGTCAGTCCGCCATGAAATTCTGACACAACGTAAGCAACAACTCAATTCAAATTATGTAAAAAAAAATAGATAAATAAATAAATAAAATGTTCTGTTCCAACACTGACAACATCTTTCACATTAGGAGGCTTTACATTGAAATAAAGGCAAAAATGTGATTATAGTTGAACATTTTATTTGAATGCTTTATATGAATAACTGTATTTAGAAAAAAAGAGAGGTTTATACATGAGAACACAGAGTACACATAGTTCAGTCTGGACAAAACCACTGACTGGTGCACTGCCAATTATGCTGAAAAATGTATAACCATAGCATATGAAACAATCATCAATATATAAAGTTGTTCCCTGAAGCCATCGTCAAGCTCATTCAGACAGAGAGCTTAATAAAGGTGCGTTGCATAGGTTAGCTTTGATACATGGTTCAAAAATCTCACCACACAACATTAGAAATAAAAGCAGTTAAGATACACACAATGGTAATGCCTCAAGACCAAACAAAAAGAAAGCACCACACAACATCTCAGTACAAGGGGATGTTTCCTTGAATGCTCCTAATGGTGATGTAATAGCCTGGAGGAAATGGCTCATACACAGCATTGAGTAATCTAAAGATTTCTCATTGATTTAAGGTGCTTAAAACATACAGCAACAACATCACACACATTTTACGAGATAGATAAAAATATATAAGGTAAATAATAACGTTTCCATATTTTGTTCACCCGTGTCTGTAATATACACCAGGCTCAGAGCACTGAAGTACAAACAGAATACATTCGGCAGTATCCTTTAAACGACGGAAGAAAGTAAATGAAAGTAAACTACTGGCAAAAACTATGTATAACTTAAAATACCTGGGTGAATGTCTCAGCACCACTAGAAGCCCAATTTGTGCAGTGGGCCAATCATGTTCAAGGGGAGGTCTCTGAACAAAGATGCAAATTTTAGGTGTTCTGTTCAGCGAGCGGTGCACGCTGCATCTAACAAACTCGCTGGTTTGGTCAAAAAGACGTTTAGATACAAAAGGTTTCCCTCTGAAATGCTGCCGGCTTAAGGCTGTTTACACCTTGCATTAAGATGTGTTTCATGTCTGGATGTCATTTTTCACTTCTCCTTAAATTGCGTCCTCAGTGCGACCAGATGAGGTCATTTTACTTTACCACATAAAAAGTGCCGTAACATGTCATTTTGCTTTACTGTCATTTACTTCAATGAAAAGAAAATACAGTTTTAAACCAAATATTATAGCCAGACAAAGCAAACGTACGTGAAGACATCTGAAAAAAAAAGTTTTCATCGCTCGATGTGGCTAACCTGGCCAAGAGCAAGGGTTACCACTCATCCAGGGTTCCTGGATGGTCCTGGATTTTGGTTGTCCGGGCAAAAAATGTCCCAGAATTTAAGGATTTTCATATGTTTTCATACATATCGTCGCTGTCCAATGAAAAACGTATCTCCGTTTTTTGAGATTTTTACTTTTCGGCATCATTTGAGCTCAGCAGCTATGAAAATTTCATGATGATTGGACCAATAGAAATGCTCCAAAATCGCTTAGAATAAAATCTCTTTCCATTAACTTACATTGAAAGTAAAGAACGTTTTTATCCTCTCCTTTAAAGTTACTATTTTGGAGATGTTTCACCAACTACTTCTACAGGTTACCCTCAATGTAGGGACATTTCTTAGGGAAAGGTGCACTGTTGGTGACATGTTCAGGTACTAGGCAGTACTGCTGAGTGCCTAAACTGCCCTAATTGGGAAGATTAGGTGCTGGAACTGAACTGACAAAAAAAATCATGCCACTGATTGAGTGTCCAGGAATCTTAAAGGGCTGAGGTTGCAACGCTACCATATATAATTCTGATTAAATAATTAGCTCCCTGCTGTTCATCCTCCCCTTGTGCTCTGAGCGGCCACTTCCAAGGAGTGAACTGAAGTAAGGAAGAAGAAAAAACCCACACTGAAACAGGACAATGGTTTTGGGAAGGGGGAGCAAAGTAGGCAGATCGTCCCCTGCTGTGTTATTGCTCCCTACAGTGAAATGAATGGAGATTCAAAACATTTAGAATGCAGCCAGCAGATGGCACAAGTGTGCTCTTTCTCTCCCAAGCCCAGCCTCAGCATCAGCACTCAGTGGACGCATTTCCGTCACCATTGTATGTGGATATAGAATTCCATGTACACTTGTGCTGAAAGTGGTCGAGATCCAAATATGGTTTGAGTGATCCTATCATAATCCGATAACAATGCATCCCGGGGGCTTTTCATGCAATCAAGTGAAATCCAAATGTGATCCGATCATGTGGACACAAGGTGTTAACAGTCTCAATGTATACAGTACTGTCACTCATGTTCTCTGCTTGAAGAAAGCTGTTTTATCTCACAGGGATCCATGATTTTGAGGGCAACTTCTGCACATTCTGGTAGCTTAAATCACAAAATCAAAAATGAATATGAAAAGATAAAGTGGTAAACAGAGACAATGGTTACAAATCTGGCAGTTTTGTGCCACAGCTTTTTTGGCTGGACAGCTACCACAATGTTCATGGGTAGCTGTAAAGGTTTCAGAAGCTAGAAAGCAGGAATGTAGTTGCAAATCTTTCACTGCAGCCTCTTTTCCACTGTACGGCAGAGAAGTTATCATGACTACATTGTGTCATTCTCGAGAGATGCTAAATCAGGAGGAGAACCGCACTGATGACAGTGAGTCAGTGACCGTAATAACATTGCTGTAGGTAATAATGTAGTCGCTCCTCTTTCTGTTGACTGACTGTGTGGAAGATTTTTGGACTGTTCTTAGTTTTGAAATGGCAGATGTAGCATCACAAAAGTGGTGTGAAGTGATGTAGGTTTAGTCATACTGTGGATCAGGGATATACATTCTGATTACATTGTTCAAGTATTCATACATGGGAAATTCTGCATAATTCAGTCATTGAGATGTAAACAAAGTCATTCATACTGGTTTGATATGAAACAGTGAGAAGATGAGGACATGAACATCCAAAATATGTTTGCTTTGGGGTTTTAAATGAGATTTAGACCAAAATCTTATCTCAAAACTATCGTAAAATGAAGTCTCAAGCTTTAGGCAATGCATTCAAAAGCATTTAGTGTAATAATGTTATCTGAGGTAGCTTTTACAGGCATTAAAATGCTTCAGATGTCTGGTTCCTATCACCACCACTGTGAACAACTGTGGCTCAGTATGTTTCTCTTCAATGGAGCGTTTCACATCGAACCGCTCGGAATGACTTTGTTTACATCTGAACCACTTAATTTCACAGAAGTTTCTCATTTAATGCCCAGATATTCAGTTAACTAGACAAAAGGCTCCTGTATTGTAGTGCACTGATGCTAGCAGGCTAAAAACAGTAGCACAAAGGAATATTGAACCTCAAATCATTTGAAAAAACATTGTATTCTGCCAAAATACCAAAGTGAAAAATCACTGTGTGTCAAATAAGAAGGTTTTACTGTCAGGGCTTGAATAACAGAAGCGGATCCAGATGATCTAATGAGCTAATGCTAACACTAGAGACGATGCCAGTGCAAAGGTAGATGGTGATGACTTGTGAGCTTTTCTCTCTTTAGTCGATGATCTGCCAGTAAGTTGATGACCGATCTGTCAATATGGGTGACATTGAGAGCAGCGGAATTTGTTTTCATTGTTTTTTAGTTCTCGCTAATGGCAGCTAGAATATTTAGCCTAGTTATTAGTGGCATCTGCCTTCTCAGTCACATCCGGAACAACGTGCTCTTGCCAATGCATTTAGGCCCTTGTGTTTCTCTATACATACTTAAAATGTAAATGTGAGCAAAATTGTCCTAATTTACATACCTGTTAAAAGTTAGTGGCGGTTCACGTAGTTACATCTAAAATCCATATATCTGCTGTTGTCAGAAGAAAATCTCGTATCTCCAAAATGACAACTTTACAGGAGAAGGAAGAAACCTACTTTACTTTCAATGTAAGTCAATGGAACCAGACTTTCTTCCAAGTAATTTTGGGTCATTTCTGTTGATGCAATCATCATGAAATTTACACACAATGTATAGGATCATGAGTACTTTCAAATTACTCCAAAAACTGAAAAACATCAAAAATGGAGATACGAGGTTTTCTTCCAACAACAGCGATATGATATGCGGTGAGTGTATGATTGTTGATCACTGGTTATTGATTAAATTTACATGGCCAAATCTATATTATCTACGTCTACATTATCATGTCTAAATTTAACATTATTATATCTAAATCTTACCTATCATTAATTGGCAGATATACAGTCCTTATTAGGCCTCATACCCAAATGCTTTTGCTGCACTAAGCAGTTTTAGCTAACCAAGCCAAGGCACCTGTGCTGGACATGGTTTGTAAGTGCCAAATCGTGTCCAGATGAAAATGATTACTCTCCATTGTCCACAGTGGAAAAGAGGCTTTTGAACCCAGCCGGACTGTTAAGCAGTATAGCATGTACGGTTATGCTGACAAAGGCTTAAGATGGTATGAATGGGGGTAGTCAGGCCGGTAACGTCAGCCAAAGGCTCATATTTGTTCTGCGTGTTTTTTATCCAGAGGTAGGTCCTGCCTAGCTCCAGCGCAGGGAAGAGGCAGTGGTCCAATGGCCCGACTTCTAGAGAGTTTCCACAAGACTTCACAGTTGCATTGACCTCCAGCGCATCCCCCACCACGACAAAGCGCTCATTCTGCTTCACTGCCACACTCTCCACTGTTCCTAACAGCACTGGAAGGACAGAGAACAAATTCGGATGAATATTAGTCACGGGGACGACAAATGACTGACCTGAAAATTCACCATGTGGGTCATTCTAACATTGCAGTGATATGAATGTTGGTTAGTAATTTAGGTGTGAAATGTAGTCTGTTATATTGGACAACTTAAGCAAAGTTGTAACACCACTGACAAACCTACTGACTAAAATCTGAGCCTTTCTAAAATATAGTCCATCAGCTCCACTTACTATATAGGTGCACTTTGTAGTTCTACAGTTACAGACTGTAGTCAATCTGTTTCTCTGCATACTTTGTTAGCCCCCTTTTACCCTGTTCTTCAGTGGTCAGGACCCCCATGGACCCTCACAGAGCAGATACTATTTGGGTGGTGGATCATTCTCAGCACTGCAGTAACACTGACGTGGTGGTGGTGTGTTAGTGTGTGTTGTGCTGGTCTGAGTGGATCAGACACAGCAGTGCTGCTGGAGTTTTTAAACACTGTGTCCGGGCTCCCGAGTGGCGCAACCGTCTAAGCGTTGGCCCTATCATCAGGAGATCGCGAGTTCGATACCTGGTGATGCTACAGCCATCCGTAGCCGGGAGTCCGAGAGAGCACAATTGGCCTCGCTCTCTCTGGGTGGGTAGGATGGCCCCCCTTCTCCCCCCATCACTCAGCGCGATGCTAGTCAGCGCAGGCGTCTGTTAGCTGACGTAACAGATCTGGTGGTTGGCGCTTTCCTCCGAACGCGTTCAGCTGTCCAGTGACGTTGCGTGAGCGGCAGCTCGAAAAGAAGCGGTGGTTGGCTTCACAGGTCTCGGAGGAAGCCTGTGTTAGCCTTCACCCTCCTAGCGTTGATAGCATCGTGTGATTGGGGGAGTCCTAACTAGCGGGTGGAATTGGAGACGACTAAATTCGGGAGAAAAATCGGGTAAAAATTAAAAAATTAACCCTGTGTCCACTCACTGTCCACTCTATTAGACACTCCTACCTTGTCAGTCCAGCTTGTAGATGTAAAGTCAGAGACGATAGCTCATCTGCTGCTGCACAGTTTGTGTTGGTCATCCTCTAGTCCTTCATCAGTGGTCACAGGACGCTGTTGCCTGGACATTTTTGGTTGGTGGACTATTCTCAGTCCAGCAGTGACACTGAGGTGTTTAAAAACTCCAGCAGCACTGCTGTGTCTGATCCACTCAGACCAGCACAACACACACTAACACACCACCACCACGTCAGTGTTACTGCAGTGCTGAACTACCAAGTGCACCTATATAGTAAGTGGAGCTGATAAAATGGACAATGAGTGTAGAAACAAGGATGGTCATAATGTTATGCCTGATCGGTGTATATACATATATATATATATATATATATATATATATATATATATATATATATATATATATATATATATATGCATATGTATACACAAGATATAATTTAAAAAACCTTCATGTTTAATGACATTTTGTTTCTGTAACACCACTTAAAAAGATTTATTATCAGAATAAAATGATATTTCTGTATTTAAAATTAGTTAACATTATTTAACAGTTTTGTCAGTTAATTTAGGAATAGAACAAGAAATACACAGATATCAGCTTTCTGTTGTTTATTCTTATTGTGAGCTCATTTTCATGGCTTCAAAATCCACTGACTGCATAAAAGATCCGTACCTGGCTTTGTGCAAATTGCAGACTTGCTGTAGTCCAGCAGGGGTCGAATAAGCTTCAACCCTGGCAAAAATGAAAATGAAAAATGAATGAAAGGCTGATTAGTTATACGATAATGCAACTTATGATGCAACACATTAATGATTCAGTTAGTTCACTTTCTCATAAATTCACAAATAACAGATGGAGTCATATGGTCTAGACAAGTTGATGTCGTAATATCCTGTCCTCAGACCACAGCCTCAGGATATAACTGTATGTGCGTGAGGGAGAAAAGAAAACAGTGATGAAAGCTGCCGATGTGTCTGTGTACGTCTACTCAAGAAGGCAAGTTACTTCATACCGCCCATCTTTGCCTGTGAACCATTTGTTGTCTTGGAAGTGAGTTGTCCAGCACAGCAGCTCCACATAGACATATTGTAGTACCAGTGGCCACAGCAGGAATGGCCAGGCTGGGTCTTATAGACCAGAGATTTCTCTGTTGAGTGGCAGCACTGTTGCTCCTTCTTATTGGTCAGCAGTAGAGGACCACAGCACTCCGCCTCTTGTTTGTTCTTCAGGTGTGTCAGATCATGGAGATGGCCGGAACAGCACATGTGTTCACCAGAGTTGGCGTTGTAAGCATGAGAGCCACAGCAGGCCATGTCCGCTGTCCTTTTATGTCTGAGAACAGAGAAGTGAAAAGTGGTTTGTTATTTAGGGCCTCATTATTAGGGGCATCGTCACTGGGTTGCTTGTTAAATAATTGCAGACATCCGATTATAGCGTCTTATTCCATAGGCCTAGTTGTTGTAGAGGAGTAGGTAACTCTGCTGCCTTCAACAAGACAGACAAGGGTTTGATTCCCCGTTCAGGCAAGAATTTCAATGCTAAATAGTCCCCTAAAGCAACATTGGCCTTCTTATGTGGAACTTACTAGAGCTTACAACCACTGACCAATAACATGTCTTGTATTTTATTTCTTCCCTTATAACAATTGTACCAAAAAAGGGTCATCATTATTTTCTGCATGACCATTTTCCTTATTTTATTTTACTTTTATTTACCCAGGGATTAAAAATCTCTTTTACAAGTGAGCCCTGGCCAAGAAGGCAGCACACAAAACAACTGACAAACAAACAACAAGACCACAACCAGCAGAATCAAATCAGGGTCAAAACCAAATTAAAAACAGGAACAAAGAGTTATTTAACAATTATCTTAAATTCACTCAAGGAAATAAACTGCTCCAATTTCAAACGTTTCTGCAGATCATTCCATGCAGATGGAGCACTGTGACTAAAAGCTGCCTTGCCATATCCAGACCGTACTCTCGGAACATCCAGCTGAATATAACTACTAGAACGTAAATTGTATCTAGGCTTATTTGTTGATAATGAATGCAGACAAATATGAAGGAAGGTGACCAATTATTGCTTTCCAGACAACAATTATCCAATGAGTTTGTCTTTGCGCTAAAAGTGAAGGCCATCCAACCATTTCATAATTCTATTCTAATCCCTGATAAATGAGCTCTATTCTGTGCCTGTGTTCTGTTTTGTATTTATTGTAAGTCTTTCATATTTATTACACTGTATTGTCAGCACTGTGTATATTGTATTTTTTGGCACTTGTGTTCCTGTGTTGGTCCTGGAGGAAGGTTGTTTCGTTTCACTGTGTACTTGTATGTAACTGCAATGACCATAAAGCCTCTTGAACTTGAATTTGATCTTAGCCTACGTTCACATTACCAGGTTGAAGTGTCACAATCCAATTTTTTGCTCTAATGTAACTCAGATCTGATGTTTTTAGAGCTGTGTGGACACAAATCTGATCTTTTCATATCTGACCTCAGCCACTTTCACATGTGGTCCTAGATCGGATACGTATCCGATTCGTGGCCATGCGACCTTAATGTGACGTTCAGATCGGAATTCATGTGCTTTTTTTCCACTGCGGCATCATTCAGCGTTACCATGGCAGCAGCGCCGGACAGCAGTTAAAGCCTGTAAACGGTGGAAAAGCAGCTCATCTCACCTTTTTCTCCTTCGTCTCGCTCTAATAATGAAGCTGAGAGCTGATCAGAGTTAATTATCTTCTCAGTGAAGCTCGTTCTGCTCGTTAGTTTGTGCTGATGATGATCGTGATTCATTCACATGACATTACTGAGTAGGATGTGGGTCATTTCAGGACGCCGGTTCACATTAATGACAGATTTGAGTCATATATCTGAACGAGTGTGAACCATCATGTCAGAGAGATCGGATTTGAGCAAAAAATCAGATTTGAGCAACGAGGCTTGTAATGTGACCGTAGCCTAAATACACCCACAGCAACCACTTGTACTCCACTACAAAGCCAAAGTTACTGCCTGGCACTGACCCAAAACACACCTGCTTCACAACAATTACTGTGTTTACCGCATGACGTGGTAGCGTGCCTGTTTACACAATCTCCTTAAAGGCCTTGAGGATGTGCTAGAATACAGAAAACAGTCAGCCTGGGTGGTTAGGATATAGTAGCCTTAATGGTTGTTGATACATAAGCAGGGTAATGTTCATAAAAACACAGGGTTGTGTGGCAGAAACTGTCCCACAAAACTAGTAGTTAGACCTACCTATTTGATAAGACTGTTAAATACAATATCAAATAATAAAAAGCTCACTGCCCATCAGCTGAGGAAGCTGAGGTGGTGCCTGTTGTGAAAAATAAAGTGCATCATCATTGCTTTGAGTAATTCAAAGCACCATATCATTTTCAGATTTCTCAAAGAGCTCTTGCTCCATATTGTAGAGGGAGCAGAGGGTGGTGCCATCGTCTCACAACAAGAAGGGCTTGGGTTTGATTTCCAGGGTCCTTTCCATGTGGAGTTTGCATGTTCTCCCTGTGTCTGCATGGAACATGCAGTCAGGCCAACTGGTAACACTAAATGGCCCCTAAGTATGAATGTGTATGTCTGTGTGTCTGCCCTGTGATGGACTGGTGACCTGTCCAGGGTGGATCCTTCCACCCATTGAGTGCTGAGATAGGGTCCAGCACCCAACCCCCACACCCCCCCATGACCCAAGAGGATAAGCAGGTTAGATGATGAACGAATGAATGATTTAGATGTGCATTAGGTTATTTGCTTTTTCTTTTCTTATTACTATACATAACTTAATAAATATGATTAAAACATGCAAAGCAATGTTTTAGCAATGGCATCATCACAAGTATACTATTTGCCTGAGAAACCCAATTTATTAACTGCACTATGGACCAGACAGCTTGTCTGTATTTACACTGACCTCCTGTCAGGAAATAACTTGCTTTAACTCAGCTGTAGGTGATTTTCTCACATCTCCGGCAGGAAACTTTTCTGCGAAAGTAGAACAGTTTCTTGTAAAATGTCTCTCAACGTTCGTCTTTTTTACGAGGCTGAAGTCGCTGGAAAACCAGCTGGAGAGATTATAAATGCAAATAAATCTATTTGTCTCCAAGTCATCAATGTCTATCTTAAATCTTTCTCTGTCTTTTCTTTCTCTTTGCTGCTAGCTAGGCAAGACTGCTGTCTGTGTTGCTACAGTGGTGTGAAAAAGTGTTTGCCTCTTCCTGATTTCTTATTCTTTTGCGTGTTTGTCACACTTAAATGTTTCAGATCACCAAACAAATTTAAATATTAGACAAAGATAACACAAGTAAACACAAAATGCAGTTTATAAATGAAGATCTTTATTATTAAGGGAAAAACTGCCACACCTGTTCTCAATCAAGAAATCACTTAAATAGGACCTGCCTGACAAAGTGAAGTAGACCAAAAGATCCTCAAAAACTAGACATCATACTGCGATCCAAAGAAATTCAGAAACAAATGAGATACAAAGTAATTGGGATCTATCAGTCTGGAAAAGGTTATAAAGCCATTTGGGAGCTTTGGGACTCCAGCAAACCACAATGAGAGCCATTATCCACAAATGGCGAAAACATGGAACAGGGGTGAACCATCCCAGGAGTGGCCGACCGACCAAAATTACCCCAAGAGCACAGCAATGACTCATCCAAGAGGTCACAAAAGACCCCACAACAACATCCAAAGAACTGCAGGCCTCACTTGCCTCAGTTAAGGTCAGTGTTCATGACTCCACCATAAGAAAGAGACTGGGCAAAAATGGTCTGCATGGCAGAGTTCCAAGACGAAAACCACTGCTGAGCAAAAAGAACATAAAGGCTTGTCTCAGTTTTGCCAGAAAACATCTTGATGATCCCCAAGACTTTTGGGAGAATACTCTGCAGACTGACGAGACAAAAGTTGAACTTTTTGGAAGGTGCATGTCCCATTACATCTGGCAAAGAAGTAACACAGCATTTCAGAAAAGGAACGTCATACCAACAGTAAAATATGGTGGTGGTAGTGTGATGGTCTGGGGCTGTTTTGCTGCTTCAGGACCTGGAAGACTTGCTGTGGTAAATGGAACCATGAATTCTGCTGTCTGCCAAAAAATCCTGAAGGAGAATGTCCGGCCATGTGTTTGTGACCTCAAGCTGAAGCGCACTTGGGTTCTGCAGCAGGACAATGATCCAAAACACACCAGCAAGTCCACCTCTGAATGGCTTAAGAAAAACAAAATGAAGACTTTGGAGCGGCCTAGTCAAAGTCCTGACCTGAATTCGATTGAGATGATGTGGCATGACATTAAAAAGGCGGTTCATGCTTGAAAACCCTCCAATGTGGCTGAATTACAACAATTCTGCAAAGATGAGTGGCCAAAATTCCTCCACAGCGCTGTAAAAGACTCATTGCCAGTTATCACAAACGCTTGATTGCAGTTGTTGCTGCTAAGGGTGGCCCAACCAGTTATCAGGTTTAGGGGGCAATCACTTTTTCACACAGGGCCCTTTTCCCTTAATAATAAAGACCTTCATTTATAAACTGCTTTTTGCGTTTACTTGTGTTATCTTTGTCTAATATTTAAATTTGTTTGATGATCTGAAACGTTTAAGTGTGACAAACATGCAAAAGAATAAGAAATCAGGAAGGGGGCAAACACTTTTTCACACCACTGTATGTGACCAGTAGTCTGCGTGCCAATCTATAGGGTTAAAGGGTGAATTAGCAGATATAGACTACATTAACTCCAGCGTTTAAGACCATTTATCGTTAAACTGTGTTGAACGATCAGCAGATCTGTATTTTACTGTAAAGGAGGATTATTTTATCTTTACCTAGAAATCTAATTCTGCTGTGGAGCCGCAACAAGGAAGTAGAAGAGCCGCATGTTGCTCCGGAGCCGCATGTCGCCGACCCCTGGTCTAAACAAACCTTTATCTGTTTTTCCAGGACTGAAACGATCACTGAGTGTCACCCAGACACTCTTCAGATAGTCACAGACAAAGACTGTTATTCACGTACAGCAGCCCTGTTGCTGCACACAATAGCAGAGCCAGATAAGTCTTATTTTTACTGAAAGTGAGCCATTGCATCCCAGACTCAGACAGTCTCTGAACCCACCCATCAGCTGCTACATATTTTTGTGTTACCAGACTGTCTGGTGTATTCTACTGGAGCCTGAAATAAACTGCTCCAGACAGCAGGTCAGTGCCAGCAGACATTCCAAACATTAGAGGACCGATGTTTCTCACGTAGATAGATCTTGTACTGGAAAACAACACAGCTACCTTCAACAATACTTATAGCCACATACAGCTGTGGGACATAAATTAACAAGGTGATGGTCAGTCAGCACTAGACATTGACCTAATCAAGCACTGTTACTGCAAATAACATTACAGCTGCAATTTGGTGGCAGGCACATGCCAAAGGAGGGAGGAGGAGAATTATAGCTATGATTTTGAGATAATGCCAAATCTCAAGTGTGCTTTTATACAACAGTTCTGAGGAAATGAAGAAAAAGAAAGCAGAGAAGCCCCAAACATTTTATCCAGTGTAGTTTAATCGTTGCAATTCCTTCCTTCTAAAACAGTAGAAGCTTTTTACATTACAAGCCATGAAAATGTTGCAATATCACCCTTTTTCAGTACTTAGAGAGTCTCCAGTTTAACCTGACTGTAGTTTTGTTCTAGCCACTGTATAAAGAGGCACTGTACAAAGGCTGGAGGTGAGGGAACCAGCCTTGTGACCGGAAGGTCGCTGGTTTGATCTCCTGAACCAACAGTACGTGACTGAAGTGCCCTTGAGCAAGGCACCTAACCCCCAACTGCTCCCCAGGTGCCATGGATAGGGCTGCCCACCGCTCTGGACAAGTGTGCTCACTGCCCCCTAATGTGTGTGTTCACTAGTGTGCATGTATGTGGGTGTTTCACTGCACAGATGGGTTAAATGCAGAGGTCTAATTCCTCTGTGTGCAAACACAGTTGGCTGATGGTTCTGAATTAATTCAATTCATAAAGCATTTCACAGCCTTTTTTGTATCGTTCCTCTTTTTCTGGCCAGTTTGTTTAGTTTTCCATGTAAGCTGCTGATCGAAAAGCTTGTTTAGGAGCAATGACAGGTTCAGACTTTGGCAGAGGCCTTCTTTGAAATCTGACCAAACAGGCTGCAGGTCAAATGTTATGGATAATATAAGATCATTTTTTTAATATGTTAATATATTAATTATCTTGCTTTAAGGCAAACAGCGCTCAGCCAAATGACAGGTACTGTGAAAAACATGCTGTTGTCACAAATAAATACTTTTGTGTAACAGAACGCAACAAATGTTTGTTGTTTTCACGCACAGACATACAGGTATGCTGCTTGCTGTTTTGCACGCAATGCTTCCCTCTTATACACCTGCACAGACACATCTGCAGGGGAATCTCAAGACTGATAGACGGCAAAGAGTCCTGGCATTGCCAGATCGGGTAGGGGCTACACACATGAAGAGACAGATAAGGCAGATGAAACAGAGCAAAACATTCTGAGAAGTGGATTCCCTAACACAGAGACAGCCAAATAGCTTTATCCTGGGGTCAGATTCTCTCTCTTTGTTCCAGAACCCTGCCATATCCGCTCCTCACACACACAGAACAATGGACTGGCCATGCCAGAGTCCAGACCTTAAGATTATTGAATATGTTTAGGAAGACTTGGATGCAGAAAGTGCAACCAGCGTCTAAGACTGAACTTTGGAGGTGTGAAAATATCCTTGCAGATTTCTTTGGAAAGCTGAAAGCAAGTCTGCCGAAAAGAATGGAGGCGGTAATAAAAGCACATTGTGAAGAGGAAACAGCTCATGTAACCTCTTTAACACACTCTGCACAAGTTCAATCATGAGGTCAGATGATGTCCTGTACCTGTGTCCATTGCAGCAGATCTCCTCTTGGGGGTCAAAGGTTTTCTGTCCACAGCACTGCTGGCCTGCCGGTAGGTGCACATGTTTCTGGCAGACGGTGCAGTTGTGCGGAGAGTACGGTACATTCCCAGCGCATAGAGAGCCGGCCGGCTGGCCACGGTAGAGCTGTCCATCACAACACAGCACTCCCTCTTCTGACAGTTTGTACGGTTCCCCACCACAACACTGCAAAACAGACACAACTTAGTACAGTGGTTCTCAAACCAGCTCTCAGGACCCCCAAGACGGTCTATGCTTTTGCTAGACCCCAGCTCGCAACACAAAGGAATAGAGGGACCCTGAGAACCAGTTTTAGAACTACTGCCTTAGTAAAAACAACCATACAGAATAAGAGACCAACTCTCCATCCTGTAGAAGTGTCACAATAGATCATATCGCTGCTGTCGGAAGAAAACTTTGTATCTCCATTTTTCTCGTTTTTTAGTTTTTGACATAATTTGAAAATACCTGCTGCTCTTTACATTGCGTGTAAATTTCATGATGAATGGACCAAAAGAAATGGCCCAAAACTATTTGGAAAAAAATCTGGTTCCATTGACTTACATTACAAGTAAAGTATGTTTTTTCCTTCTCCTGTAAAGTTCTCATTTTGGAGGTTTTCTTCCGACAACAGCGATATCAGTAATCATGCAATCTACCTGCCATTTTTGCAATTTGCTGTGTAGCATCAATAACCAATAAAACAATAAAGCAGTAAAAACTGAACAATCAACAAAATATGCATAGACTTTTAAAGACTCTAAAACACTTTACTGGGAGAAGACAAACAACACATTTTTAATCAAATGATCAAGTTTATCAGTACTACATTACAGACAGTCAAAAGCAAACAAACAAACAAAAAATAATAATGACTTACTTGAGTGACATCACTTGTTTTCAAAAACAGCTTCCCTGAACAACAGATATACTCAAGAGGACTGTAGGGTTCCAATCCACAGTGAGGTGTCTCGGAGCGAGCTGAGCCTGCAGTAAAGTATAGATGGAGTGAGCGAGCGAGAGAGAGGAAGCAGAAGGGAGGGGACACGGTATTCAAACCATTAATGAGTGTGCTCAAAGACAAACAGCTAGGCTGTATTTAAGATAGCAAAGTATTTCTTTTGCTTATGATTTATTGCTCTATTGCTTTCTATTGCTTATGATTGCTTATGATACTCATTAGTACTACCACTGCAGTGAGAGAGGGGAGGAAGGGCCTAAAAGACAGGGAGAGGGAGAGTGGGAGCGTGATTCACGGATCAGCAAATAGATTTTTCAATTTCCATTAGTTCCACTGCATGGTTGTGAGATAGTTAGACATCTGCAAAATTTGGAATGGCTTAGGAAACTAAGGATTGGAAAGCAGGCAGGATATGGAGCACATAAACCCTGGACATTTAAGCTATTACATGCTAGACCTATAACAGGCCCTTACAGCCAGATGTCATTATCAGAGTCTGCTTCCTGATACTCACGTCTCATGTCTTATCAAGGGAATGGATCTGGTGGGTCAGTTTGCAAACGGATTGTTTTCCGTTTTCCGCTATTTTGGAAGCGTTTTTTCAGTTGCGCTACGTGGGTGTTAAACATCTGTATAATCTGGAATGGTTTAGGAAACTATAAAAGCATTAGAAAGCAGGCAGGATATGGACCAAATTACTGTGGTTGATGTGTTGAAAAACACACAAGAAACAAAATGGTTTAATTCTTGAAACACCCAGTGGAAAATTGGCCAATGTGGAATTGTTTTTCACTGTGGTGTTTAGACAGATGTAGATAAGTGAGCTCTCATGTTTGTTAGGACTTCTAGTGCTGAGGAGAAAGCCTAACACATTAACCACCGGCATAGTAATGAAATGACAATCAAGCAGTCAAGTTTAGTTTTCCAATAGGACCAATTTTGTGATGGGAAAAAACAATCTTTCAGCTCTATTATTGGGGCAGTCGTGGGCTGGAGGTTAGGGGACCATACTTGAGACTGGAAGGCCGCTGGTTTGATCCCCTGAACCGACAATACGTGACTGAGGTGCCCTTGAACAAGGCACCTAACCCCCAACTGCTCCGCGGGCGCTGCGGATAGGGCTGCCCACCGCTCCAGCCAAGTGTGCTCACTGCCCCTATTGTGAGTCTTCACTAGTGTGTATGTGGTGTTTCACTGCACGGATGCGTTAAATTGCAGAATTTCCCCATTGTGGGACTAATAAGGGTCTCTTAATCTTATTACGTACATTCAGCCGACTGTAGTTATAAGGAATGTTTAAGCCAATCAAACAGACCTCATTCACATATACATGCCTGTGCAAAAAAATGGGCCAAGCCCAAAATGGAAGAGCTTTTAATTGTCTTCACAATAAATCATTAAACAAACATAAAGTAACTTAGTATAGGAAAGCTTTTCACTTTGATTTCTTTAAATGTTGAAGGTAAACTTGCAGAAGTCAACATTGTTCCACTCAGCATTGACGGCTTCAAACAGCTGAAAAACATTGATAAGCTAGTTTGTGTTTAACATGAGACCAAATATACTCTATAGGGCTTAAATCTTGATGCTGACCAGCCCAAAACTATCAGTAAAAACCTTTACATTTTGGACTTGACTCATTATTTTTGCACAGGAGTGTATATCAATTTAAAGCATTGGAAAACAACAGCCTGATTTAAGAGATAAATAGAGGTTGGAAAATAGTTATGTTGTAAAAATGAATTATGACTGTTTTTGGTACAGAAAACCACATAAATGTAATTAAAGAAGATCAGGGAAAAAATTAAAAGTAGGAAAAGTGTAGGGAACAGACTTTTAAATATCTTTTACATGTATGAATTGGCTCAAAATTGACAAAAAGTGGATAATGTGAATTCCCAGAGCTAGCTAGCTTAGCGTTAATGTTGATGTTCGGTGGTTTCAGTATTACTTGTTGGTGATGACAAATACTTTACCTTCAGAGTCCATTTGCCTGTTATCCTCCATCCTGCAATACACAGACAAACACACACACCTTAATTATGATTCATGTTCAAGCATCTGGAACTGCATACTGCTTCAACAGGAACCAACCCTCATCAACATCCCTCAAACAGCAGTTGACAGGGACTGAGAACAATCTACTCATTCACTCGTTTATTTTGTCAGAAGAAAACAATCTGACCGGACAAACTTTCATATGAGGAGCTCATTACAGCACAGACAGGGAACCGGAAGAGCTGGTGAAGGAAACCACTGTTGAACACAACGATACAGTGAGAAGTGCAGATTGATAATGCTGGGCCTGAGGGTAGATGTCTCTGTTCTCAGACCTGTTCGTTCTGTTATGTAACCCACTGCAAGATGACTCACGGTGTCTTGTGTGCATTTACAAACCCACTAACAAAGACAGACTGTTAGCGGCGCATGCTGCTCCCTCTAGTTTCTAACTATTGAGCAATAGCAGTTCACCGTAAAGGCATAATTATCTCAAAACGAAGATTGTATTCGTGACTGTAGTTCAGTCACATCACTCGACTGCTGCGCTCCCTTCACTGGCTTCTTGTAGCTGCACGCATCAGATTCAAAACCCTGATGCCTACAAAGCCAAAAACGAGCCCTTCGAGCTTCGAGAACAGCTCGGCTTGACCCGCCATCCTTCAAGACGCATGGAAGACAAGCATCAAGACTTTCTCTGTACTGACACCTAGGTAGTGGAACGAACTCCCACTGGCTGTCCGAACAGCAGAGTCTCTTGTGGTCTTCAAACGCAGACTGAAGACCGTCTCTTTATACAGCACTTAAATGAGCTAAGTTAAGTAAGTTAAGTAACTTATTGAAATGTATTGTATTGTATTGTGTTGCACTGCACTGTGTTTAATTATGTTCTTTTTGCTCTGGGTGTCAACATGGGCTTCTGTTTCTAGCAGTATCTGAGCTCAGGACTGGCTTTCTCTCTAACCTATTTATAACTGGCAAAGATACTTTCTCTAGACAGACAAAGCACTTTTTGTAAGTCGCTCTGAATAAGAGTGTCTGCCAGTGGTCAGGACCCCCATGGACCCTCACAGAGCAGGTATTATGTGGGTGGTTTATCATTCTCAGCACTGCAGTAACACTGATGTGGTGGTGGTACGAGTGGATCAGACACAGCAATGCTGCTGGAGTTTTAAACACTGTGTCCACTCACTGTCCACTCTCTTAGACACATATGTCTTATTAGTCCACCTTGTAGATGTAAAGTCAGAGACGATAGCTCATCTGCTGCTGCACAGTTTGTGTTGGTCATCCTCTAGTCCTTCATCAGTGGTCACAGGACGCTGCCCACAGGACGCTGCTGGCTGGATATTTTTGGTTGGTGGACTATTCTCAGTCCAGCAGTGACACTGAGGTGTTTAAAAACTCCAGCAGCACTGCTGTGTCTGATCCACTCGGACCAGCGCAACACACACTAACACACCACCACCACGTCAGTGTTACTACAGTGCTGAGAATGATCCACCACCCAAATAGTACCTGCTCTGTGAGGGTCCATGGGGGTCCTGACCACTGAAACAGATGGACTACAGTCTGTAACTGTAGAACTACAAAGTGCACCTATATAGTAAGTGGAGCTGATAAAATGGACAATGAGCGTAGAAACAAGGAGGTGGTCATAATGTTATGACTGATCGGTGTATGTATTATGTGTGTTTGTTACTGTTGTTTGCTGTTGATAAGGGGAATCCTTTTTGCACGCTTTTTAGTGAGCATGATGGAACATCGTCTAAGCTCAAATCCAAATCCAAGAGCTTGTCTTTTTTCAAACACAGCTGCCAATTCTTTCCACATTACTCCGTCTGGCTCCTCAACACTGGTGTGGTCAGATAGAGGCTGACTTACTGCAGCAGGGCGGAAGAAGTTCCTGGCTGGCTTTCATGTGTCAGAGAAGTTCTCTCTGTGGGGAAATGAAGAAATAAAGGAAGACATCTTTTACAATGAATTGAAGTAAAAACTTCATAAAGGAGAAAAACAACCCTTATAACTGGGACTTCCTTACTGAAAAAGCCCCGTAAAGCCGACTTCAGGCTGAGGAGGGAGTCCTGTTAGGCCTTATTGTTCTACTACATCATTAGTACATAACTGTTCACATTCATAACTTATAGTAGTTATTTACCTAAAAAACTTACAATTATTAGTAAAACACTGAATAATATTGAATAATACCTGATGCTTCACTTATTCTGTCAAACATGAAACATCTGTTGAACATAAGACTCAGCTTGAGCTCCATTATTGGGTTTTACCGTTTTGGAACTCACAAACATCATATATAAACATACCTGTGGCTAGTCTTTTGATATTATTCGACTACAAGTGATCTACTCAACTGACAACGCCAACTAGATCTACAGCCCAAGCAGTCCTAACAGTGAGAAATCATCCACATACAAATTTATACTTTATACAAACCTCTTTCCAACTTCTCTTTACAGCATGTGCTGTCAAGGTTCTCCACTTTAAGAGTATCAGCAGCACAGCAGCACTGCTTGAGTAAGTTCAGTGTTGCGTTGCCACAGCACACGTGATTGTCTGTGTCCTTGGGCCAGATGAACTGAGTTAGACAGCACAGTTGTTTCTTGGTGTCATATAAATCTGTGAAGGAGAAAAGTTTGTGTGAGGAACTAATCAGACAAAAGGCCAAAAGCCCCCCCATATTAACATGATGGAATGTATCATGAGAACCTTGATGTGTTGTGATATTACATTTTTGCCATATTGTCCATCCCTAGTCAGAAGGAACGGTCTATGTGCTATGTGTAGGGAGCTGGTTGGTGAAAGGCAAAAATACATATAGCTCATCTACAGGGATGGGGGAGTAGCTAAGTATTGGTTGGTGTGATGTAGTGGGTAACACTTCTGCCTTCTACGCTGTAGACTGGGGTTCAATCCCCACCTGGGCAAACACCCTACACTATACCAATAAGAGTCCCTGGGCAAGACTCCTAACACTGCCTTCACCTACCTGTGTAAAATGATCACACTGTAAGTCGCTCTGGATAAGAGCGTCTGCCAAATGCCGTAAATGTAAGTAGCGCGCTACTTTTTGTAGTTAGCTGCAAATTTTTGTAGCTAATAGCTTTAGCCGCTACAGTTTCATGAAATGTAGCTAGTAGCTGCAACGCCTAAAAATTTTTGTGTAGCTATAGCGATAGTTTTCGCTACAATTTCGCTACAGGCTTCAGGCAATCCGCACAAAATCTGCTGGTGGCAATTGTGCAATCTTGACTGAGCCGCGGACAGTTCGAGCAAACGGTCATGCGCTGACCACCCCTTATTAGCAGGCTTAGCTCAGGGGTCGCAACCGAAATGTTAAGAAGAGCCATTTTGTCCTTTCAACGAAAGTCAAACTCCCTTGGGAGCCACAACATTTAATGTCCGTTTTACCATCTTGGCTGTAAGTTAAATGTGTCTCAGTGTGTGTTAATGTACTAGTACAGACTTACTTTGCTCTGCTTTAACATTTAGTTCAGCTGTAGCCACTTTTCTCGCACCCAAGTCAGGAAACTTTCTGCGAGTTTCTTGTAAAATGTCTCTCAATGGTTGACTTTTTATGAGGCTGTCGTAGGCCGTGTTTTTTTTTAGCCATATTTGATTCCTTTGATGGCATAACACTCTAGAAATGCAGCCCATCTAGAGCACAGCTATTTGGAATGCAGCCTATTCTAGCACTTCGGGACGGAGCTTTGCTTAATTTTTTGTGAGTTGGTTTTAATTAATTCATTTAGTCCTCTAATTGGTATTATTATTCTCCAGTTCCCAAGAGTAAGAGATCTTGCTCTTGTTGTTAAGCACAAATTCTAGACAATTTTGCCGAGTGTGTATTAAGGCCTAACAATGCTATGTTTTGCAAATACTGAACTGAGTTTATTACGCTTACAATGTCGACTCAACACTGCACAATCATAGATTAAACACTGTTTCAACAGCTGGTCAACCATCAGCGAGTGCTGTCGAATCAGTGCTAGATCACCGTTCAACATGGTTGATTTTCCAGCACTGAACCCAGAGGTTTGCCATCTGGGATGCGAGTCTGATGCTAAATGTTAGGTCTGGATACCTAGATTTGTAATCTAACCATGACTGGGGTTTATGTTCAAACTGATACGGTTAAACTTTGAGTCAGGGGTGGACAATATGATGAGGTTTTATCAGTATTGTGATAAATATTGTGTTTTTCTCAGCATATCGTGAACGTCCTAAGTACTTAAAATACACTGACTCATGCCTGTTTCATTAAAGACGGCATAATTAGTCCTGTTTAACTGTATCTAGTGAAGTGAAGCACGTTTAGCAATATGTTACTTACTCATGGTAAAATCACTGTAATGAACAGTCTTTTTTAGCTTACACAGGTCCACATTTTTGCTCTAACTATATGTCTTGGGAGCTAAGATACACTAAATAATTGGACCCTCAGGGCTGGTCTAACAATCATTAATTAATTTCTTGAACAGGACTTGCCTACCTGAGCCACAGCATTCTGTGTGAGCTGAAGTTTTGTCCTGAATACTTCCACCACAGCAGATCTGATTGAGGGGGTTGTAAGCCTTGGATCCGCAGCAAGATGAAACAGTTTGGCTCAAACCACCTGTCACCACATCTGTAAGATAAAAACATATTTATAGCCATCATGCAGTTTTTCCATATCCTCCCTTGCCTCATGTTAGGAACGGGTCAAATCGTGTGTGTGCCAGGATATATTTTCCTTTCAAGCTGAACGAGCATTTCGACATTCTGGAGTTGCGCAATTTCCTGGCTGGATAAAACTGAGTCAGCAACCGCTCCGGAGGCAGCCACGCTGGCAATCAGCCCATGAATGTTAAGTGAAGAAACAAATTCAAGCAAAGCTGGTGTCATCTTTATGTTCTTATCTGCATTATATATAAAGAAGGATTGTTCATGTGGAAATTACACATTTGAGGCAACATGATATAACATCATGGCACTTGTTGACCTTTACACAATATAAAATATGCATCATGCTATTAACTATTTCTGAGGTTTGCACCAGGAAAAATATACACACATCGACAGGCCACTCCTTTAACTACACCGCCTTGTATTTACACTTTGTAGTTCTACAATTACAGAGTCCATCTGTTTCTTTGCAATAATAACTCATAACTATTAGCCCCCTTTTACTCTGTTCTTCAATGATCAGGACCCCCGCAGTACCATCATAAAGTGGGTATTATGTGTCCAAAAAATCAGGTTGACCAATAAAAGCTCTATTCTCATGGCTGCATTCCAAAAAAAAGGGCATCAGAGTGGCGGCTCATAGCTGCCGAATGGAAGTGAGCACATTACAGCAACTGCACATAACAGTATTTTCATGCCCATGAAGAACTGCAAACTATTAGCTTCCCAGGCTAATGAACACTCCTTTAAATAAGAGGAGCAACAAGCAGAAGCAGAGCCTCGAATACAATGAGGTGAACCCAGTAGTTGCAGAGAAAAGGTGTATTCACCGTCACTGCTTCTCACGGAATCCATTTCTTCTTATTCGTTCATTTTCTTTAGATCTGATTTGGTGTGAAGGGGCCTTTAGTGTGTGTTGCGCTGGTACAAGTGGATCAGACACAGCAGCTCCACTGGAGTTTTTAAACACTGTGTCCACTCACTGTCCACTCTCTTAGACACATATGTCTTATTGGTCCGTCTTGTAGATGTAAAGTCATCCTCTAGTCCTTCATCAGTGGTCACAGGACGCTGCCCACAGGACGCTGTTGGCTGGATATTTTTGGTTGGTGGACTATTCTCAGTCCAGCAGTGACACTGAGGTGTTTAAAAACTCCAGCAGCACTGCTGTGTCTGATCCACTCAGACCAGCGCAACACACACTAACACACCACCACCACGTCAGTGATACTGCAGTGCTGAGAATGATCCACCACCCAAATAGTACCTGCTCTGTGAGGGTCCATGGGGGTCCTGACCACTGAAGAACAGGGTAAAAGGGGGCTAACAAAGTATCAGAGAAACAGATGGACTACAGTCTGTAACTGTAGAACTACAAAGTGCACCTATATAGTAAGTGGAGCTGATAAAATGGACAATGAGCGTAGAAACAAGGAGGTGGTCATAATGTGATGCCTGATTGGTGTATATATACATACATATATATTGCTGTTATTGGAAGAAAACATTGGATCTCCAAAATAATAACTTTACAGGAGAAGGAAAAAATATACTTTACTCTTAATGTAAGTCAGGTTTTGGTCATTCTTCATGAAATTTACACACAATGTAAAGGTCAACAGGTATTTTCAAATTATGTCAAAAACGGAAAAATGACAAAAATGGAGATATGAGTGATACACATGCATTCATAAATTGCTCTTGCACTTCGAATCTTGATGCATCACGGACTGATGACCAGATGTTCTCTAGCAGGACTTTCTGATGGAGAGCAGAACTTATGGTTCCGTCAATTATGACAAGTTGCCCAGCCTCTTTCTAATAGTGGAATCATGAACGCTGACCTTAGTTGAGTCAAGTGAGGCCTGCAGATGTTTATCTGGCTTCTGTTGCGACTTCCCAGATAGCACTGTGCTATTTGAAGAATTGCAGGTCAGAAGATTCTGGGAAGAATCACCAACTGTTCGACATTTAGAGAAAACTGCTCTCAGTGGCTGGTGTTCCAAAGCCTTAGCGCTTTCCAGACTGATACAGTTGTGTGAAAAATTTAGGACACCCTAATGAAACAAAGAGCTCTCTGAGGTCTTCAGAAAGAATGTTGTAGATGCACATGAGTCCGGGAAGAGGATTTAAAAAGATCTTCTGCTCTTGTGCTGAACTTACTAGGATGGCCTGACCTGGCCATGTTGGCAGTTGTTTTAAATGTTCTCCACCTGTAAATTATTTTCCAGACAGTGGAACGACTGATTTCTAATTGTTTTGAGATCTTTTTAAATCCTCTTCTCAGACTCAAATGCATCTATAACATTCTTCCTGAAGGCCTCAGAGAGCTCTTTGGATCTCGCCGTGGTGATACCACTCATTTCAACAATGGAGAGTAAACCAAACTTAATGTCTGAGGTTTAAATAAGACAGGCTTTTCATGGAGTGTCCTAAGCATCAGATTCATCATACTGCCAGCACCTAAGCTGAATCAAGTAACCCCAGTGCATCCAAAGGCTGCCTATGATTCATTTGTAAGTCTTCCAAAAAATGCTCACCTATATTTGCCCCTCATTAGCTTTCCAGACACTCGCACTGACAGACAAGAGTCACACTGTTCACTGTCTCGGTATCCCACCCAGTCTTGTATTTAACGGAGACAGTTCAGTTTGATTTGTGGCTGTTTGCAGTGCTCAGAGCAGCCGGCGCCACATAAGCAGCCTTTCCCACTCCAACAGCCGAAAGCTGTACTCTCCAAGCAATTAGAGTTAATGTCAAACAGACGGAGGTCTGAGCACGCTTGCTGCAGGTCCCTTAGATCGTCTCCAGTTTCCTTCATATTCCGGCACCCGCATAATCAAACTCTAAAACGAGTCACAATTGATTCCAAAAAGTGCAGACATACAGTCAGAACTACTAGGAACAACTGGAAACTCCTTATAAAGTTCAATAGACTGGGGCTAACATATTAGCTTATACAGAGATGGTTGCATTGGGGCTAACATATTAGCTTGTAATTAGGTGCTTAGATTCAGGCTAACATGTTAGCTTGTGGTTAGATGGTTAACTTGGGGCTACGGTTAGCTAATGGCTAGATGGTTCCATTGGGGTAACATATTAGTTTGTGGTTAGATGGTTAAATTGGGGCCACCATTAGCTTATGGCTAGATGGTTACACTGGGGCTAACATATTAGCTTGTGGTTAGGTGGTTAGATTGGGGCTACCATTAACTTATGGCTATATGGTTTGATTGGGGCTAACATATTAGCTTATGGCCTGATGGTCAGACTGGGCTAACATATTAGTTTATGGCTGGTTGGGGCTAATATTGTAACTAGAGGGTTAGATTTGGCCAATTTTTCTTTCAAATATTGTACATTTATAAGACTGAAGGCTGTAATAAAAACAAAATGGAAACATTAACATATTAATGTAAGGCAACATGGCTTAGTAAGGTTTTAGCCCCTCCTGATTTGCTGTATTGAGACCCCACTGTATCATATTGAATTATATTGTGGATTTTGTGTAACGTTACATCCATATCATTATAGTGTCCCAATCTAATGCACTATTCATTAGCTGATATGTTTACCCTATGCTAACAAGCTAGCAACAAGATAACTATGACAAAATAACTGCCCAAGGGTGGCACAGCAAGCATGGCATAGAAATCGGGTGGCTTGTTAAATGAACTTCAGACCACAGTTAATAAACAATACAGTCTTGGCGATCTTAGGCTCTGTCCAAGCCTAGCATTTACTTATGTCCCGGGTGGTCCAGTCATAAGTGCTGAATTCAGGGGCGATTGTGATACAGTGCACTCTGACCGTCACTCAAACCGTCAAAGGCTGATTTATATTTCTGCAAAGATGCAGGTAAACGTGTGTGTCAAGGCACAGAGCCAAAAAACATGCACCATGAGCCAGAACTAGTGCAAAATCAAATAAGCTTGAAGATTAGTTGGCACAAAGAAACAAGATTCAAGACTTTCCTCTTCGTTTTCTCTACACTTGCTGCCCAGTTGGCATCAAACCAACCGAGACCTTTTTTAAGACGTTACCAGCCATGAACTGGGGCTTTGTAGCACTTAAGGTTGCCACCACTTTCTCAGAGGGTGGTCAAGTAAGCACATGCACAGTTATTGCAGCAACATTCTAGTGCTCTGTAGACCATCTAACATGAATTTCACAGAAGAACCTCTTTTGATCCCTTGCTTTCATGATTTAATTATTACTAGATTCATTGGGTATTTTTAATAGGGAAAAGATCAAACTGTCTTGGACCACAGATGATGTGGAATGGAGTTGTTCCACCCTAAGTTAAATAAACAGCTCAGTGATTACTAAATCCAGGCTGGATTCAAGGTCCAGATTTCAAGACCTATGATAGAGAATTCTTTTTGGCTCCTGAGTCTATCTGGCTTTCTTTTCTGCTCACCTCACCCAATTAGACCATCAGGCTCTTTGATAAGTAAACTATACATTTTCTCAGTTGAGATAATCATTTTTACAACTACACAAGCACATCGTCACTGTCAGGATAAAACCTTCTATCTCTGTTTGTCGTTTTTCATTTTGACACATTTTGAAAATACCAGTTTCCCTTTACATTGTATTAAAATATCATGACAGCCAGACTAGTAGAAATTGTCCAAAAGTACTTTGGAAAAAATCTGGTTTCATTAACTTACATTCAAAAAAGTTTTGTTCTACTTCTATAAAGTTACCCTTTTGGAGATACAATGTTTTGTCCTGAGATTGACGGCTCACCCTTGGTCAGGGAAAAGCCCAAGTGGCTGTCCACTTCGTTTGAAAAACTTAAAAAGCTGCTGTAAACTATTTTTGAAAAACAGTCCCAGCAATTACCCTGACAATTACCCTGGGTCAACATTGGTCAGGGAAAAGCCCAAGCGGCTGTCCACTTCATTTGAAAAACTTAAAAAGCTGCTATAAACTATTTTTGAAAAACAGTCCCAGCAATTACCCTGGGTTAGCATTACTCAGGGGAATTTCAAGTCAGTGGGCTATTTTGTTAATGAAAATTGGTTTGAAACGATCTCATTTGATCTACCAGATTAACTTGTGCCCCGACAACATTAACAAAACACCTCAGAACATGTCACAACAGCAGCATTACATTTCACTTGGATCAACCACATATCAACCACAGGCATGTTTCCTAAAAAATAAAAGTGAAAGGCTTACAGTTATTTAGGCAGACAGCCAGCAGTGACTATAAAACTGGTCTGGATCAGCTGATTTCATATAAATTCCACAGAGCTCTCAATTACAAATAAATAATTAGATAAAGAATCACATCCCCCTAACAGTTAACAGTCGCCCAGATATTCTGCTGCCTAAATTATTATTTCAGTGTTTTCACTATTCAGCCTCGGGGCTGATTCCAAACATCTGATGTAATATGTGTGGAGATAGTATTGGGAAATCCCTCTATCAGGAAAAAAGAAGCAGCTACTTACTGTTGCAGCACGAACTCTCCAGTTTGTTGTAGGCAGTGGTTCCACAGCAGGACAGGTGAGCACCTTGAATTACATTCCTGTCACAACAGGTGTACTTCTTAACATCATATAACAGGTTTCCACATTGATTGCTATAAAAAAAAAAAGAGAGAACTCTTTTACACCCATCTATCTGGCTTTATACACACAACTGACACATGACATTCATCTCTGTAGCTTGGAGAGCATCCAAGCCGTTCTGGAAGAAGAAAGAACATTTACCTGGATTGCTCGTCACTGTTGCAAACAGCTGCAAAGAAACAAGAGGAAAAAGTCCATTAGCACAGTGATCCTGAGATAACTAAGTCAGTTAGGTTCATTTCATGACAGGGTTCCAGTTGTCTTGCTGTGTAATTAAAGACTGCCTACAATAACCTGGAGCCTGGCTCACACCACAGCCAGTTACTGTTACATACTTGAAGTAGCAGCATGAGATCATTTACTACTGACTACTGACTCAGCAAAAGAAAGCAGAGCTTTTTTCCCAGTAGATGGAGCTATACGGCAAAACGGGTTGTCCCCTTCCTAAGTGCTATAATAGACAAGTGAGTCAGCATCCTACTTTCAGCAGATATAAACTTTGGTAGTATTGGTCTGTCTGATGCAGCAATCACTGAGTGACTGATGGTATATTATGATAATTAGTGGTTCTAACAACACTTTACTTAGCACTACTTAAATCTTAAGTACCCACATTATTTGTAGTGGTGTTAAAACATACACCTGTAACTCAACCACCTGAAAAAGATACATACAGTCATACTTTCCAAGTCATTTTTGGCCATTTGTTCATGCTGTTCAGGCATTTTCAAATTAGGTTAAAAAGTGAAAATATATATATATATATATATATATATATATATATATATATATATATATACACATACAATCATACTTTTGAAATAATACTTAAAAAACACAGAGCCTGTGCAAACCACACACTTACCTTGAGCGGAGGAGGTCACGCACAAGCCCAGCAGAACTATAAAGGAGAAAAAGAAGAAAAACTCATATATCTTGAGAATGAAGAGAAGAGATAAGACACTCATTTACAGTCAGAGTAAACAAAGCTGAGGAGCTGAGATGAGAAGTGAGATGATGCCCACTTACTGAAGCACAGAGCACAGCGAGCCATGACGCACAGCTGTCTGAACATCTGAGCAAAAACGCGCGGGATTTAGCTATAAATAAGGACTGACTCCGCCTCCTCGCCACCGTGGGGGTATGAGCTGATCATTAGCTAACACGGCCAATTTAAGGTGGCCCCGTCTTGCGCCCACTCTCACGCTCTTCAGCTGAGCTCAGGACGACCTTAAATTGAGTCCAGTCAGGAGCAGGGCATCAAAGGGGGCATCAAAAGGGGGCGTCAACATGTCCCCATGGAGACAGTAGACTGAAGGCAGGGAATGGAACCAAAGGTGCCATGATTATTGATTTATGTGTGCAGATCACAGAGGCTGATCATTTACACCCTCAGACTGTTCGTCAGAAAACTAATGCATAATCAGTGACGAACCAGTGAGGAATGGCCTGGTAACAATCGCTGTGTGACCAGTCCAGGACCGGACGCAGGAAAAGCTCATCGATCGAGCTCACACACGCTCACACGCACATGCCCACGCGCTGCTGGGATGCTCTCCTCCTCCCTCTGTCTCCTCAGCAGCAGCAGCAGCGGGGCGGGGAGCGAGGCGGGGAGCGGGGCGGGGCTAACTCTCCAGGCTGCTCCGTGTCCAGCTCAGCGGAGAGGCGTTCAGCGCATACAGAGCTTTGCTGAACAGACTCGAGGCTGTACAACAGGAAAGCGATCATAAGCGCGCGGGGACACTGTACGATATACAGCTCAGCGTCTGTTGTTCCACAGCTGCTTCTACTGCGCTCAGCTGATTCACCACTTCTGAACCACAGTCTCGGTCTACACGGCGGGAATCGCTTGGCCCCGCCCACCAGGTGTGCTGAAGAGCGTGATAAAAAGCACCATGAGCTTTCAGACAGAAACAAGGAAGACTTGAGGGGAGTTACAGAGAAACCCAGACAGAGCCGGTTTATGAGGAGCCTGGCCACTTCCTATTTTCCCTGTTATATTAAAAACATGACAGCAGAGGGCGCCCGCGAGCGAGTCCTCAATGAATGGGAGTAAATGGAGCTAAAAGTTAAAATAGTCTCTAATCACTCGTCCAGAACTTTCCTTTAATTTTAGAAAGTAGAAGGATGAGTTTCACTACAAAAGCAAAGAAATCTCACCTGTACTTTTCCTTTTTTCTACACTTTTGGGCAGCAGGACCCTGGCCCCACTGCTACTAAGTGCTGATTGGATGGCGAGCGAGCAGCTCATTTGTTTGTGCTCACAGACGTCATGAATATGCATAAGGCGCTGTTTTAAACTCCTATAACTCGAGTTTAAAAGCTCTTAAAAATATAACAGCAGTGTTAAAATGTTGCTGTGTTCAGGATATGAATGTATGCTTTTACATTAAAATGTTTAAGCATTTATAAACTATGATGTTACTCAAATGCTCCATCTTAACCCATTCATTTTGGACCCGCCCGGGAGCGCCCTCTAGCGTTTGAGAAACCCAGAAGACATTACAGAGAGGGAATTCTCCTCTCTACAAGCTCTCTGAGTTAATAAAGAGTCATCATCTTGCGTTTGTCTATTAAAGTTGTTTGTTTATTTAGTTCCAAAATTATTAGAAGTTCACAAGAAGTTCACAGAAGAAGTTCACAAACCAGCATAGACCTGGACCTGGTCACCAGCAAAACCAGCATATGTTGTGTTTTGGAGGCTGGATCATGCTGGGTGACCAGCTAAACCAGCACCACACCAGCACTAGACCAGCAGAAACCAGCTTAAAACAGTGTGAAATTCATGCAGGGATTTGAAGACCCCCAGACAGATAGAGGAATAATTCTACAGGTTTTAGCTTCTAGTGGCTTATAAGCAAACTTGAAAACAAGTGTGATAAGAAGTGGTAACCAGTGAGAGATGTTTACCAGACAGCCAATGAGTCATGGACGTGTTCTGGCCCACACTTCCTACTTTCATCAGGCCCACATGCTGCCGTGGAATGACGGTGATGACTTAATCCAGATCCGGGCGCTGGGGTGTCCAGTCTTATCCATGAAGTGTCAGTGTGGCTGAAGGTTTTCATTCCAACAAAGCAGGAGACCACCTGGTCAGCAGTTTGAGGACTGAAGCCAACTGATTAAACAAGTGGAAGAAGGTGTGCTCCAGTACCCTTGGTTTTGCAAAATCACAGCCACAACTCAGCCTTCATTCCCAGACAGTAAAGCAATTCTGACCCTGATCTGACCCATATCTGTCCCAAGATCTGCATACAGGTCATAACAAATGCTATATTTTAAGACATTTTTCAAATCAGCTACTTAAAATGCAGCTTTAATTCTCATGACACATATTTTGTTAACCGTATGTTTATATATATGACTGAAGTTCACACACATTAGTCTTGGACGCCAGAGGAAAATAAAGTTCATCAGGAAGGGAAGCCATTTCACCAGGTCCAGAGGTCTATGGTAGGAAGTGTTTTTAGCTGTTGCTGCCAGCTGTAACTGATGCTCTCAAGGAGAGTCAAGATATGCAGCTCAGGCCCTGAAATATTTAACAATAGTATGTAATCAGCGGCAGAGCTCAGCCTATGAATGATGCAATACACAGTACATATTGCACTGGTAAGTATTTACAATACACTGATCAGGCATAACATTATGACCACCTCCTTGTTTCTACGCTTATTGTCCATTTTGTCAGCTCCACTTACTATATAGGTGCACTTTGTAGTTCTACAGTTACAGACTGTAATCCATCTGTTTCTCTGATACTTTGTTAGCCCCCTTTTACCCTGTTCTTCAGTGGTCAGGACCCCCATGGACCCTCACAGAGCAGGTACTATTTGGGTGGTGGATCATTCTCAGCACTGCAGTAACACTGACGTGGTGGTGGTGTGTTAGTGTGTGTTGCGCTGGTCTGAGTGGGTCAGACCAGCAATGTCACTGCTGGACTGAGAATAGTCCACTAACCAAAAATATCCAGCCAACAGCGTCCTGTGGGCAGCGTCCTGTGACCAGCGTCCTGTGACCACTGATGAAGGACTAGAGGATGACCAACACAAACTGTGCAGCAGCAAAAAACTCCAGCAGCACTGCTGTGTCTGATCCACGCGTACGAGCACAAAACACACTAACACACCACAGTCAGTGTTACTGCAGTGCTGAGATACAAAAGTAGGCAGAGAAACAGATGGACTACAGTCTGTAACTGTAGAACTACAAAGTGCACCTATATAGTAAGTGGAGCTGATAAAATGGACAATGAGCGTAGAAACAAGGAGGTGGTCATAATGTTATGCCTGATCGATGTATATTACCAGTGCAAGGTAGATATTCACTGCTTCTTCCTAGTTAGTGTCAATCTGGGTCTGATGACAAGGTTTTAAATTACAAAGCAGATCCAATTTAAGTGTAAGAACATTGTAAAATGTTTTAAAAAAACTTCTTAAACTGAATGCCCACGACCTTTGACCCTTCAGAGGGCCTGCATTAAAAATCAGCCTGCTAATGTGATGGATACACAAGTTCAAGTTCACAAGGGGGTTGGGTGGGGGGTTGGGTGGTAGTGTTTAACTTGCACATCTATGGCCTGAGACATTATGGAGCAACATAACATAAGCTGTCTTTCTTTAACAGGGACATCCAAGCTTATTTCTACAGGACCCAGACCAAGAAACACTCTGCAGGTGTTACTACAGCATGGCTGTGTGGTCAGAGAGTGTGGGGGCTAGTTTGGCCTGATTTCAGCCCAGAACTTTTATATTGAAAACATGTTGCATTAAACTCAAAAAACAACAAGGGCCCTGTGTAGCACAGCTGAACACTCGTAAAACAGAAGATCTTCATTCAAAACTGGATCAATTTGAGTCTTTGCTCAAAATGCTGTTAAAAGTAAAGGTGATGTAAAACAGTGTGTGTGTTTTTAAAAAAAGAAAAATTGAGCTCATAAGTTTAATGGCAAAAAACATTGTTTTTACGCTGTAATACAGGTCAAACAGAATCATTGCTATCTTTTTTACTTAGCAATTCACACACTGCCCCTATTAAATAATCTTTGGGGATTATCTTAATATGTGGTTAAATGTACAGTAATGCAACACTGACTGCTGCGTCTCCAGGATGAGAATTGTTAATCTAACACAGTGACATATTACTGCCAGCAGTGAGGCCAACATTACAGTGATGTGTGCTAACGTCATGCTTATTGGTAATTGTTGTGGAGAGTTTTGTTAGGGGGGAAAAATGCTGGTTAAAGGAGCTTAAGTACTGGCTTCATTAGCATTAACACCCTCCCCCCATTACCCACCACCATCCCTAATTCTTGGTAACACTTTCTATGAATGTCACCTTTGTAAGCATCTATAAACATATTTATAACATGTTATAATGTATTCATAAGGCATTATAAACATGGTTATAAATATTTATAAAAAAAAGAATTACACTGAATTACACTTTATAGCCATGTTTATTATACATTATGAGTTGTTAATATAATGCATTATAAATAGTGTTAATAACATGTTATAATGTCTGTGCCAAAGAAGTCAGTTCCCAGCTTGGAGAGTGTAAAGTAAAGACATACCAAGCTAACGGTGGTGTACATTGCATTTCCCACATTGGGTAAAACACTGATGGCAGCTCTAGTTAAAACTCTGACATTTGAAGCCTGTAATGTGCTTTATTGTGATGTTTTAGTGTTTCAGTAAATCCTTCAGTAAATACTTCAACTTGAAGCCTCACTCTTAACACTGGAGGAGGCTTTAGTACAGTACGCTTCACTTTACTTAGAGCGGACAAATATGACTTATGAGCTCTTATAATTTGTTATGATCAGTATTTATAATGTATTATGTTAACAATTCCTAATGTATAATAAACATGGCTATAACGTATAGTGCATTTTTATAAATATTTACAGCTATGTTTATAATGTCTTATGAATGTATTATAACATGTTATGAATGTGTTTATAGATGCTTACAAAGGTGACATTCATAGAAAGTGTTACTGAATTCTTTTATAATTCAAACTACTGCTCATAGGTGTCCAATGCTCACAGCATTTCAGGTTCATTGTAATGCACA